CCCTGTATAAAATAAAAAGTTTTTTAACACGGGTCCAAATACCTTTTACCTTGCTAGTAGACCCCCTACAGAAACCGTTTCCATATCTTTAAGGGGATCCCTGTAAGAAAATAATTTTTACAGGCCTGCATCGGTCAAATTTTTCAAAAACTCAAAAAGTATGCATTTTTGGAAAAAGTGTTTTTGACAAAAGTACCCTGAAATTTTACGTAGATTTCGAAAATATATGAACATACAGGATGTTCCATTTGAAATAACAAAGTTGATGTCTACTTCCGGTACAACCGAAAGTGGTACCACTGTCAAAATATTTTTAAGAGGTTCGTTTTATTGCATAACATATTTATACCAAATTTTCATAAAATCGGATAAGTAGTTTCCAATATACAGATAGTTTAAGCTCGTCGTGACACACCCTGTACAGTGTGTCTCTAAAAGGTTATTAATGCCCGATTTCACCAACATGTTGTTAGGTATTTCCTAACTAGGTAATTCCTAAGGTAGGAATTACTTAAATCGAATACTTGCCTAAATCGAATTTCACCAACATTAGAAATCCCTTACTAAGAAATACCTAGGTAAAAATTTGATTTCGACAATTTTTTGAATTTTATTGGTAGCATTGCCTAATTTTGACGTGTAAACCGAATAAGAGGAGATCGAAATTGAATATGTTGAGAGAAAAGAAGAGATGTTGACGATCCGGGCCATCTTTAAATTATGTTAGTTATTTTTAAATCTGCTGAAGATGTAGTCTGTATACATTATTAGAAAAATAACCTTTCCGATTTGTAAAATATTTCTACATCTTCTTCACCAAGACTATGGATATTTTCATGCATGTGTACGGTCAATAGTTCCAAAAACTTCCTGTGTATCAAATTAAAAATCATCTCCAATTCATTCTAATATTTGTAATTCCGTATTTTTATATATCGAAGAAGGCGAAAAAAAATCAGTTTCGTCCAGTTTCTAAAAACTCTCCTCCCATTTTAAACGTTCATCTAAAGAGTCTACATACAGTCAAGACTTAAGTCACATGAAATCACATGAAATCACATGAAAAGTATGGTTAAGTATTTCCTAAATGTTTTAGGCAAGCCCAGTGAACTGTCCTAATTTTAGGCATTTCCTATTACCTTTAGGTATTACTTAGCGCATGGTGAAACGCAATTTGTACTTAGGAATTCCTAAATCCGGTTTAGGTATTACCTAACTTTAGGAACTGGTTGATGAAATCGGACATTAGAGACATCCTCATTTAGGCCTCTGTTATTTATTCGCCCGTTATAATGAATATTTTAGTATTTGGTGACGGGTTATTCGACTGAACCGTACGTACGTTGGTTATTGGATAACACAAGAATCCACATTATGCCATCAATGAATCCAGATGGATTCGAGGTCTCGAAAGAAGGAACCTGCGACGGCAGCCAAGGAAGGTAAGTAAACAAATCGATTTGTCTGTTTACTCGAAGGACCATTTATAGAAATGTCCGATTAACTTTAAGGGCCGGTTTATCAATTGAGGGATAACTCGCCGAGTTAGCCAACCCTGGGTTACCTCTAACTCTGGGTTAAATTGCGAGTTAAGAATAAAAGTGTTTATCCAAGCTTTTTTAACTCTGGGCTAGCAAACCCACGAAATGCTGAAAGGTTGGCAATACATTATAGCCGTTGAAACTTTGGCAACGTTGTTTTGTTCTCGTTTTTGACATTTCTTGACTATAATAACCTAACTTTTTTGGTTTTGAATATTTGAAATGAAAATTAGAAGTCAGAAGAATAAATATGGCGGATAGAAGGAGAGAATCGAATTTTTCCGAATTCGAAAAAAAAAACTTGTTTGTAGGAAATTTTACCATGTCTTCTATGGGCTTTAACACAAACAAAACGGTTTCTTTTTTTAATCAAAATCGAGCGAAAAAATCATGCTCATAAAAATCTTCAAATGGATTTTGCCGTGACCTTACAATATAGGACCCCCCGCTGATGACCTATAAATTCTAGAAAGTCTTGGTCGTCATCGCTAAAATGTAGGTCTCCCATTGGATTTACTTAAAAACAATGAAAAAATGCGTTTGACAACAGAAAAATACGCAAATTTTAGGTTAACCCAGAGTCAAATCCACAAACCTGCCAAATTTGCGCGAGTTAAGATAACCCAGAGGTATCCCTCGAGTTAACAGTTAACCCGCGATGGAAAAACACTTTTGGCAGTTTAACTTAGGGTTATCTTTAACTCGAGGGGTAACCCTCAATTGATAAACCGGCCCTAAGGCCGCCAAAACACGCCCTCAAATTCATCATTCGTGGGGTAATATACAGTGCATTTCTTTAATGTTCCCCCCTCCCTTTTATTTTTTTGAACGGATCAACTAAGAAAATTGAAACTTTGGAATAATGAAACTAATGCATGATTATTATATTTTGGAGTAAAATTGACATATGAAAATTTCAAGATGGCGACTGGGCGCCATGGAATATAACCATGGAATATAAAGTCAATATCTGCACCCATTACAAAATGGCGGAACATTTTATAATTACCTGAATACAAACAAATTAATATAAATTTTTCTAGAAATATTTGTTTTTCTATGCCAAATAGCAATCCCAACAAACCGATAAGGTTTGACAGGTTATTTTTGGTTAAAAAAAAATTCTGGGAAACTTATATACACAACCATACAAACCATATTGTGGGATCCCATTCCATTGAACAAAATTTAACAGGGGAACTGTATTTGAATATGTTGTAAACTACTGTTGAGCCTTTAATCACCGAAATCGTCGAAACAAATCCTAATGAATTCGATATGGATATTATATTCAAACAAGATGGATCACCACCACATTACTCCAGACAAGTAATGAACTATTTGGATGCTATTTTCCCTGGTCGTTGGATTGGTCGTCGAGGTCCTACGGAATGGCCAGCCCGCTCGCCAGATTTGACACCTTTAGACTTTTTTTTATGGGGCTATTTGAAGCAAAACGTGTACGAAACTGAACCTGCTTTCAATATTGGATATACGAGAAAGAATTACAGATATTTGTAGAAATATCGACGTTACTATGTTCGAAAATGTTCGCATAGGCTGTTCTTATATCAAGAATTTCAAGGCAACCATTTCGAGCATCTTTTGAACTGAACTCAGCTTATTTCCTCAAATTATGACGTTAAATGTCGATGTATTCAGGTAATTATTAAATGTCCGCCATTTTGTAGCAGGTGCAGATATTGACTTTATATTCCAGGGTTGTACAGTATTTTACTATAAAATGTGTCAATTAATTGTTGTTATGGTTGCTTGGCTCTGACATTTATTTGTCAAATTTAAAGTTGATGAAATTGACAATGGCTCGTCCATTAAACGAAAAACTGTCAATTTCATCAACTTTAAATTTGACAAATAAATGTCAGAGCCAAGAAACCTTTTGTTATAAACTATTAGACACAGTTTTAACTGTTCGTAATTTAGAAATAAAATAAAATTCTCTCAGCAAAAACAACTTCCTTTTTCTTTATTGACAACTGACTTATGACTATTATATTCCTACCACTACAAAAACAAAAACTAAAAATTCTTACCAACTACTTTAATGAAATTTCACCATTGCAATTTTCAATAAAACCATAGCAACAATTAATTGACACATTTTATAGTACGTTCAGAATTAATTCTTAAATGTGCCTTAAGGAATTGTTTTTTTTGCTGCAGCCATTTTAGAAAAAAAGTAAGTATATTGTTATTTGTAAATTTACGCGAAATATCCATTCTTAAAAAAAATCCTGCTTGTTCTGAAACCACTTAAAATAACGTTATTTTCTTAATTTTTTATACAGGGTGTTCATTTTTTTAATTTAAAAATGTTCCAAGAGTAAACTACCCTTATTTTAGACGTTATCGAAAAATATTTTTTAGAAACATTATTTAAAATGACAAAAAAAGCTTAAATATGAAATTTTAGTATATTTGCTGAAGCTGAGGCAATTCAATTTTAACGATAATCAAGTATGATATTAGTTATGACAAAAATCAAACGAGTTGGTTTATGTCAACTTGCTGTTAATTCCATTTAGATTTTTTTGTGTGTTGTTTTTCTTATTAAATTTGATTTATAAACTATTTTGTTTTATTTCTGCAAATAAACAAAAATTTAATATTTAGCTTTTCTGTAATTTTAAAGAATATTTCTAAATAAAATTTTTGATAACGTCTAAAATAAGGGTAGAAAAAAAAATTTCGTGAAAGAATAGCAAAAAATTAGCAAAAAAATACGGAATTAAAATTATTTGGATATTTAATTGGATTTTAGAGATACGATATATGCCACGCTAGCTTCAGTCTCAAGTTAGCGTGGCCGCTTTTTCTCGAAAACGGCTGTAGCAAAAAAATTAATTCTTTGGAAAAAAATTTGCAAAAAAATATGGACTTGTTCAACTTTAACCGGGCGTTACGCAGTGGTTAGTAAAAGCTCGGTTGTAGAAACAAGAAATAGTTTATTAACCAACGAAGAAACTCTTCTAACAATGAACAACTTAAACAACAAGAAAACAAAACGGCGATCGCAAGACTTGCTTGTCGTTGACTTTTACAAAAGTGAACTACTAACTAAAAACTAGTACCAACCCTAGAAATCAAAACTCTTCTTTTTATTAGAAAGTAAATCATTGTACACAACAGGACTAATTAATTTTTGTGCCCAACGACTTCGCCACGCTACCTTCATAGACATATTTTTCTCTAAAGGTACAACGCCAGAGGTTTCGATTTGAACCGCAACTTCCCGGACTACTTCAAGCAGAACAACAAACGCACCCAACCGGAGACGGAGGCCGTCAAAGAGTGGATATCGAAGATACAATTCGTGTTGTCGGGCAGCCTCCACGGTGGCGCTTTGGTCGCCAGTTATCCATTCGATAGTACGCCGAATTCCCGTAAGTAAACACACTTTTCTTCCATCGTAAATCATAGAGAAATATAGAGTGGCAAAAGCATACGGATGCGCGTGAAAATAATGGAACAAATTGAATTTGACAGATTTGACAATTTTGACATTGTCATGTCATTTAAGGTAGAAAAGTGAATGAGAATAATGAGATAGCTAATTGAACTTTTGTTTTGTAAGGAATAAATAAACAAGTTCCTGCTCCTTACTATCTTATAGAATTGATTGAGATTCTAATTCTAATGCTTGCAGCGGAATAATTCGGTCATATGGTATATTTTTATTATGATTTATTTTTTTTTTGATACTTGTAGATAGAAAATTTCATTCATTTTGTTAACATTTATTTTATTTCGTAACGTTTATTTATTTAGTCGTTTATTTTAACCTTAGATCATATATACTATTAGTATATAAGATTTTAACTATGTATATAAGGCCTACACAAGATCGCCTAAAAGTAGTGGATTTCCGTTACTTCTGGCAACGCTGTGTTTAAATTCCGCTACTTCTGGCAACACTGGTATCTACCTTAAATGACAAGTGACAGTATGCGCAAAATTCAATTTGTGCCATCTACGAATACACGCTTTTTCCACTCTATATTCTCTATGTCGTAAATCCAAATCGATAAACAAAAAAACAAAACAAAAAACAAACAAACGTTTCGACGATTCGGTTCTTTTAAAAATGCCATTTGTTATCGAGTCTTTCTTGCTGCTATAAAAGGAATATGTAGGTCGTCGGCATTATGTTCTAGTAAGTCTATTTATGAATTTTTTTATGCATTTTAATAAGCCATGTTTGTTTCATCGTCTCTTCTCTGCTCCTCTGCTCCTTTGCTCCTTTGCTCCTCTCTATTCTGCTCCTTTGCTTCTCTATTCTGCTCCTCTGCTCCTCTCTATTCTGCTCCTTTGCTCCTTTGCTCCTCTATTCTGCTTCTTTGCTCCTCTATTCTGCTTCTTTGCTCCTCTATTCTGCTTCTTTGCTTCTCTATTCTGCTCCTCTGCTCCTCTCTATTCTGCTCCTTTGCTCCTTTGCTCCTCTATTCTGCTTCTTTGCTCCTCTATTCTGCTTCTTTGCTCCTCTATTCTGCTTCTTTGCTTCTCTATTCTGTTCCTCTGCTCCTCTCTTTTCTGCTCCTCTGCTCCTCTCTATTCTGCTCCTTTGCTCCTTTGCTCCTCTATTCTGCTTCTTTGCTCCTCTATTCTGCTTCTTTGCTCCTCTATTCTGCTTCTTTGCTTCTCTATTCTGCTCCTCTGCTCCTCTCTATTCTGCTCCTTTGCTCCTCTCTATTCTGCTCCTCTGCTCCTTTGCTCCTCTCTATTCTGCTCCTCTGCTCCTCTCTATTCTGCTCCTCTGCTCCTCTCTATTCTGCTCCTCTGCTCCTTTGCTCCTCTATTCTGCTTCTTTGCTCCTCTATTCTGCTTCTTTGCTTCTCTATTCTGCTCCTCTGCTCCTCTCTATTCTGCTCCTCTGCTCCTTTGCTCCTCTATTCTGCTTCTTTGCTCCTCTATTCTGCTTCTTTGCTCCTCTATTCTGCTTCTTTGCTTCTCTATTCTGTTCCTCTGCTCCTCTCTTTTCTGCTCCTCTGCTCCTCTCTATTCTGCTCCTTTGCTCCTTTGCTCCTCTATTCTGCTTCTTTGCTCCTCTATTCTGCTTCTTTGCTCCTCTATTCTGCTTCTTTGCTTCTCTATTCTGCTCCTCTGCTCCTCTCTTTTCTGCTCCTTTGCTCCTCTCTATTCTGCTCCTTTGCTCCTTTGCTCCTCTATTCTGCTTCTTTGCTCCTCTATTCTGCTTCTTTGCTCCTCTATTCTGCTTCTTTGCTCCTCTATTCTGCTTCTTTGCTCCTCTATTCTGCTCCTTTGCTCCTCTATTCTGCTCCTCTGCTCCTCTCTATTCTGCTCCTCTGCTCCTCTCTATTCTGCTCCTCTGCTCCTTTGCTCCTCTATTCTGCTTCTTTGCTCCTCTATTCTGCTTCTTTGCTCCTCTATTCTGCTTCTTTGCTTCTCTATTCTGCTCCTCTGCTCCTCTCTTTTCTGCTCCTTTGCTCCTCTCTATTCTGCTCCTTTGCTCCTTTGCTCCTCTATTCTGCTTCTTTGCTCCTCTATTCTGCTTCTTTGCTCCTCTATTCTGCTTCTTTGCTCCTATCTATTCTGCTCCTTTGCTCCTCTCTATTTTGCTCCTATGCACTTCTACTCTGCTATTGCAATCCCTTGTAGTCGCTTTGTTGTGGTTGTACGTGTGTAGACGTAGCAAAATATAATCTTGTAACTGATATTAAAATTTTCAGTTTTCCAGAGTTTCTCGGCGCCGTCGCTGACGCCCGACGACGACATCTTCAAGCACTTGTCGCTCACCTATTCGACGAATCACGCGAAAATGAGCAGCGGCGTCTCCTGCAAAACGTCCAGGACTTCCTTCAAAAGGGTATAATATAACGAAACGTCGTCGGTGTTGTATTTTGTTTCTACACTGTTGGAAAATTATTCGCGCGTAATAGGGAAATCAATGTTAAATTCTTAGCCGGCTGAAATCCAGTCTACCAGTGTACATTTCAATGGAACGTCGCGATAAATTCTAATAAATTTAATTGTTCTACTGGACTTTACACCGCGATTTGGTTCGGTTAGATTAAAAATCAAATAATTTCGACGATTTCGACACTTCGACAGTATCAAAACGGGTTCAGATGGGTGAACGTCGAGTCGAATAAAAGGAAATGAAAATTTTTAAACGATAATTTATTGAAAAAATATCACTAATATTAAAATAGAATTATGTAGATATGTCTTTTTGCCACAATGGCTTGAAAAAGAAAGTAAATTCTAAGAAAATAATAAAAAGGAAACTCCAAAAATAAACTTAAAGATTATTTTAAAACAGAAAATAAAAGAACTCTAAAAAATAATCCACCGCTTTCTGCTAAACTATAGCCAAACCTGTCATATAGATGTCATCTCATATTACTGAGCTGTGGTATAATTCTAGCAGAAAATTGAATTATTTTTTCCCTTATTTCAACAAAATTTGTTGCTCTTTCAAAACTGTACCTACCGATACACAAATTTTTTTTAAATCTCCCCAAAAAAAAATTTAATTTAGTTTCAAAATAACTTTGTACATCTACAAATCGCGGCGTGTGGCCCAGTAGATTAAATTTATTAGAATTCATCGCGACGTTCTATTAAAATGTGTACTGGTAGACTGGATTTCAGCCGGCTAAGAATTTAACATTGATTTCCCTATTATGCGAAATGAAATTTCCAACGGTGTATACTTTATCCATCCAAGCAATGGAGTAACTAAAACAAGTTTAGACGCTGGATCAACGCGTGATCATCAGTGATTGGTCAGCGTAAGGAAGCTTTTTTTATTTTACCCAATAGATGCGAATGTGCTTGATGATCCAGCGTCTAACCTTGTTTTGGTTACTTCGTTGGTTCGATGAATGAAGTATAGAGAGTTTTAAATGATGATGAAGCGTTCTAAATGAGTCTAGAGAGTTCTAAATGATGATGAAGCGTTCTAAATGAGTCTAGAGAGTTCTAAGTGATAATGAAGCGTTCTAAATGAGTCTAGAGAGTTTTAAATGATAATGAAGCGTTCTAAATGAGTCTAGAGAGTTCTAAATGATAATGAAGCGTTCTAAATGAGTCTAGAGAGTTCTAAATGATGATGAAGCGTTCTAAATGAGTCTAGAGAGTTCTAAGTGATGATTAAGCGTTCTAAATGAGTCTAGAGATTCCTAAGTGATAATGAAGTGTTCTAAATGAGTCTATACTTCATCCATCCAAGCAATGGAGTAACTAAAACAAGTTTAGACGCTGGATCAACGCGTGATCATCAGTGATTGGTCAGCGTAAGGAAGCTTTTTTTATTTTACCCAATAGATGCGAATGTGCTTGATGATCCAGCGTCTAACCTTGTTTTGGTTACTCCGTTGGTTAGATGGATGAAGTATAGTAGCGTCGAAATTTGCGTTTTGTTTAGGGCATCACCAACGGGGCGGAATGGTATCCGCTGACGGGTGGCATGCAGGATTACAACTACGTGTGGTACGGATGCATGGAGGTGACTCTGGAAGTGTCTTGTTGCAAATATCCACCCGCTCACGAGTTGCCGAAATACTGGGAGGACAACAAACAGGTAACGCGCTAAAAATAATGACAGATTTGAAAAGATCGTCAAAAAATAAGTCGAAACGGACATTAAATTTTCTTAATTTCGTTCTGGTTTAATTAAAAAATGTATAATTAAGTTGAAAAAAGTCATACGTCATATGTCACTATTTAAAAATTCTGGAATTAAAAATATCTGGAATGGTTTACGCTCTGAAGTTTGAAAAAATCAGCGGTAAGGAATCTGGTTCAATCCCACGCAGTGCTGAAATTTTTTTTCTTTGGCATTTTTTGTTTTTTTAATGTTTTTTTTTTTTTGTCAAGAATAAAAATATGGCATCATTTTAAAGGCTCTACCTACTAAAGAGATTTTGCGTTATTAAAATTGACACTTACTTGTCGGAGCTTTTATTTAAATAAAAATAAAATTATATCTCAAATAAGCTTCTCTTATTTTAAATATTTCTATTTAACATTTTTTAGACGAAAATATTAGAAAAAAAAGAAAAAATGTCTTTATTGCGCAGGGATTGAACCACATTACTTCCCGCTAAAATTTTTAAATTTCTGAGCGTAAACCATCCCAGTTAACTCCGCCCATTTTACAATTATTAGATAGTGACATAAAAATGACACATTTATGACTCTAAAGTCGCGTCTCGAGTCCCTAGTTACTCCATAACAACCAATGTAAATCTGTCAATTTGAAAGAATCTCCTTAGTTACTCCATAACAACAATGTAAAACTGTCAATTTGAAAGAATCTCCTTAGTTACTCCATAACAACCAATGTAAATCTGTCAATTTGAAAGAATCTCCTTAGTTACTCCATAACAACCAATGTAAATCTGTCAATTTGAAAGAATCTCCTTAGTTACTCCATAACAACAATGTAAAACTGTCAATTTGAAAGAATCTCCTTAGTTACTCCATAACAACCAATGTAAATCTGTCAATTTGAAAGAATCTCCTTAGTTACTCCATAACAACAATGTAAATCTGTCAATTTGAAAGAATCTCCTTAGTTACTCCATAACAACCAATGTAAATCTGTCAATTTGAAAGAATCTCCTTAGTTACTCCATAACAACCAATGTACATCTGTCAATTTGAAAGAATCTCCTTAGTTACTCCATAACAACAATGTAAATCTGTCAATTTGAAAGAATCTCCTTAGTTACTCCATAACAACAATGTAAATCTGTCAATTTGAAAGAATCTCCTTAGTTACTCCATAACAACCAATGTAAATCTGTCAATTTGAAAGAATCTCCTTAGTTACTCCATAACAACCAATGTAAATCTGTCAATTTGAAAGAATCTCCTTAGTTACTCCATAACAACCAATGTAAATCTGTCAATTTGAAAGAATCTCCTTAGTTACTCCATAACAACAATGTAAAACTGTCAAAAGTGAAAGAATCTCCTTAGTTACTCCATAACAACCAATGTAAATCTGTCAATTTGAAAGAATCTTCTTAGTTACTCCATAACAACAATGTAAAACTGTCAAAAGTGAAAGAATCTCCTTAGTTACTCCATAACAACCAATGTAAATCTGTCAATTTGAAAGAATCTCCTTAGTTACTCCATAACAACCAATGTAAATCTGTCAATTTGAAAGAATCTCCTTAGTTACTCCATAACAACCAATGTAAATCTGTCAATTTGAAAGAATCTCCTTAGTTACTCCATAACAACAATGTAAAACTGTCAAAAGTGAAAGAATCTCCTTAGTTACTCCATAACAACCAATGTAAATCTGTCAATTTGAAAGAATCTTCTTAGTTACTCCATAACAACAATGTAAAACTGTCAAAAGTGAAAGAATCTCCTTAGTTACTCCATAACAACCAATGTACATCTGTCAATTTGAAAGAATCTCCTTAGTTACTCCATAACAACCAATGTAAATCTGTCAATTTGAAAGAATCTCCTTAGTTACTCCATAACAACCAATGTACATCTGTCAATTTGAAAGAATCTCCTTAGTTACTCCATAACAACCAATGTAAATCTGTCAATTTGAAAGAATCTCCTTAGTTACTCCATAACAACCAATGTACATCTGTCAATTTGAAAGAATCTCCTTAGTTACTCCATAACAACCAATGTAAATCTGTCAATTTGAAAGAATCTCCTTAGTTACTCCATAACAACAATGTAAAACTGTCAATTTGAAAGAATCTCCTTAGTTACTCCATAACAACCAATGTAAATCTGTCAATTTGAAAGAATCTCCTTAGTTACTCCATAACAACAATGTAAATCTGTCAATTTGAAAGAATCTCCTTAGTTACTCCATAACAACCAATGTAAATCTGTCAATTTGAAAGAATCTCCTTAGTTACTCCATAACAACCAATGTACATCTGTCAATTTGAAAGAATCTCCTTAGTTACTCCATAACAACCAATGTAAATCTGTCAATTTGAAAGAATCTCCTTAGTTACTCCATAACAACAATGTAAAACTGTCAATTTGAAAGAATCTCCTTAGTTACTCCATAACAACCAATGTAAATCTGTCAATTTGAAAGAATCTCCTTAGTTACTCCATAACAACCAATGTAAATCTGTCAATTTGAAAGAATCTCCTTAGTTACTCCATAACAACAATGTAAATCTGTCAATTTGAAAGAATCTCCTTAGTTACTCCATAACAACCAATGTAAATCTGTCAATTTGAAAGAATCTCCTTAGTTACTCCATAACAACAATGTAAATCTGTCAATTTGAAAGAATCTCCTTAGTTACTCCATAACAACCAATGTAAATCTGTCAATTTGAAAGAATCTCCTTAGTTACTCCATAACAACCAATGTACATCTGTCAATTTGAAAGAATCTCCTTAGTTACTCCATAACAACAATGCAAATCTGTCAAGTTAAAGACGCGACTTTAGAGTCACTCTAAAGTTATACATGAGTCGCTGAATACGAGCCAATATGGCTCTTAACTCGGTTCTTACACAATCCGCCAGAGGGCGTCTATTTATCTCGCTTCCAATTAGCAATGCTGATTCCGTTCGTTTTTAGGCTTTGATTAAATTTTTGGGCGAGGCCCATCGAGGCGTCCAGGGATTCGTGATGGACGAAAACGGCAATCCGCTGGAGAAGGCGTCGTTGAAGATCAAATCGCGTGACGTCGGCTTCCAAACGACCAAGTACGGCGAATTCTGGAGGATCCTCTTGCCGGGCAAGTACAAAATGGAGGTAAGAGCGCTATGTACATACACTCCTGGACCTAATTAACGCAACATCATAAATTTGCCACATTTTTGATGCTATTTTTTGTTTGAATTTATGATCCGATTTGGATGATTTTTTTTGTATTATAGGTTGGTTCCTTGACAATGTCATCATTTTCGCTGTATATGATAAAATGATCCTTTTCGATTATACCGGGTGTAATAAAAATGTAATGTTTTTTTTTCCGAAAATTCGTATCACCCTTTGGAGTATACTAGCAAACGAGACATATAGCAGTTGACATTAGACGGTAGATCCATCTTTTGTCAACATTTTCTTTTTTGATTTACTTCATTATCTCTGTTATTAAAGAAGATGTGCCATTTTATAGCGTAACATGTTTTAATACACTGTATTATTCAAAACATTCTTTGTTAAATGTTTTCAAGTAGGCTTTGGACCTTTTCTGACATTTCAAGCGATGTGTCAATATCGAATACATTATTTGTTATCTGTATAACAAAATAATTCCTGCTCGCTTTGATGAATGAAAACAAAATTAACGAATTACTTTATTTCATAAAGTAAAATTAAGAGTTTATTAAACACATTTTTTTGGAAACGAGCGAAACAAGAAAAGAACATAAATCAAAAACAATAAAATTAATGAATTTATAATGCTATTAACGTGTATGCCCACCTCTAATTCGAATCATTGCTCCATTGCAATATGACTCATTGAATAGCCTTCATCCACCAAAGTTAAGGCTTTTACTGCTTCTTCGGTCGATAAATTTTTTGGACGATTCATTTTTCAAGATTAAAATAACAAATAATGTATTCGATATTGACACATCGCTTGAAATGTCAGAAAAGGTCCAAAGCCTACTTGAAAACATTTAACAATGAATGTTTTGAATAATAAAGTCTATTAAAACATGTTACGCTATAAAACGGCATATCTTCTTTAATAACAGAGATAATGAAGTAAATCAAAAAAGAAAATGTTGGCAAAAGATGGATCTACCGTCTAATTTCAACTGCTATATGTCTCGTTTGCTAGTATACTCCACAGGGTGATACGAATTTTCGGAAAAAACATTACCTTTTTATTACACCCGGTATAATCGAAAAGGAACATTTCATCATAAACAGCGAAAATGATGACATTGTCAAGGAACCAACCTATAATACAAAAAAAAAATCATCCAAATCGGATCATAAATTCAAATAAAAAATAGCATAAAAATGTGGCAAATTTATGATGTTGCGTTAATTTTGTCCAGGAGTGTGTATAAATCTGAGAAAAAAAATATTTCTGGGATTATTACAAATATTTATTTTGATGACAAATAAAATAATTCTCACATTATATTCCAGGTGTACGCTGACGGTTACATACCCGAAGAGATACCGTTCATAGTCGTCGATCAGCATCCCACGTTGTTGAACATAACGTTGCGAGGAGCTAAGGTAAATTGTTTTTAAGGGATAAATACCCGCCGGGTACCGATTCTTGAATCATTCCAATGAGAACTGTTCCCATGGGAATATCCCATGGGAGTTTCCTCCCACAAAAGCTTTAAACCGTATTCTCGAGCGATGGAAAGTCTCTCGATGTGAGGCGCAATGTTGCCAAGTGTAAATAGAACATTGGGTCTACTATTGGTCTAAACCTTAAAGGTAATTAGCCATTTCTACTTTTTTCAATTAAATAAAGAAGAAGAGACCCTGAAATTTTGAATATAGACGATTCGGGTTAAGATCGCAGCGTCATGGTGGTGATAGCTGAAAGCTAGCTAAGTACCATTATACTGGTGTTTACGTTTGTGGTGTATAACATAGACAACATACTAATAAGACGGGAAACTCTCGTGAAAAATTTGTGTCCGAAATATGTGCTGCCATCTTTATTCGTCATACAGTACTGAAGTAATTTATATACAGGAATTTTTCATTTTTATGACTTTTTTTTAGGCGGGAATTTAAAAATTATGGTTGATTTCGTTGGATTGAAACAATTTATTTGAACCACATATTACAGGTGAATTATCTAATTAAATGTAATTCACCTATAATATATTGTTCAAATAAATTGTTTCACTCCATAGCAGGTAATGGAGTGAAAAAAAACGTTTGAAAATAATATAAATGTATAAAATATATAATAAAATATAAAATTATGGCATTGACTTGCGATGAATCCTTTGGTTGCTCGTTCAAATTGCTAAACATTTTTTCGAAAGTATTTATGGGTGCCCCAACTTATAGGTGCCCTTTTAAGAGCGAATTTAGTAAATAAGTATATACAACGTAAAACTTGTCGAATCCATACAAAAGCAATTTAAATATTAGAATATAAAATATCTTACCTTAATTTTAGCATCTTTAGCATCTAGTGCATTGAGGCACACAACAACTACGTACCATCTTAATTTTTTTAATTAAAACACAGTATACAGTTAAACAAACAGTAACAGTCAAACGAATTAGAAAAAAACCGAAAACAACCAAAATGCCGAATGGCAAAAACGAAACATACGTAAATTTATTCAATTTATTTTGAAATTTAAAATAAACGACCGCGTCAACTTGTCAAAAACATACTGGACTCCTTCTAGTTCATCCAAATTAGTTGGCGTCATTTTTTCGAATAGCTCATCTTAAACATAAACAAAGGAAAAAGAAGAACAGTACTGTATGACGAATTTAGATGGCGCTCAAAATCGGGCACCGATTAATTCAAGTATAAGTGCTCACCCCCTGATTGAAAGTTAGAGAGTTAATGCAAGTCAACTGATCAGTAAGCAATTGCAAAGTGTAGTTCTCCTCAAGTTAATGGTTGTACTTCGTAACACTTGTTCGCCAATAAAGCTGCCGTTCTCTCCAAATGTGGTTTTACAACAGGAGTATCGTTCCAATGATTCAAGAATCGGGGCCCCCCGATGGTAATTCGGTGATGGTACACAATGTTGTTGTAAATATTTCAGCCCTGGCAATATTTTTCGCCGCCCGTCACCTCACCGCCCAAAACAATTATCTCTAACGATAACGCTAACGCTAACGCTAACGCGCAACATGTCGAAAGCGATCCCGTCACGTTTCCTGTAGATTAATCGCCAATGTAAGTAACACCTCGAATCGAATCCCCGACATCTTTTAAATGCATGTGCTTGGGGAAGTGTAGATGTATCAAAGGGGTAGGTTGGAAAAGATGGCGGAAATACTAACGGGGTTCCCGTTATTGTCTGGGGTAGCATCTCTACAGGGCTTTTCACGGTAACCGTCCATTAGAAGAAGTATCTTAATAATGAAAAGACTTAAAAATCTGAAAGTTTGGTTATAGTGTTTTTTGGATAATATGAATTGATTTAAAATATTTTCATTTTGATTACACTTCCGGTTATACCGGAAGTTAACACCAACTTCGTTATTTTATATGAAAAGTGTAATTTTTAACTTCATTTTTGAATTCTATGGCCTTTTTTAACTTGACTTTGATAATAACACCGTATGCCAAAAATGCACCATTTTTAAGATATTACAATTTTTTCGATATTTTTTGAAAAAACAGTCAAATGTATTTTCTGTTATATCTCTGTTAATAATGCAGCTAGAAGCTTGAAATTGAGTATCGATGATGTCCAGACATACTACTAAATGAAACTAAACTGTATTTTCAGAATCCATGTACAGGGTGTTTAAAATTGTCTGAACAACAAGGCCAAATTAAAGTGGTCATAACTTTGTTATTTCAAAGGGATCACACTATATTTTTTAACAGTGACCAATGCAGTTTTTTAAGCCCTTTCGATCCATATGGGTATTCCCTTTACCAAAATCCAGTAGTTTTTGAAATAATCGAAGTTTTATTAAATAAGGTATGAATTTTCTTTTTTTTTTGAGTTATCTAGTTGGCCATTTGATGACCTTATGTCAATCCGACAAATGAAATCAGTTCTTGAAATTATAGCAAAAATGTCAATGTTGGATTATGACAATCAAGATTTTTTAAATTTATTACTTATTTAAGGTTCATTATTGTTTACTTATTGTTATGTATTTGCTGTTTCAAATTTATCTTTTACTTATTTTCAATTGAAATTAGTTTATGAAATAAACTAATAATAAACAATATGAAAATATACAGGGTGTTCCATTTGAAAAAATAAAGAAATTTGATATTTTTGAATCTTAACTGTTCGTACTTTTTATACACACCCTGTATGCAATAGAGAGTATTTTTAAACCAATTTAATTACCTCTATAACCTTAATGGTAGTCACCTTACACAAACCATTTCATTAACTTTAAGGGTTTACTCGTAAAAAGATAATTTATAAGGGTCTACAACTGTCAATTTTTTCATTAAAAAAAATATCTCACAAAGTATGCATTTTTTGAAAAAATGTTTTAAACAAAAATACTCTTAAATTTAGCGTAGAATTTTTAAAAAAAACATAAATGTCGCATTGACATAAGGTCATCAAATGGCCAACTAGATAACAAAAAAAAATCATACTTTATTTAATAAAACTTCGATTATTTCAAAAACTACTGGATTTAGGTATAGGGAATATCAATATGGATCGAAAGAGCTAAAAAAACGGCATTAGTCACTGTTAAAAAATACAGGGTGATCCATTTGAAAACACAAAGTTATGAGCACTTTAATTTGGCCATGTTTGTCAGACAATTTTAAACGCTCTGTACATGGATTCTGAAAATACAGTTTATTTTCATTTAGTAATATGTATGGACATCATCGATACTTAATTTCAAGCTTCTAGCTGCATTATTAACTGTTTTTCCAAAAAATATCAAAAAAATTGTAATATCTTAAAAATGGTGCATTTTTGGCATATAGTGTTATTATCAAAGTCTAGTTAAAAAAGGCCATAGAATTCAAAAATGAAGTTAAAAATGGCACTTTCCATATAAAATAACGAAGTTGGTGTCAACTTTCGGTATAACCGGAAGTGTAATCAAAATGAAAATATTTTAGATCAATTCAAATTATCCAAAAAATACTATAACCAAAATTTCAGATTTTTAAGTCTTTTCATTATTGAGATACTTCTTATAATGGACGGTTACCGTGAAAAGCCCTGTATAATACTTGGACCATTTGGATTTGAAATTTAGAAAATATGCAGCACTTTTTCCCGATTGATACCAGATAATATAATTCGCAGTTGGGTCACTCTGGCGCTGACCCACTCAAATGCTATTTTAACCCATCGCTTATTCTAATCTCGCTATTACTAATCTATACTTCTGTAATGTAGCATCTGTTGGTCTTAGTTTATCGAGTTACATCAAGGCAACAGTTAGACATATTGCCAATTTTCAATAATTTTGGTGTAACGATGAAATTAGTGAAATGAAAAAGCTGTAAAGGCCGTCTTACAGCAAGGCGAGAATTGGCAACATGTTGCATGCGACTTGTTGCCTTAACGCATATACATATAAATATACAGGGTGTCCCAATAGTGCGGTAAAGCCCATTTACTCAGTTATTATAATAGATACGAAAAAATGGTAAATATGAAAAATTTTAAGCACCTTTAGGCGCATAATTTTGAATTATTTCGAAATATAGAGGGTGGCCCATAAATCGAAGCCATACCAAACATACCTTTTTTTAAAGGCAATGATATCTTTTTTATTTCATATTTGATTTCAGCTCGTTTCCACGAGTTTCTCAATATAAAATTTCATATGACTATACTGAGTATTTAAAAAGTTATGGCCATTTTTATGTTCATATCGACATGATTTCAAGGCTTTGTATATCAGAATCTGTATCAGATAATGTGAATTTTTCTGTGTTAGCATTTTTTGAAAATGGTCCATTTTCACAAAAAAATAGTTACATTCTGACAAAATTACAATTTGTATACAGGGTGAGTCAAAACCGCAACATAATAATTACTCGCTTAATTTAAATGGAACACCCTATATTAATAATATCCAATGGGAAGTCTATTTCTTACTGAATCATTTTTCATAACATTTCCTTATACCTAACTGTCCCTGTTTCTAAGATATTTTCAGTTTTATTAAAAAATGTCCAGTTTTTGATATTATAATTTCATTTTGATCTAATTACCAATGATGTTGTCGACCTTTTTTGCAAAATAATAGTAGAAAATGTAATATCGATTAATTAACGATCATTAACTACCCGAAATATTTGGTAATTTTTAAATTAAACTTTAAATTATTATAATTTTAATTTAATCTAGTTACCTCTATGACGTCATCATCTACGAACTTTGCGAATTTTACTTATTGAACTCATGTCACTTTAAATTATAGAATAACTAAAAATTTAGGGTACCTGCTAATGATATTTGATTAATCATTAATCGATATTTAATTTTCTACTATTATTTGGCAAAAAAAGTTCAACGACGTTATTGGAAATTAGAATAAAATGAAATTACAATACGAGTAATATCGAAAAGTGGACATTTTTTTATAAAATGTCCACTATAAAATGTCCCCCCCTTTATTTTTTGAACGGATCAACTTAGAAAATTTAAATTTAGGATAACAAAACTAATGCATGATTACTATATTTTGGAGTAAAATTGACAGATGAAAATTTTAAGATTGCGACTCGGCGCCATATTGAGAAATAAATTTTAATAGAAAGGGGGGTCTTGTGACACATCATTTTGAAGCTCCTGACAAATACTGTACAACCCTGGAATATAAAGTCAATATCTGCACCCATTACAAAATGGCGGAACATTTAATATTTACTCATATTTATATGTATATGCCTTAACTTGCACCTTGAAATGAATGAAATTAATTCAACGATTGACATTGAAAATGTTTAGAGAAAAGAAGGACAATTTTACCAAGCGCCGCCTCCGCCGATGTACCACCGACCGATTTACCAACAACAACATGCGCAGGAGACCGGCATCATGTCATCGATAACCAACGGTCTGTCGAATCTAGTGAATTATTTCGGTTAGAAAATTCTCGAAGAGTAGTTTATTTAGAAAGTATTCTGTAGTAATTCGATTTAGAGATTAAGGTCGTAGAGTTCAACGACACCCGAGTGGATGAGTTGATTAGTTTTTGTTCGCGCTATTCTATCCCGTAGACAGTGTTGTTAAGTAATTAATTACAAGTAATTGAAAAAGTAATTGAATTACTTTTATTGTAATTGGGGCGGTAATTAATTACAAGATCCTCAATAGACCTATTCAGTTTACGAAAGAGAGTGATGGAGTTATTTGATTAACATAAGAGAATAAAAGAAGCAAATATGTTTTACGCGCAATCTGTGGAACCATTTAAAATCTGCGCAAACGTAAGTGCAAGAGAGATGAGATATTTGGCCTATTTCATTGCGGATTGACAGACACATTGAATGATTCTTAGATGAAAATTGTTTTAAATATAAAAAAGAAGAGACCATCTTCAATCTTAACCCTATTTTGTTGGTTGTTTCCGTTTGATGTTTGTTTATGTTCAGTGTGTATTATTTTTAACAGTATTTCTTTGTATTATTTAGTATATTTATTTATAAAGGTTATAATTTTTTATATAGGTCAATGGGATTATTTCTTTGAAATATAAAATGGCAAGCCGATCAAAAAGCATTTTGGGAAACTTTGTACTAACCTCTTACTCTTTCTTAGACTTGACGACCTGCATATATTTTTTAACCCTAATCCCCTTTCTGGGCGGTAAAAACAAATTTGTATCGAGTCCATTACAAATTAAATCCGACGGATTGTTGGATAATGACAAATGACGTCTGAAGTATGTCTTAAGTTGTCGTTGTCTAGTTGTCAAAACGGTATTTTACCTGAGGTGCGTTCGTTTGTTCGTTTAGATGTCAAGTTAATTATCCACAGTATGCGCGCGCAGCACAGGTTAAACTGAATAGGTCTATTGTAATTCAATTACTCCTTTCGTTACAATTCATAGACCTATTAACTATGGACGCGGTTTAGACAAAGAGGTAGTGTTGTCGATGAATGAGAGAGATGCAGCTAGTTTGGGCAAATGGCAATGAGAGATTGGACAATGCTTTAGCCAATAGTAAGAAAGCAAAAGACCACGTGAGTAACGTTTTCAGATATGCAAGGTAGCTGGGGTAGAGGAGGGCAGCTTATGGTAGAATAGGGTTGAGGAGTGCAGCGGAGGGTATTGTGATTTATTATTTTTTTGCCGAGCAAAATGCATTTTTCAGCTGAGCCTAAATTCCCACGCATTTGCAAATATAGTTCTTATTTTGTATTGTTAATTGGAACATCCTACCTATTAGCCAGTACAGATTTCGCAATTTAAGACCTAACTGCTTTTTCTTGTAAAAAATATACTTCTTCCAGGTCATTCTTCTGTCCAAGTGGATACCAAGATAAAAACAATATTTAAATATTAAGCGTATAAATATTTTAACAGATTAATAGCCCTTTTCCACGCACCCTGTATATATTTTATATTTTTTTTGATCCCGCCTACTTTTAGCCCAAACTAGCTCCATCTCTCACGGACCTCTCTCTCTATCATTGGGAACGCTGAATAACCTCAAAATAACGATAGTGCCGCGTCCATACTTAATAGGTCTATGTTACAATTACATTTCAATAACATTGGACACAAAAGTACTTATTTAATATTTTCAATACGTGGAAAGTTTAATTCCGATTGCAAATCCCTAAATAATTATTTAAAACTGACACCAAGGCAAAGTAATTGTGATTGTAATTGTAATTGTAACTTTAATTGTAATTAATTACATATTATAAAGTAATTTTAACATCACTGCCCGTAGAGGTGATGAATCTACTCGAAACTGCGGAAATTCAGGTTGTACCATGACGAGTACTATGATGATAAATTACGTATGGTACAGCCTGTATTAAGGTACCTGAACTTTGAATTTATTAAACGTTCGAAATAGAGAAACCAATCCACTTTTAGCGACCCTTATACGAGGGTGGGGTGAAAAGTTCTCGACTCAGAGCGCTCTAATCGGCGAAAATAATTTGTGAAAACATTTCGTCGTTTTTAATGGATGAGAATAATAGAAATTACCATAATTCCCACAATTTTGGTCATTTATATTTTCTATTAAACGAGAAATGATCAAATTAATTTCAGAAAAACTTGTACTAATGACAGCGACGAAGAACATCACTTCGGACTGTCAAAGTTGTCATTTCCGTTACTATGGGATATGTTGACATTTAATTTGATGTACAGGGTGTTTTTTCATTAAGGAAATCGGAAAAATTGATATACGTTTTTTTTATCTTAAATGAAAAATTAGGTTTGTTCCTACAGAAAGTCACTGATTTGTTACCAATAAGTTTCTGACTCTTCTATTTCGCATGCGCGGTTTAGGATTGAATGGTGTAATCAAATTTCAGATTTCTTGCTGGAACAGTCTTTACATTTATTACATATATTCACCAAATATCAAACAAAAATACAACAAACAACAAAACCTAATAATTAACCAATATTCAGAAATACAAATTAAACCCTAATTGAAAATGCGCTTACGCCGGATTCTAAATCTCTGTACTATCAGCAAATTTTTCTGACTATCACAAAACCAGTCCCTTGAACTGTTGGAACAATAAATTGTTAACCAAGTCAGAATCAGAGATGTCTGTGGAGTTTGTTGGAACGCCTAAATTATTACTGCGCAGACTCCTGACGTCCACCGGCTATTTCTGACTGTTGTAGGAACAAACCTATTGTTTCTTTTTTTGAAACGTTTATAATTAATTTTAGAACTGTATAGAATCATTTATAACTGTCTACAACCATTTAGAATGCTTCAAAGCCATTTAGAACCCTCCAGAATCATTTAGAATTGTATCGAACTGAAGATTTCGACTTAATAATAAGAACAATCAGGTCGATTCTGTTCGTATATTGTTATGAATCTTGCTATGATAACCATGTTGTTATATGTTCAAGTTATAACAATATTGCCAAAAATTTTCTTATTCTGTTTCGATTAGTTTAGCAATGTTGGTTATATTTTTAACGCTTGACCATATTGCTAAAAACGTGCTGTCATTAGTGAAAAATAGAGCTGACAACACTGTAATTATCTGAATATAACCGAAAAAAGAAGAATCCTCCCTAAAAATTATTATTTTACGATTACAATTGACGCCATTGAAGGCAGCTTTTCTGTGTTTCTGTGTTTAATGTTGCTTCTTCAAATGGAAGTAATAGTAATAGTAATAGTTAAAAAAATTAAAAAATTTAAAACCTAAAAAATTATGAGTCATTATTTTTATAATACATTTCTGAACCAGCGCAACTTGTAGATGAAAAGGTGTTGTATCTCTTCGGAATGGTTCTTCTAGAACCTCTGATAACTGTTAAATTAAATTTAAAGCTGAAGCCTTATTTAAGTTTTATAAATTTTTCATTTAGCAAATCAAAAAGGGGTTACTTGTATCTCGTATTTGCAAAAAATGTAAACTCTTAACTCATATAGTAAAGAAAAAAGATCGAATTAGCCATATTGCTATCAAATAGCAAGTACAAAAATGACATTGTTCAAATAGCAAGATTTATAATAAGATATCTTTACTAATGACAGATCATATTGTTTAAATTACACGAACAGAATTGGTTATTTCTTAGGACATTGCTATAACAATATCTTTACAAAATAGCCAATAACCATATTGCTATTTACAAACAGAATCGACCTAAATGTAATTTTTCAACAGAAAATCACGGTCTTTCCTCGCCAGGCCGATAACTTTTCACCTTACCCTTATAGACTGTAATAATATAGTAATCTTTTTGAAAGTTAGTCTACTCATATCGAATAACCTATAATTAGTAATAGAGTACATATTTATTTGTTGTTTATTTATAAGCACCTATTTTTCTATAAGTTAAATGCAATAAAATGTATCTTGTTGACGTTTGAGGTTTTCTTTAACAAATAGCAAATAACCCGAATTATAGCAAAAAAAATACCTTTTATTAATAAGATTTATAAGATCTATTAGGTAATCTAGGATTCCTCCGGAGGCGAGATGTCTTTGACTCGCTGGAAAGCCGATATCAACGCGGTCAGTTGGAGATTCTCGTTTGCGCCTGCGCACAAACGGTATTCGATATCTGACAACGTCGCCAGGAGATCGATCATGAGATCGAACGGGAATTCAACTAAAAAATAAAAAAAAACGAATTAAATACAACGTACGTTAAAATCATAGAGAATATAGACTGGAAAAAGCGTGTATTCATAGATGGCACAAATTGAATTTTGCGCATACTGTCACTTGTCATTAAGGGTAGATACCAGTGTTGCCAGATGTAGCGGAATTTAAACACAGCGTTGCCAGAAGTAACGGAAATCCACTACTTTTAGGCGATCTTGTGTAGGCCTTGTATAGTTAAAACCTTATATGCTAATAGTATATATGATCTAAGGTTAAAATAAACGACTAAATAAATAAACGATACGAAATAAAATAAATGTTAACAAAATGAATGAAATTTTCTATTACTACAAGTATCAAAAATTTTAAATCATAATAAAAATATACCATATGACCGAATTATTCCGCAGCAAGCATTAGAATTAGAATCTCAATCAATTCTATAAGATAGTAAGGAACAGGAACTTGTTTATCGGTTATTCGCTTCGCTTCGTGCGAATACCGGGCATTTGCTCTCTTTATTCCTTACATAACAAAAGTTCAATTAGCTATCTCATTAGTTTCATTGATTTTTCTACCTTAAATGACATGACAATGTCAAAATTGTCAAATCTGTCAAATTCAATTTGTTCCATTATTTTCACGCGCATCCGTATGCTTTTGCCACTCTATATTTCTCTATGGTTAAAATTTGTAATTAAATGCCAATGCCCGGTTTCCCTGAACTGAACAATTCAGTTCGAAATCTTCTTCTTTTTTTTTGAGACATTAGAATTCTAAAGGTCGGTTTATCAGAAACATTTGCTTAAACTGTTAAATAGCTAACTGAAGATTAAAAGTTTTGGTGAAACGTTAAAATATTTAACTGGAGTTTAAAAGTTATTCATCGAACCTTAGATCATATACAGGGTGACCCAGGGTCGCGTTAAAGTCCCATAACTTTTTACCTAATTGAGATGTCGACTTGATTTTTTTTTTCAAAGGTGAAATTATAAGAAATTCCGAAATTAAAAGAAAACTAGCAGGTAAAAATATTGACAATGTTATATCGTTAGAAAGGCAATAAAATTTCCTACAAGATGGTGTACAAAAAAGTAGGTAGTTTCATTTAAAAAAATCAAGTTACCTTTAATTGAAATTTTGTAAATTTGCTTATCGATATCTAAGAACACAAACAGTATTCAATTATGAATCCATGTCACACAGTAGTACATTTCATGTTTACTAATAACCCAGAGTCACGGCCTTCTAAGTTTTACAAAAGCGGCAATATTCATTTTTTTTTTCAAACCTCTACTTTTTTCGAAAATGTCGAATTGCCACTAAACGATTGGTTTTAGGTATAATGTATGGTACATAAAGTCACACTAATATTCACTAAAGAATTCAAAAATGTTATAATATACAGGGGGTTCCATTAAAAAAAAAAAGGTAACTTTAGTGAATTTTTAATACTGAGCCACCCTGTATATAGACGAAACTATTTTAATAATATGCAGTATTATTGTACCTACCTTTTGAAAAAAAAATCAAGTCGATATCTCAATTAGGTAAAAAGTTATGGGACTTTAACGCGACCCTGGGTCACCCTGTATACTAACGTGGATGCATAAATGCCATAAGAATTACATTTACGTTCCTGTTGCCAACATCTACAACATGCCTAAATTATACTCTCTTTTTTTACTCTATGGAATTCAGCATAGATTTATCTTTGTTTTGGTCTGCCAATTGAGCATGCGCTTTAAAAATCTGAAAGTATTTATTAGTATACAACAGATACATTAGAAAATTCGCCCTTGTTGCCAGGTTCACACATTTGTTGTAATTTTTCACTCTTTTAATATGTACGATGTACGATAAAAATATTTTTATTTATTATCTAAAATAATTGTTTTGAAATGCAGTAATACTATTTAAATGCGTATACATTTTAATTAACTAATTATTGTACAAAACAGCTGCTCGATTACTGATTTGTAGTAAAAGAAAAATAGAAATAAGAAATAGCTATTAGACATTTGGCAATGTTGATGCGTCCTTTTTTGGCACTGGCATTGACACTATGACATTTGACATTTGCTTCATAACTGTCATGGCGTCGTATTATTATTTATATTTGGATTTTTGATTATTGAATTGGTTTGTGTTTAGTGTTTGCGGTTTATACATAACACTGAGGTAAACAACAAGCATCTTAAAATAGTTTTGAAGCATGAATATTTAAATTTGTCGCTAACTATATACGTCAAAATTGTCAAAGGCTCCAAGACAAAGACACACCGTTAGAAACTAGCGAGTGTCAAACAAGGACGGGTCATAAAAGTACGTCGTGAATATGTTAGCAACAGAGTTTATCGCTGTCGACTCGTCCACGTTAGTATATACAGCGTGTCTACTTAAGTTGGCAACATATGGGAAACTTTTTTATTATTAATTTTAGGAAAAAAGTTATTCTTTATAAAAAGTTCTGCATGATCTGAAACCGTAGAAACAATCATCAAATATCAAATTTTTTTATTCGTATACGAGGTTTGTCAAAAAATCTGATTGTAAACAAATGTTTCATTTCGTCCAGAATGTAATAAGCAAATTTTTACAAAACAAAATTTATTACACATCTAATGAATACACAATTAAAATTAAAATAATTTCAAGAACAATGTAATCAGATCCATCTACCTCAACTTATTTTTAAATCTTTAGAAACTTAAGTAATGTCTAAGTTTGCATATTAAGTGATACATGTTTTTTGAATTATCTTTTAACTATTATCAATAATTAATAATAAACAGTAATCTCTTATTTTTATTGAACAGTTGATGTGTAATAAACATTGTTCTTGAAATTATTTTTATTTTAATTGTGTATTCATTAGATGTGTAATAAATTTTGTTTTGTAAAAATTTGCTTATTACATTCTGGACGGAATGAAACATTTATGTTTACAATCAGATTTTTTGACAAACCTCGTATACGAATAAAAAAATTTGATATTTGATGATTGTTTCTACGGTTTCAGATCATGCAGAACTTTTTATAAAGAATAACATTTTTTCCTAAAATTAATAATAAAAAAGTTTCCTATATGTTGCCAACTTAAATAGACACGCTGTAGATTTATAGATTCATTTGTTGTTGGTGAAACCGGGCACTAGTCCCTTAATTAAAACGCTTTTGAATAAAATTTACTTCGATGGATGTATTTGTGCACTTCGGTGAGGATGTCGTGAAGAGCCAGGCCTTTGATCATCTTCAATTCTCTAATATCTGAAAACCAATACGTTGTAATTAAATGACAAACGGGCGTTCGTTTGGATTATACTTTTGTAGGTATCGGAGAAATTTTCGTTGAGCAACCATTTGACGATGTTTTCGATGTCGGTTCTCAGGGGATGTCCAACGCACGTGTACACGTTGTCCTCGGTCACGTTCTTGTAGGCTAGCCAGGTACTTTGGAGAACGTTCAGTACTTTGCGCATGTCTCCGTTGGCTAAAGTCAACAGTGCCTTTTTGCCATCTTCTGTGATGGTTACTCTAGAAACAGTGTTGTTAAGTTATAGTTAACTACAAGTAGTTAAAAATGTAGTTCAACTAAAGGACATTCGCGCTCGCTAGGCAATGACGTCACAAGTCGACATGTTGCAACGTTGCCGGGTTGAAATGAAAATCTTGATGTGACAGATATGTTTAATTGTAAGGTTATGTTTACTTTCATTGTTTAGAAATTAAAAAGAGGAAATGCATTAGGCTGCAATCCGATTGACGGGAGAGGTGTTTATTTGCAACCCTTCACAACCCTATAAAACAGAAATATACATTTAAAAAACTATTTGTAAGTTTAACATAACCTATAAATTTCAATTTGCTGAACTATCGAAAATATTGATCGGGAATTAATCGGGAAAAAAGGGCATCGTCCCGTTCCGTCCCAAAATAGGTCGAAAAACACCGAAAATCTCGGGAGAAACTGTCGATAAATGTACATAAACCGCACGAAAAACTATCTAGATCGAACGAAAAATACAAAACCTACTCGTAAACTTGAAAAAATACAGGAAATCGCACAAAAACAACAAGTTGTAGTCATAACCTGTCAAAGTGTCAACTACAAAGCGCCGCTAAATATTGCAAATGTTGAGACTAAATGCATGACAACATCGCTTTCGACTTTCAACTACGCGTCGTTAAATTCCCCTAGTCAAATGGGAGAATTAACATTGACACTAGGGAAATGTTGAACTACGTGAAAATTAATGACGTCGGCTAAAAATGACGTCATTGCCTAACGAGCGCGAATGTCCTTTACTTTTAATGTATTTAAATAACCAACTAACTACTTTTGTAAGTCCGGACTTCTTCTTCTCAATATCTGCAAAATTATTAGGTTTAGGTATAGGGAAGTAAACATGAACTTCCCTTATTTTTGACCGCTGATTTCATTAAAATTGAAAAAAATGGGTGGTTCCGTTTAAAAAAATGAAGAAATTTGATATTTTCGATGTTCAACTTTGTACAATTTTTATACACACCCTGTATAAAATAAAAAGTTTTTCAATACAGGTCCAAATACCTTTTTACCTTGCTAGTAGCCCCCCTACAGAAACCGTTTCCATATCTTTAAGGGGATCCCCGTAAAAAAATAATTTATAAGGGCCTGCATCGGACAAATTTTTCAAATAAAAATGTTTAACTCAAAAAGTATGCATTTTAGGAAAAAGTGTTTTAGACAAAAGTACCCTGAAATTTTACGTAGATTTCGAAAATATAATAATATACAGGGTGTTCTATTTGAACAAAGTTGATGCCTACTTCCGGTACAACCGGAAGTGGTATGACTGTCAAAATATTTTTAAGAAGTTCGACTTATTGCATAACATATGTATACTAAATTTTCATCAAATCGGATAAGTAGTTTCCAATATACAGATAGTTTAAGCTCGTCGTGACACACCCTGTATAAAAGCAATTATAAATGTTCAAAACACAACCTTAGGAACCATTTTTAAATTCAAATTCATTAAAAAGGTTAGACAACAGTTCTTATGTGACACTTTTGTCACTGTTTGTAGTGTTTGTTGCCAACCTAATTTGACTTCTGCCGCTACCCCCCATAGAGAAATATAGAGTGGCAAAAGCATACGGATGCGCGTGAAAATAATGGAACAAATTGAATTTGACAGATTTGACAATTTTGACATTGTCATGTCATTTAAGGTAGAAAAGTCAATGAGAATAATGAGATAGCTAATTGAACTTTTGTTATGTAAGGAATAAAGAGAGCAAATAGTCATGCCCGGTATTCCCACGAAGCGAAGCGAATTTTAATATCGGCCGGCAACCGATAAACAAGTTCCTGTTCTTTACTATCTTATAGAATTGATTGAGATTCTAATTCTAATGCTTGCAGCGGAATAATTCGGTCATATGGTATATTTTTATTATGATTTAAAATTTTTGATACTTGTAGTAATAGAAAATTTCATTCATTTTGTTAACATTTATTTTATTTCGTAACGTTTATTTATTTATTCATGTATTTACCCCTTAGATCATAAGATTTTAACTATATAAGTCCTACACAAGATCGCCCAAAAGTAGTGGATTTCCGTTACTTCTGGCAACGCTGTGTTAAAATTCCGCTACTTCTGGCAACACTGGTATCTACCTTAAATGACAAGTGACAGTATGCGCAAAATTCAATTTGTGCCATCTACGAATACACGCTTTTTCCACTCTATATTCTCTATGCTACCCCCTGATTAAGTTATTCTGGGGAAAAGTACCGAATTCCGTGTAAACAAACACGCCCGATCCGAAAATCGACGTTTCGACTTTAGGAAATATCATCTTCAGCGTCAAATGAGCAAAAATAAACTGTATTTTTCTTTTTGAGGTTGTTAAATAATGATTAATGATTTGTACTCACTTTTCCTCGTCGACGACGTAGTTCAATCTGGGAAGTATCTGGTCGGGCGAGAGCGGTTTGAATCTGAATTTGGTGCAACGCGATTGCAAGGCCGGTACCAATTTGCTCAAATAGTTGCAGATTATGCAAAATCGCACGTTTTCCGTGTATTTTTCGATGACTGGAAGAACAACACAAAAATGTTACAACTTACACGGCGACGGAAACAAGTATTTCTTTAAACCTTTTATGCCCGATTTCACCAACCAGTTCCTAAAGTTAGGTAATACCTAAACCGGATTTAGGAATTCCTAAGTACAAATTGCGTTTCACCATGCACTAAGTAATACCTAAAGGTAATAGGAAATGCCTAAAGTTAGGACAGTTCACTGGGCTTGCCTAAAACATTTAGGAAATACTTAATCATACTTTTTATGTGATTACATGTGACTTTAGATTTGACTGTCTTTAGACTCTTTTGATGAAAATTTAAAATGGGAGGAGAGTTTTTAGAAACTGGACGAAACTGATTTTTTTTTCGCCTTTTTCGATATATAAAAATACGGCATTACAAATATCAGAAAGAATTGAAGATGATTTTTAATTTGATACACAGGAAGTTTTTGGAACTATTGACCGTACACATGCATGAAAATATCCATAGTCTTGGAGAAGAAGATGTAGAAATATTTTACAAATCGGAAAGGTTATTTTTCTAATAATGTACAGACTACATCTTCAGCAGATTTAAAAATAACTAACATAATTTAAAGATGGCCCGGATCGTCAACATCTCTTCTTTTCTCTCAACATATTCAATTTCGATCTCCGCTTATTCGGTTTACACGTCAAAATTAGCCAATGCTACCAATAAAATTCAAAAAATTGTCGAAATCAAATTTTTACCTAGGTATTTCTTAGTAAGGGATATTTCTAATGTTGGTGAAATTCGATTTAGGTAAGTATTCGATTTAAGTAATTCCTACCTTAGGAATTACCTAGTTAGGAAATACCTAACAACATGTTGGTGAAATCGGGCATTAGTTTTCGTGTTACAGGGTGTTACAGTTTTAGAAAACATAAACCACTGCAACTAATTTGTAAAATCGTGATTTATTTTACATATTTTTTTAAAGTAGGTGAGATGAATAGTCGTATTGAGACACTTACAAAGAACTTTAAAGATAAAATCAAGAGTTTTCTAATAGAAAATCAATTTTACTGGAATATACTGGAATATTTTACTGGAATATAAAGTCAATATCTGCACCTGCTACAAAATGGCGGACATTTAATAATTACCTGAACACATCGACATTTAACGTCATAATTTGAGGAAATAAGCTGAGTTCAGTTCAATAAATACTCAAAATGATTGCCTTGAAATTCTTGATATAAGAACAGCCTATCCGAATATTTTCGAACATAGTAACGTCGATATTTCTACAAATATCTGTAATTCTTTCTCGTATATCCAATATTGAAAGCAGGTTCAGTTTCGTACACTTTTTGCTTCAAATAGCCCCTTCAAATGTCCGCCATTTTGTAGCAGGTGCAGATATTGACTTTATATTCCAGGGTTGTAGAGTATTTGTCAGGAACTTCAAAATGATGTATCACAAGACTACCCTTTCCATTTAAATTTATTTCCCAAGATGGCGCCCAGTCGCCATCTTGAAATTTTAATATGTCAATTTTACTCCAAAGTATAGTAATCATGCATTAGTTTCATTATCCCAAAATTCATTTTCTAAGTTGATCCATTCAAAAAATAAAAAGGGGGGAGGGACATTAAAGAAATACATCTGTATCTGTATATATCTGATTCGACTTGTCCTACTACATGTAAAGTTCCAAAGGATTAATAAATACTATTATTAGTGATGAATATTGGTAGGGGTGGAGGACACTTGGTCGCCGCGGTTAATTTTACCCAAATTTAATCCTTTCTCGATTCGAAAGGTACAGGTCACTTGGTCGCCAATACTGGATTAACGGTTTCTAGGAAGGACTGATAGGGATATCTACATTTTTAAAATTCTCTGGTAAAGTTAGTATTTGAATTTCGTCGTACAAATTAATAAGGATGTTTATGTTAACGATTCGCATATTATTTTATTTTCTTGCGAATCAAATTTGACATATTTGTGCTCTCGTGGCACAATTTATTGCGACGGCACATTTGATTATTTTCCCTTATTTTTTGTGCAATTTTTTACTATACACGCTATTGACAATGGCCATTAGCATATTTTCTCGGGCATATCCGAACTCTGCCACAAAATAAAATGTTACCTGAATTGTATCAATTTGGGGATTACTGAATGGTTCGAACTCTGCCACGACCATTAAGTTTAATCCTATTAGGGTCATTAGGGTTTATTATAATATTACCTAAATAAAACTTAAAATTTCAACCCAAAGAAGTCGTAGTAGATTTTGAACTAAGCATTCATAACGAATGATGACATTCATCATATGAATGTTTTGGTAGATATCAAATTATTTTTGGTTGTAAATTTCATCTCTGTCAAGCTTGGTTTCGAAAGATTCTGGAGTTTCATTGGGTACAAGAGTACATACAGAAAGATTGAGTAATTGGCGACTACTTAAAAGTACATTTTGGAATGATGTATCTTAGACCTGAGGAAGTTGTTGAATTTTTTAATAACGAACTACATTTTTTGCTTCCAAACGATAAGAGAGCTATATAATTTCACAATTATGTCAATAAAACGTATAAAAAACAAAATTCGATATTTCCACCACATATTTGGGCAAACAATGCAGTCTTTTTTAAGAGGACAACTAATTCTTGTGATAGTTTTCATTCCCATTTTAATAACTCTTTATAAAGCACACCCAAATATTGTCTAATTTATTATAGTGTGTTATTGGATTTAAACGTATATATTTTATTAAAATGTACATCTATTTTTTGTTACAAATATACGTTGAAAATATATTATGAAATTGTTAAATCGGATTAAACAATTAGACCCCTACGGGTTTAATACTTAATCCCTAAAATTTTAAAACCTGGCAGAGTTCGAACAACCCATAATGACTACCTGCATTTTGTGGCAGAGTTCGGATACTCCGATTTTCTCCTACCAAACTGCATTTAAAATATTAAAGGAGTATTGCTGTAACAATTTAAATTTAATTTGGATTCAATCAAAAGTAGTTTGTGTTTTTGAAAAAGCCCTACACTGGCATAAGGCAAATTTGGCCCGACATTTTAGTTATTGGATGCCGATTTCATTTAAAACAGTCATGGTTTCGAAAAATTCAAATTACACATTCATTACATATTCGGCTTTTTATTTTTAGAGAGTAATGAAGTTGCAGATTGTTTTAGCCTAGATTTAATTCCTATAATGCCAACCGATGAACGGTTACTTTCATATACTCTTTATATGATTAATACATAATATACTAACGACTCTTCTGACTTCCCGCCTTCAATGTGTTGACTTTAGACACAATGTATACATTTTTTAATACTAATACTTATTAAATATATTTTAACATTTAAAACTGCATTTTGTTCATATTCTCTAAGCTATCTGTGTAGGTATAGGTAACTAGAAGATCTCAGCCAAAATTATAGATGATTATAAAATGTACAATCTTGTCTAATCCGATTAGAATTATTTTTAATAAGATTTGACCGCGGCGACCAAGTGACCCATTAAATTTTAAAACTGGCGACCAAGTGACCGGTAGGATTATGGAACCCCGCAGACAAAATTGACCGCGGCGACCAAGTGACCAACACCGAGTGGTAGTAATGGAACGTCGTGGATTCAAAAACAACACGTAAATATCGAAGGTATTCAAATGTTCTCGCAAAAGAAACGCGTTTAGAATGAATCAGCAGGATTTATTGCACACAACAGGTTACAGAAGAGGATCTGGATCGATTATTATTATTATTTTTGTTAGAATTCGCGCTACTCGCGGTCTCCTCGATCCAGGGCAAGTCCACTTTGACGACGGGCGTTTGCCGTTCTTTTTCCATTCTGGTCAATTGCAGTCCAAAGTGTTTTGCTATTAGACTCGTCACGGACGAATTCACCTACAATAAAAATTGCTTAATAAAATTCGAGCGTTTTAAAAACGAAAAATCATTTTACGTTTTCTCCGGTTTTGGCGGATACGGAGAAATTCGACAGTTTGGAATCCGAAACGAATTCCCTGACTTTCTCCGATCGGATGGTCCGTTTGTGTTCCAAATCGACTGCAAAATATTATTAAATATTAAATATTATTTACGTTTATAAATTATACAGGTTGCTCCATTTTTTTATCGCAACATAGGTTATACAGTGTGTCTACTTAAGTTCGCACCATATGGAAAACTTTTTTATTATTAATTTTACGAAAAAAAGTTATTCTTCATAAAAAGTTCTGCATGTTTTAAAACCTAAAATACAACCATCAGATAACAATTTTTTTAATCCGTATACGAGGTTTGTCAAAAAAATGTGTTTTTTGCTTAAGAGTAAAGTACCTTCATTTTTGAAAATATCGAAAATTGTTATTAAGAAAAGTTGATCAGGACTAAAAATTACATTTTTTAATGTTTTTATGTAGTCGATAATTATTGTAAAATAAATTATTTTGTTATCATTTATTTCAATGCATAATCAAACTAATGCAACATAGAGGTTAAGAGATGTAAATGTAATCAAATTTTTAACGAATAAAGAGATAACAGATAACAATTTCCAATATTTTCAAAAATAGATTTACTTTACTTTTGAGCAAAATTCATATTTTCTAACAAACCCCGTATACGACTGAAAAAATTAGATATCTGATGATTGTATTTTAGGTTTTAAAACATGCAGAACTTTTTATGAAGAATAACTTTTTTTCGTAAAATTAATAATAAAAAAGTTTTCCATATGGTGCGAACTTAAGTAGACACACTGTATAAGCCATGGGTGCGATAAAGACAACTTCCATTAGACACTTACAAAGAAAAAGGACAGAGTGACATTTGTGTCCTTGCAACTTTTCACTTTGACAACTGTCACTTTAATAATCTTTCTTTATTCCACTCATAGAAATGACCATGTTGCAAATGGAAATGGAGCAAGGTGTATACTTCATCAAATGTAGTTTGGCAATTGGAATTTTTAAGATGTTCAGGTCGATTCTGTTCAGATCTTGTTATGAATATTACTATGATAACCATGTTGTTATATGTTCAAGTTATAGCAATATTTCCAAAAATTTTCATATTCTGTTTCGATTAGTTTAGCAATGTTGGTTATATTTTTAACGCTTAACCATATTGCTAAAAACGTGCTGTCATTAGTGAAAAATAAAGTTGACAACACTGTAATTATCTGAATATAACCGAAAAAAGAAGAATCCTCCCTAAAAATTATTATTTTACGATTACAATTGACGCCATTGAAGGCAGCTTTTCTGTGTTTCTGTGTTTCATGTTGCTTCTTCAAATGGAAGTAATAGTAATAGTAATAGTTAAAAAAATTAAAAAATTTAAAACCCAAAAAAATATGAGTCATTATTTTTATAATACATTTCTGAACCAGCGCAACTTGTAGATGAAAAGGTGTTGTATCTCTTCGGAATGGTTCTTCTAGAACCTCTGATAACTGTTGAATTAAATTTAAAGCTGTAGCCTTATTTAAGTTTTAGAAATTTTTCATTTAGCAAATCAAAAAGGGGTTACTTGTATCTCGTATTTGCAAAAAATGTAAACTCTTAACTCATATAGTATAGAAAAAAGATCGGATTAGCCATATTGCTATTAAATAGCAAGTACAAAAATGACATTGTTCAAATAGCAAGATTTATAACAAGATATCTTTACTAATGACAAATCATATTGTTTAAATTACACGAACAGAATTGGTTATTTCTTAGGACATTGCTATAACAATATCTTTACAAAATAGCCAATAACCATATTGCTATTTACAAACAAAATCGACCGCATTGAATGAACCAATAACGATAATAGATTTTTTTAGGGTGACTCTTACTGATCAGTTATTGGGATAAAAAAGAGTATACCTTGACAGTTGAAATTTTTACGAAATTGTATGAGCCAAGAATGATAGCCATTGGTTCGGTATTTAGATTTTTTTGGTGGCCTCTTACTGGTGAGTTATTGGTATAAAAATTTGCCTTATTTGCCAATTTTCCACTGCCAAGCTACGTTCGATATGGTAAAATAATACAATTAATATCGACTAAGCCGATTCTCTTACTTTTGTTACCGAAAATCGCCACGTGCTTCACGTTTTCAGAGAATTTTCTCACTTCCTCCAGCCACAGCATCATCCCGTCGAAACTCTGGCCGCACGTTATATCATACACGAGTATAATAATCTATAAAAAAAAACCACGATTATGCAGAACAAGTTTTTACACTAACAGATTGTAAACTACTGGACAAAATTAACGCAACATCATAAATTTGCCACATTTTTGATGCTATTTTTTATTTGAATTTATGATCCGATTTGGATGATTTTTTTGTTGTATTATAGGTTGGTTCCTTGACAATATCATCATTTTCGCTGTTTATGATAAAATGATCCTTTTCGATTATACCGGGTGTAATAAAAATGTAATGTTTTTTTTTCCGAGAATTTGTATCATCCTGTGGAGTATACTAGCAAACGAGACATATAGCAGTTGAAATTATACGGTAGATCCATCTTTTGCCAACATTTTGTTTTTTGATTTACTTCATTATCTCTGTTATTAAAGAAGATATGCCGTTTTATAGCGTAACATGTTTTAATAGACTTTATTATTCAAAACATTCATTGTTAAATGTTTTCAAGTAGGCTTAGGACCTTTTCTGACATTTCAAGTGATGTGTCAATATCAAATACATTATTTGTTATCTGTATAACAAAATAATTCCTGCTCTCTTTGATGAATGAAAACAAAATTAACGAATTACTTTATTTCATAAAGTAAAATTAAGAGTTTATTAAACACATTTTTTTGGAAACGAGTGAAAAAAGAAAAGAACATAAATCAAAAACAATAAAATTAATGGATTTATAATGCTATTAACGTGTATGCCCATCTCTAATTCGAATCATTGCTCCATTGCAATATGACTCATTGAATAGCCTTCATCCACCAAAGTTAAGGCTTTTACTGCTTCTTCGGTCGATAAATTTTTTGGACGATTCATTTTTCAAGATTAAAATAACAAATAATGTTTTCGATATTGACACATCGCTTGAAATGTCAGAAAAGGTCCAAAGCCTACTTGAAAACACTTAACAATGAATGTTATGAATAATAAAGTCTATTAAAACATGTTACGCTATAAAACGGCATATCTTCTTTAATAACAGAGATAATGAAGTAAATCAAAAAAGAAAATGTTGGCAAAAGATGGATCTACCGTCTAATTTCAACTGCTATATGTCTCGTTTGCTAGTATACTCCACAGAATGATACGAATTTTCGGAAAAAAAACATTACATTTTTATTACACCCGGTATAATCGAGAAGGAACATTTTATCATAAACAGCGAAAATTATGACATTGTCAAGAAACCAACTTATAATTCAAAAAAAAAATCATCCAAATCGGTTCATAAATTCAAACAAAAAATAGCATAAAAAATGTGGCAAATTTATGATGTTGCGTCAATTTTGTCCAGGAGTGTATTAACCCTCCCCAAAACTTACATTAGAATTAAAAAGGTAGTTCTTCAACATCTTCTCGTTCAACTGCAAACCACCTATATCCGATATTCGCACGGAAATATCCTTCTTATCGAGCAAATCAATACGTTTGATATAGAAATCAGCACCCATCGTTTGTACATAGTATCTAGTATACTCGTCGTAGCAAAACCTTCGTACGATGCTCGTCTAAAAATACCACATTTAATAACATCATTTCATATTTCGCCAGCGTATACAATACACACTTTTCCCACATTCGGATCGCCCAACACGACGATCTTCACATTTTTATCAGCCATATCCTCATCGGATTCAGACATCGCGCATTATCCCGCCGGGATTTGCATCGACATTAACATATCAACGGCGGAAAATCCTGCGAAAATAACCGCCCAAGCATTAGAAACACGTACCGTTCTATCGGAAAAATCGCACATAAAACCCAGGGGTCCGCCTATCCGGGCCCCACACAACGCGAAATCCACCGCACAAGGAACATGTTCAAGTACATCGTAGTCGTCGCCCTGTGCATTACGGTGTACGTACAGTCCTGTTTGATCACCAACTGTCCCAGGGGCGGCAAAAGGAGCGGCAAATTCAACGTCGATGCCAAAGTAAAACCGGTAAGTTTTCGAATAGACCTATTCAGTTTAACCTGTGCTGCGCGCGCATACTGTGGACAATTAGCTGGACATCTAAACGAACAAACGAACGCACCTCAGGTAAAATACGGTTCTGACAACCAGACAACGACAACTTAAGACGTCATTTGTCATTATCCAACAATCCGTCGGATTTAATGGACGCGGTGACTCGATACAAATTTGTTTTTACTGCCCAGAAAGGGGTTATAGGCTTAATATTTACGTACAAGTCAAGTCTAAGAAAGAGTAAGAGGGTTAGTACAAAGTTTCCGAAAATGCTTTTTGATCGGTTTGCTATAATATATATTTCAAAAAAATAATCCCATTGACATATACAAAAAATTATTACCTTTATAAATAAATATACTAAATAATACAAAGAAATACTGTTAAAAAATAATACACACTGAACATAAACAAACATCAAACGGAAACAAAATAGGGTTAAGATTGAAGTTGGTCTCTTCTTTTTTATATTTAAAACAGTTTTCATCTAAGAATCATTCAATGTGTCTGTCAATCAGCAAAGAAATAGGCCAAATATCTCATCTCTCTTGCACTTATGTTTGCGCAGATTTTAAATGGTTCCACAGATTGCGCGTGAAACATATTTGTTTCTTTTATTCTCTTATGTTGATCAAATAACTCCATCACTCTCTTTCGTAAACTGAATAGGTCTATTTTTGTAGATTTTAGCAATGCAACACGGTTTGACAGTTTTGACGCTACGACTGTCATTAGTGTCATTGTTGTCAATAATGTTTATTTTTTCCGAGGTTAAGTTCACGTTGTTGCCATATGACCGGTAAAGTATTTTGTAAAATTCGGAATAAACAAAATTGTGTAAAGGAAAGAACGTTTTTCATCGACATATTACTACTGTTTTTCGATTATACAGCCACTACGTGTTGTAAACAAAGTTCAGCAACACAGCCTACTTGTGACGTAATAAGGATCCCACAGACCAACGCGAAACTTTCGCTGCCGCTGCGATTTCGCAGCGGATCCTTTGAACGGCGGCTTATGAACATATTCAGACTAGCAGCGGTAGTTTCGCAATAGTAGCGAAAACGCAGCGTTCTATTTTCGAAACGCTGCTTGCACTGTTTTTTCCGCTGCCGTTGCGGAATTTGGTACCTACAGGGTGGCACATTAGTATGGAAAAGCTCAATATATCTGTTATTGTAGAAGATATAAAAAAAACGTCATTACAAAAGTTGTAGATCTTTTTAAACTACACATTTTAAAATTAAATTCATACAGAGTGTCCCGTTTTTCCGTAGTAGATCAAACTTATACTTTTTTAAATGGAACACTCTGTTTTTTATTTAAAAATTGAATTTAGCTCGTTTTCAGTTTTCCAAAAATATAATTTTATATAACGTTATACTGAGTGGTTTAAAAGTTATGACCACTTTTCCACGAAAATCGTACTAAGTTTACCACTCTGTAGAAACTAAATGGATTGAATTGAAAATAAATTTCAGGTTTTAGAACATTGCAAATATCCTGAAAATGTACAAAATGAATATTTTTTGTCAATTTTAATCATACTGCTTACAGGGTGGATCTAAACGCAAAAGTAATATTTTCTCTGTTAATTTAAATGGATCACCTTATATTTTATATCTTTAACAGGAAGTATTTTTGAAGTATGTACGTACTTTCATTCTTAATAACCATTCCCTATACCTAAAGTTAACACTTTTAATCGATATTACATTTTCTACTATTATTTTGCAAAAAAGGTCGACAACATCATTGGTAATTAGATCAAAATGAAATTATAACATCAAAAACTGGACATTTTTTAATAAAACTGAAAATATCTCAGAAACGGTGACAGTTAGGTATAGGGAAATGTTATGAAAAATGATTCAGTAAGAAATATTGAAATTGAAAAAATTGAAATAGACTTCCCATTGGATATTATTTATATAGGGTGTTCCATTTAAATTAAGCGAGTAATTATTATGTTTGCGTTTTGACTCACCCTGTATACAAATTGTAATTTTGTCAAAATGTAACTAATTTTTGTGAAAATAGACCATTTTCAAAAAGTGCTGACACAGAAAAATTCACATTATCTGATACAGATTCTGATATACAGGGCCTTGAAATCATGTCGATTTGAACATAAAAATGGCCGTAACTTTTTAAATACTCAGTATAGTCATATGAAATCTTATATTGAGAAACTCGTGAATACGAGCTGAAATCAAATATGAAATAAAAAATATATCATTGCCTTTAAAAAAAGGTATGTTTGGTATGGCTTCGATTTATGGGCCACCCTCTATATTTCAAAATAATTTAAAATTATGCGCCTAAAGGTGCTTAAAATTTTTTCATATTTACCATTTTTTCGTATCTGTTATAATAACTGAGTAGATGGGCTTTACCGCACTATTGGGACACCCTGTATATTTATATGTATATGCGTTAAGGCAACAAGTCGCATGCAATATGTTGCCAATTCTCGTCTTGCTGTAAGACGGCCTTTACAGCTTTTTAATTTCACTAATTTCATCGTTACACCAAAATTATTGAAAATTGGCAATATGTCTAACTGTTGCCTTGATGTAACTGGATAAACTAAGATCAACAGATGCTACATTACAGAAGTATAGATTAGTAATAGCGAGATTAGAATAAGCGATGGGTTAAAATAGCATTTGAGTGGGTCAGCACCAGAGTGACCCAACTGCGAATTATATTATCTGGTATCAATCGGGAAAAAGTGCTGCATATTTTCTAAATTTCAAATCCAAATGGTCCAAGTATTATACAGGACTTTTCACGGTAACCGTCCATTAGAAGTATTTTAATAATGAAAAGATTTAAAAATCTGAAATTTTGGTTATAGTATTTTTTGGATAATATGAATTGATCTAAAATATTTTCATATGGCTTTCGTATGGCTTCGATTTATGGGCCACCCTGTATATTTCGAAATAATTCAAAATTATGCGCCTAAAGGTGCTTAACATTTTTCCTATCTACCATTTTTTCGTATCTATTATAATAACTGAGTAAATGGGCTTTACCGCACTATTGGGACACCCTGTATGTCATTTGATTTGACAAATGCAAATAAAACAGAGCCGCAGATTTTTTTAATATGAACCAGTAAAAAAATATTAAACAATTAGTTGTGTCATATAAACTTGTTTTAAATATAATTTAACTTAAATTTATTTAATATCAAAAGTGTTCTGTGTAACAAGATTAATGACATTTGACAGATCAATGACATATTAGGACGACTTGTATGGCCAATATAATACTACGTTCTTCTCTCATACTGTATATTCACGATTATACAGGGTGTCCCAAAATTCACGCCCGTCCTTTCAGAATATGATTCAGTGGGCTAAAACAAATTAAATTTTAAGAGTAAAATTTTTTCGTTTTGTCCTGTGACATTTGTAGACGAGAACATGCTACAGAGGGTTCGTGATTCAATTATAAATCGTGCGAATGTTTGCATTGAAGTAGGCGGCGATTTGTTTGAACACCTTTTATAAATTATTCGTTTTTATGTTTTTTATGTTCTTATGTTTAATAATGTTTCTTTGTTACTTTGTTTTAATTAAAGTTTTAGTTGAATTTAAAAATTTTTGTTTTTTATCAATAACTCATCGGTTATCAAGGACAAAACGAAAAAAATTTATTCTTAAAATTTAATTTGTTTTAGCCCGCTGAATCATATTCTGAAAGGACGGGCGTGAATTTTGGGACACCCTGTATTTATTTTATATTTATAAATCAGATGACTAACCACTGTTTCATCGATGAGAAAAAGATCGTTGACAGATGACAAACGTTTAAAAAAATCGCCGAATAAATGAACAGTTCGATGACATCGGTTGTTCAACCGCTGAATAAAAAAGATCACGCCTATATTATACAGCCACTATCGTTGCAGTGCATCTCCTGCGGTCCCGGACACACCGGCCAATGCTTCGGACCGAACATTTGCTGCGGCCCGTTCGGCTGTCTCGTAGGCAGCCCGGAGACGTTGCGTTGCCAGAGAAACGGTTTGTTCAACGAGGCGGAGCCCTGCTTGGCGGGCGCCGGTTATTGCAGGGATCGCACCGGCCGGTGCGCCGCCGATGGAATCTGTTGCGATCAAGGTAACACTCTACAACGTTAATTCCGTTCGGTTTTACTCAATTTCTTTCACTCGTAGAGTCCTGTTATGTCGACCGACAATGCACGATCAAGTCCGAGACGCTGGATAACCTGGATATATACAATTTCGTGAACGCCTATCCCGCCGAGATGCCGCTAGAGAAGTGAACCCGTACGCGCTAATTACTCGATGAATAAAAAAAACTTTGTACAGCACTTACCTCGAGTTTTTATCACACCCGATTAAACTTTTACGATGTCACAACGATGAATCACCGTTGGTCACTAAGGCGATTTCGTTCGATACAAACAATACTCACTTCGACACTATCAATTAGCGATAATCGCGCTCGATGTGAATTATTAATTAGGGTTGCTACGTTTGTAGTTAGATGGTCGTTTGAATGCTTACCCCGGCGCAGGGCGTTCTGGGCGTCCATAGTCATGGCGTCGGCTTCGTCTAGGATAATCAGCTTGAAGCCTTTCTTGAATATCGTCCTGGTGCTGGCGAACGTGAGGATCTGGCCTCTGACGATGCCGATGCCTCTATCGTCGGATGCGTTCAGTTCTAAAACCTGAGGCGATGTTTAGAAGGAGATGGGGGGCGGAGAATTTGGGGCGTGTTACCATCGAGGAGAATTGGGCCGGTGTGTAGAGTTGCCTGGCGCAGGCGAGGATGGTGCTGGTTTTGCCCGTACCGGGCGGCCCGTAGAATAGTAAATGGGGTACTTGATCGTCCTTTATGAACTTGCTTACTGGAATTTTGAAATTGATTAGTTTAATGAGGTGTTTAAGTATTTGTGTAAATCGATTTACTTGTTCTTATAATGTCTTCGTGCGAGACTAATTCGTCGAGGGTGCTAGGACGGTACTTTTCAACCCTGCAAAATTTGGTTAATTTATATGCTATTTTAGGGTTTATACGTTTACTTACCATGGTAAATTAACTCGTACTTGTTCGGTTTGTACCATTTTAATTAGATATTTAGCGAATTTCGGTTTTTAATTCTTAACCTCAAGTAGAAACAACAATCAAAAATTGACCGCTAAAATCTTCTTTTTTAATTTTTATTTGTCATGTGTCAAATATTTTTAAAATTTAGCTGAACGCCTTAATAGACCAGACCTTTACAGATTATTGGAACCCACGGTCGTATAACAACAGGTCAGGAAACTATGAAATAAAAGGTGTTACGGATGATGTGACTCGACCGAGAACGCTAGTATTAGGACACACTACGCAAATTTCCCTTCATTAAACCATTTCGCCTTCCAAATATCATTTTTACAGCGCAATACACCACGACTCACGACTACCACAAAATCCAAAGAGTTTCCAGACCTTTTAAATATACCGCCGTGCCGTAACCGTTGTTGTGACGTTTCATCTGTCATTTCATAATTGACAGAAACACCCACAAAAAGAGATTACGATACCATTTTTTCCAATACTTTTTGAACTCTCTTTGTTAAACAATCAAACAAGAACAATTTCGTTTGTACTTTGTCATCCGATCCTTTACGATTTCAACGTTATGAATCACCGTTTCGTGAAGATTGTCTAAGCAATACAACCTCAAACATGGATAATACCGATTGTGAGAGCGAAAACCCCGTGAATATCAGCGACAGTGAGTCCGAAAGCAACTACGATGAAGACGACGAGGCCACCCTCATAGCGCCCCCTCAAGGTAACCACCCGTACGATATTTATACCGTTTTAATCAACGTCGATTTCAGTCGAAGACACCAAAAATTGCTTAAAGACGAGACACGTTCTGGGCATACTGGGCTTCTTCGGCTTCGCCAACGTGTACGCTATGCGAGTTAATCTATCTGTAGCTATAGTAGCTATGGTGAATAGTACCCAACCGGTACCTAGTTCTAATACAACGTTCGACCAATGTCCAGTACCGAATATTACAAATTCCACGGAACCTGTAGTAAGCACATATTATTATTAGGGATTTAAACTTGTATACAATATATTAGTCATATAAACATTCATAACAGCGCTTTATCAAGTGTTGTTATAACCAAAACATTCGTAATCTTAAGTTACGTAATTAATTGTCGTTATCGAAGAGTAAACAATATTTGTGTTACAGAGACCCGGCGAGTTTAATTGGGACGAACAGACGCAGAGTATCGTATTAGGCTCGTTTTTCTACGGTTACGTTTTGACCCAAATGCCCGGAGGGAGATTGTCGGAAATCTTCGGGAGCAAACGGGTGTACGGCATGGGTGTCTTGATAACTTCGGTATTCACTTTGCTCACGCCCATCGCGGCACGAATCAATTTCACGTTGTTCATTATAGTGAGGATTTTGGAAGGAATGGGAGAGGTAATGGGAATATCCTAGCGTAAGATTACTAATTTAGGGCTGCTTTTTATGCGTATACGTTGAAGCTATTGTTTCGAGTTTTTGAAAGAAAAAGGTTATGCTTCTTTTTATAACATATACCTATTACTACTATGCTGCTAACTCCCTATCTATTCCATGAGAGAAAATCGTAGCGATTAAAGAGAGAGATCCGACCCACTGTGGTGTGCTTAGTCGTTTATACGCAAGCGCGTTAATTTTAAAAGGACCAATAGCGAGTAGCTGAGGCCTAAAAAGAAAAGAAGGAAAATAATACTTGAAATCGTGTTTAAATTCGGTAACCTGACATATTTACACAGGCAAGTCAAAGTCGATTTTAAAAATATATCAAAAAATATACCAAAATAAAAGCTAGCACGTTTCTGACGTTTCATTTGCTCTGTCAAAAGTAGCCAATCAAGAAATCTTTCACTTGAGCATGCGCATAAATAAGCAGGCACACCACAGTATAATGTTTGCTACGGTTTTAGACCATTATTTGCGGTATAATAGTAATAGGTATATGTTTTATAATTACTCGTAAATTGGGTTACAGACGATTCGGGTTAAGATTGCAGCGCCGTGGTGGTGATAGCTGAAAGCTAGCTAAGTACCATTAAACTGTTGTTTACGTTTGTGGTGTATAATAAAATCGGTCTTTTTTTAGATATTTTTTAAGTAAAATTTGTATTTTTATAGTAGATTTCGATTATTAAGGACATTTATAACATTATTAGCGTCTTGTAGATAGTTGATAGTGTCAGGTTAGCGACAAAATGAATTATAGAAACCCCTTTTAAAAAATACTTTTTATGTTTAGAAACAATGCTAAACAAATTAAAAATTAACTATCTCAAATACATTTAGTAATGCTTCTGCTGTTTCTTGGTTCTCAAAATCTATATTAATTAATAGATTTTCTCCTGTTGATCCACAATATTTATATCCATTGGTTCACAAGTTAGACCCACTTTTGTTGGTCAAAAGGACAAAAAGAAAAGAATGGAATAAAATGGATTTGAATCATAATTCACTTACCTTTCTGTAAAAAATCACTTTCAAGCAAATGTAATGAGCACACTTTCATCGTATTTGATACACTTTTTCCGATGTTTAATGTTCCTATCCACAACAATCTTCTATCAATTAGTTCCAAGTAAATCCAGGCTTAGTTTCCACAAAAACCTTCGATTTTCCTGCTTTCGGGAAAAGATGAAAACTTAAATTAGGATTTCTCTTGATCCAGAATGAACACTGAGGAACGCAGTAATATTGGTTCATTTTAAAAATCTCCAACAAACACAAAAACTTAAAAACCACAACTGAACTAGTATGTTTTGTCATAAACAAGAACAACAAAAACAATGACCCGTATTCAGCGTCTCACTTTAACTTTAGAGTGACTCTAAAGTCGCGTCTCGAGTCCCTAGTTACTTCATAACAACCAATGTAAATCTGTCAAGTTAAAGACGCGACTTTAGAGTCACTCTAAAGTTAAACAGGGTCGCTGAATACGAGCCAATGGCTCTTAGCTCGGTTCTTACACAATCCGCCAGAGGGCGTATCGCTTAGCACGAATCGTCTATTACCAATTTTATAGTCATTGGCCTGTATTCAGCGCCCCACTTTAAACTGAAACATGGCTGTAGAGAGTCACTTTAACGTAAACAAAGTCCCTAGTTACTCCATAACAACCAATGTAAATCTGTCAATTTGAAAGAATCTCCTTAGTTACTCCATAACAACAATGTAAAACTGTCAATTTCAAAGAATCTCCTTAGTTACTCCATAACAACCAATGTAAATCTGTCAATTTGAAAGAATCTCCTTAGTTACTCCATAACAACCAATGTAAATCTGTCAAATGAAATTGTCATTGAAGACATCAAGTCAATAATATCTCTGAACGGTTTAATAAAATGAAATTGCTTCGATTTGTAGGGAGTGACGTTTCCATCGATGCACGCGATGATTGCCAGATGGATACCGCCATTGGAAAGGAGCACTTTCGCCGCGTACGTGTACGCAGGCGCCAATTTGGGCACCATTATATCGATGCCTTTATCCGGTTGGCTGTGTTCGTTGGATTTGGACGGCGGTTGGCCGTTGAGTTTCTATCTATTCGGCGTGCTGGGCATCGTGTGGTTCTTCCTTTGGATTTTTCTCGTGCACGATACGCCTTCGACACATCCACGAATCGATCCACAGGAAAAAGCTTATATTATAGCATGCGTAGGACCGCAGGTAACGCTCTCTCTTGCCCGATTTCACCATTAGTTTCATTATTCCAAGTTTCAATTTTCTTAGTTGATCCGTTCAAAAAAATAAAAGGGGGGGGGAACATTAAAGAAATGCACTGTATATTACCCCACGAATGATGAATTTGAGGGCGTGTTTTGGCGGCCTTAGGGCCGGTTTATCAATTGAGGGTTACCCCTCGAGTAAAGATAACCCTAAGTTAAACTGCCAAAAGTGCTTTTCCATCGCGGGTCAACTGTTAACTCGAGGGATACCCCTGGGTTATCTTAACTCGCGCAAATTTGGCAGATTTGTGGATTTGACTCTGGGTTAACCTAAAATTTGCGTATTGTTCTGTTGTCAAACGCATTTTTTCATTGTTTTTAAGTAAATCCAATGGAAGACCTACATTTTAGCGATGACGACCAAGACTTTCTAGAATTTATAGGTCATCAGCGGGGGGTCCTATATTGTAAGGTCACGGCAAAATCCATTTGAAGATTTTTATGAGCATGATTTTTTCGCTCGCTTTCGATTAAAAAAGAAACCGTTTTGTTTGTGTTAAAGCCCATAGAAGACATGGTAAAATTTCCTACAAACAAGTTTTTTTTTTCGAATTCGGAAAAATTCGATTCTCTCCTTCTATCCGCCATATTTATTCTTCTGACTTCTAATTTTCATTTCAAATATTCAAAACCAAAAAAGTTAGGTTATTATAGTCAAGAAATGTCAAAAACGAGCACAATACAACGTTGCCAAAGTTTCAACGGCTATAATGTATTGCCAACCTTTCAGCATTTCGTGGGTTTGCTAGTCCGAGGTTAAAAAAGCTTGGATAAACACTTTTATTCTTAACTCGCAATTTAGTCCAGAGTTAGAAGTAACCCAGGGTTGGCTAACTCGGCGAGTTATCCCTCAATTGATAAACCGGCCCTTAAAGTTAATCGGACATTTCTATAAATGGTCCTTCGAGTAAACAGACAAATCGATTTGTTTACTTACCTTCCTTGGCTGCCGTCGCAGGTTCCTTCTTTCGAGACCTCGAATCCATCTGGATTCATTGATGGCATAATATGGATTCTGGTGTTATCCAATAACCAACGTACGTACGGTTCAGTCGAATAACCCGTCACCAAATACTAAAATATTCATTATAACGGGCGAATAAATAACAGAGGCCTAAATGAGGATGTCTCTCTTGCCCGATTTCACCAACCAGTTCCTAAAGTTAGGTAATACTTAAACCAGATTTAGGAAGTCCTAAGTACAATTTGCGTTTCACCATGCTCTAAGTAATACTTAAAGGTGATAGGAAATACCTAAAGTTAGGACAGCTCACTGGGCTTGCCTAAAGCATTTAGGAAATACTTAACCATACTTTCCATTTGATTTCATGTGACTTAAGTCTTGACTGTATGTAGACTCTTTTGATGAACATTTAAAATGGGAGGAGAGTTTTTAGAAACTGGACGAAACTGATTTTTTTTTTCGCCTTTTTCGATATATAAAAATACGGCATTACAAATATTAGAATGAATTGGAGATGATTTTTAATTTGATACACAGGAAGTTTTTGGAACTATTGACCGTACACATGCATGTAAATATCCATAGTCTTGGAGAAGAAGATGTAGAAATATTTTACAAATCGGAAAGGTTATTTTTCTAATAATGTATAAAGACTATATCTTCAGCAGATTTAAAAATAACTAACATTGTTTAAAGATGACCCGGATCGTCAACATCTCTTCTTTTCTCTCAACATATTCAATTTCGATCTCGGCTTATTCGGTTTACACGTCAAAATTAGCCAATGCTACCAATAAAATTCAAAAAATTGTCAAAATCAAATTTTTACCTAGGTATTTCTTAGTAAGGGATATTTCTAATGTTGGTGAAATTCGATTTAGGTAAGTATTCGATTCAAGTAATTCCTACCTTAGGAATTACTTAGTTAGGAAATGCCTAAGAACATGTTGGTGAAATCGGGCATCTCTCTCTCTCTCTCTGTGTGATCCTTCGATACCGAAAGAAGCCAAGATGTTTACTTAAGGTTATACAGGGTGTCCAGAAAATAGATGTCAATAATTCGGGAGCGTATAAATGGCAACAAAATAAGGGTATATCTTCATATAAATTTTGTTAATTTGAGCCTCCATTTTTGAGCTAGAGGCCTTTAAAGTTGAAAATTTAAAACTTATTTGTAGGTTTTATTTCCAAGGTATACATGGGAACAATATGAAATTTTTGTGGTTGATTACCTACACCCGTGTGCCCAATTTGGTGATAAAATGAATCCTACACTATTCTCTGGAAGACAGTGGCAGCGTGTGCCCAGTGATTAACAATTCGTATCTTTTATGGGGACAATCTGTATAACACAAACGTATCGTAAATAGATACTTTAATCGATAAACTAACAAAAATGTTCTCTTGTTTGAAGTCGATAAAATTAACGGTTTTAGAGAAATTTCAATTTTTAAATCAGGATGTTAAGAAAATCGCCAAACGAAAGATTATAATAAATGTTCGATATGAGAACCCTTTCGTTGAAAACACTTGTGAAACATAAGGAGAATATTTCTTTGTACTCTAAAAGGCATTTTTTGATTTCACAATGAAACATTATTCAGTCCATTAAAAGAGGCGGTAAATCAATCTGAAGAAATTCCAAGATCGTCTGTATTGTTGTCTTTCAATATGTAAATAGTTACAAATAATAGGAGTTTGTCCAGAATTTTTGTTTATGCGAAAATCTCTCTTTAGCCATCATCTCAATCTAAAAATTAAAATTTCTCTAAAACCGTTAATTTTATCGACTTCAAACAAGAGTACATTTTTGTTAGTTTATCGATTAAAGTATGTATTTACGATACGTTTGTGTTATACAGATTGTCTCCATAAAAGATTCGAATTGTTAATCACTGCGCACACGCCGCCACTGTCTTCCAGAGAATAGTGTAGGATTCACTTTATCACCAAATTGGGCACACGGGTGTAGGTAATAAACCACAAAAATTTTATTTTGTTCCCATGTATAACTTGGAAATAAAACCTACAAATAAGTTTTAAATTTTCAACTTTAAAGGCCTCTAGCTCAAAAATGGAGGCTCAAATTAACAAAATTTATATGAAGTTGTACCCACAGAACATACATAAACAAGAAGGGACATCTCCGTGAGAATCTCGTAGACGTTCTAGAGCGCACTCTGAGAATAGTAGCTGTACTAAATTAATGGGTGTTGCCTACTAAAAGGGGATATCATGTAGAACTCTACACTAAAATTAGTAATATAGGTTTTTTATTCGATTTTTTCTGACTGTTAATATTATCCAATTTCTTGTAGAACTTGTATACAATTTGTTACATTATTATAAAATGTATAGAATTTTGATATAGATAGTAAAATAAATTGTACAAGTTTTACAAGATATTGGATGTTGGATAATATAAAAAGTAACTACTCTCATAAAATAACTAAACACAAACACTTCTACTTAAAAATATATTGAAAAAAATGACAAAATTCATTAAATTTAAATAAAATCGCCTAATAAACTGAAATATTATGGCGGAACCAGAAAAATTCACTACGCGCTATAAAAACAAGCAATAGAACGAAAGATTTAACTTTAACTTTACACAATTCTTCACTAACACTACTATACACAAAACTTATACAACTTACAGGCAATAACAATGCCCTTTAAACTCACTCGAAAACAAACGAAATAAATGAAAAAAAAAACTTTTCGGTTTTAACTTCATCTTGCACTACAAGAGAAAATATGCAGAATCGATGCGAATCAATAAAAGACGCCATTATTGTTTTTGAATTACGGCGTTGAGCGGGTTGCTTGCGCTGACCTGAAATAAACTACTGTTGCGCCCTCTATCAATAGTGCCGAAACTAAATGAACGTCTAAAATTTCTCATAAGGCTGTCTAGGCCCTGGTTGTACCCTTATTTTGATGTCATTTATACGCTCCCGAATGATTGACATCTATTTTCTAGACACCCTGTATAGGAAAAGTTATGTTAGTAATTAATTAGTTATATTGTAGGTAGTGGATAGATCGCCGATTCCTTGGCGTAAAATGATGAAGTGCGTACCATTGTGGGCGATATTGGTGACGCAATGCGGCAATTCGTGGGCGTTTTACACCCAACTGCAGGAATTACCGACGTACATGGGACAAATATTGCATTTCAATATACAAGCGGTTAGCGTTTCCGGTAATAATCGAATCCGAAAATCTAACGAATCTTGTGTTTCAGAACGCCATTTTGTCGGCTATACCTTACCTGACCAGTTGGATAGCTGGTATTCTGTTCAGTCTACTCGCCGATTGGCTACTGAGCAAGGGTTACTTATCTCTTACTATGTCGTACAAAATATTTAACTCCATAGGTATGTATATGTACATGTAAATTTACATGTAAATCTGAAATTAAAGGACATTCGCGCTCGCTAGGCAATGACGTCACAAGCCGACATGTTGCAACGTTGCCGGGTTGAAACGAAAACCTTGATGTGACAGATGTATTTAATTTAAGGTTATGTTAACTTTCATTGTTTAGAAATTAAAAAGAAGAAATGCATTAGGCTGCAATCCGATTGACGGGAGAGGTGTTTATTTGCAACGCTTCACAAAAACAGAAATATACATTTAAAAAACTATTCGTAAGTTTAACATAACCTATAAATTGCAATTTGCTGAACTATCGAAAATATTGATCGGGAATTAATCGGGAAAAAAGGGCCTACATCGTCCCGTTCCCTCTCAAAATAGGTCGAAAAACACCGAAAATCTCGGGAGAAACTGTCGATAAATGTACATAAACCGCACGAAAAACTATCTAGAACGAACGAAAAACACAAAACCTACTCGTAAACTTGAAAAAATACAGGAAAATCGCGCAAAAACAACAAATTGTAGTCATAACCTGTCAAAGTGTCAACTACAAAGCGCCGCTAAATATTGCAAATGTTGAGACTAAATGCATGACAACATCGCCTTCGATTTTCAACTACGCATCGTTAAATTCCCCTAGTCAAATGGGAGAATTAACATTAACACTAGAGAAATGTTGAACTGCGTGGAAATTAATGACGTCGTCTAAAAATGACGTCATTGCCTAACGAGCGCGAATGTCCTTTAAGGCGGGTTGACATGGGTAGTGAAGCACGTTCGTGTTCCATGCTTTCGTGGACCACGCGTCATGTTAACAGCAGAGTCGTGAAAGAAAAATGGAAACGAATTGATACGAAAGGCGCCACGATCGTAAGCCACCAAATCAAACCTGTTTGATATTTCACGAACTATTTCCAGTGGATTCAGTCGTGAAGAAGCAGTCGGTGATTGAAGGTGCATCAAAATGTCTAGCGGAAATCTTCGAATGAGCGACACAGAAACATTAAAATTCTTGGAATACTACAGGAATGTCCTAATATTTATCACAGCACCGCACAACCTTCTGCTATGGGCGAAGCCATATTTTTTTTTTCAGTCACAAGCAAAGCAATTCGCACGACTGAGCAGAAAAATCCGTGCCCAGTGTAAACACTACACGATGCCTTCACGAAAAGATTGCAAGGAAGCGTATTTCACGAATTCATTTTAAGCGTGGAACACGAACGTGCTTCACTACCCATGTCAACCCGCCTTTAGTATAAATAGTATAAATAGTATATCCTTTAGTATAAATTATACTGCTCCACAAAAGTTAAGGAAGTTCGAAAATATTGCGATTATTTTAAAAGTTACAGACTTTCTGATCACCAAATTTTCAAATATGCGAAATTAAATGTTTTCTCTCATAATAGAATGGATTTTTCCCCTACCTCTATACAACTCTATACTAAATTTGGCGTTCAAAAAACCTGCAACTTTAAAATTAATCTCAATATTTGTGAACTTCCTTTACTTTTGTGGAGCAGTATATTTACAAAACCTCTTTGTAGCTACCATAATACCTTCTCTGGGTATATTGGGTGTGGCGTACGTGGGATGCGATAAACTGGCCGTGCAATTATTATTGTCCATAACGGGTGCTTTCGGAGGAGCCATATTCGCCGGTAACCAAATGAACCACATAGCTTTGAGTCCCAAATACGCCGGAACCATGTACGGTTTCACCAATACGGCCGGGAATATGTGCGGATTTTTGGCCCCTTATGTCATTGGATTGATCATCGAAGGAAGAGTAAGATGATAAATTGCAAGTACGGCTACTTGTTAACTGGTTTTTTTTTGTGTTTTTAGGAAACCCTGGGGCAATGGAGAATGGTTTTCTACCTCGCCGCTGGTCTTAGCATAGGCGGTAATCTCTTTTACATTATATTCGGGAGCGCTCGGGAACGATCTTGGGCCAGAGGAGTACGAAGAACGAGCGCTATTAATTGACGGAGTCTCTTCGTAGATGTGACAATTCGAGCCCCTAGAATCTCTAGGGATTTTTTTTAGTACAATATTTACTTATACATGTATTGATAAAAAAATGAAATGTGATCTGTTATATACCTACATTAAGGATAAAACTATAATGTATTATTATAACCATTTATATTCCAAAGTTGAATCTTAGAATATATTTATTTTCTTTACTACGATTACTTCGTTTTCTGCCTAGTCTATACATAATTTAAGGTTATGTTAACTTTCATTGTTTAGAAATTAAAAAGAAGAAATGCATTAGGCTGCAATCCGATTGACAGGAGAGGTGTTTATTTGCAACGCTTCACAAAAGCAGAAATATACATTTAAAAAACTATTCGTAAGTTTAACATAACCTATAAATTGCAATTTGCTGAACTATCGAAATTATTAATCGGGAAAAAAGGGCCTACATCGTCCCGTTCCCTCTCAAAATAGGTCGAAAAACACCGAAAATCTCGGGAGAAACTGTCGATAAATGTACATAAACTGCACGAAAAACTATATAGAACGAACGAAAAACACAAAACCTACTCGTAAACTTGAAAAAATACTGGAAAATCGCGCAAAAACAACAAATTGTAGTCATAACCTGTCAATATTATAACCATTTATATTCCAAAGTTGAATCTTAGAATATATTTATTTTCTTTACTACGATTACTTCGTTTTCTGCCTAGTTAATTCATCGCAAACAGATTCTTTTCTAATTTATTTTAAATAAACTTAAAAATTAACAAAACGTTTCTAACTGTTGACAATAATGTTCGGGAAAGGTAACCTCTGAATATCTAATCGTACACATCTTCTTTATCTCCCACGTACCTCACTATGTCTGCGGGTTTCATCAATTTCTCCGCATCGGCATCGGGTATTTCGAAACCGAACTCGTCCTCCATCGCCATAATGACTTCCACGTGATCCAGAGAATCCAGTCCGAGATCGTTGATGAAGTGGGAATTCAGAGTCAACTAAAAATGACACAAATAAACCATTACGATCGCCACAATCGTACGATACTATAAGAGACTGTACCACAAAGGTAAGCGACAGATCCAAAACTATTACTGTACCTTTTCAGGGTTAACTTTATCGTATAATTTTAATACTAACAGAACTCTTTCAGAGATAAGATTCAATGTAAGTGGCGGCTTTGAACTGTAACTTCGGCCTTGTGGTGTAACAAGTCTCTGAAACAGAAACATTTTATAAGTACCTTATCTGCCGTTACTTTATCGTAGGAAGCGCAAACTTTCAGCACTCTTTCTTTGATCTCCTCTTCGGAGAGTTTGGCCTTTTTTATTTCCGGCGAATAGAACCTAGTCTGATGGTAGAGATGGTTAATAACCCGATAAAGTGAGGTTAAGTTATGTAATATTCGAATTTGTGAAATTTTGAAAATTCGTGCACGTATATGCAATCGTACAGTTCGAAGCTTGCATATTCAATGGATAATAATGTAAATAGCATACCTGTGGGATGAGCGAAGAGGATTTTATTTGTGAAATAGTTTGGATATTTTCGTTGCATTTGCTAATCAGAGCTACCGCTAGCGGTCTCGTAGATAAGGATCGTAATTTCGCTGTGTTCCTCGTGCACAAACGAAAACTTTTTACTAATACACCAGCCATTTCTTATCGAATCTATTAATTTTATTTTTTCTCAAAATTTCATCGACTTCATGCACAAGTTGATAAAAAATTTGGTGGCGACAGTTTTGACAGTTGACGTTATGACTTCTTTTGACAGAAGATGGTGATGGTGAATTTTTTTGTTCTTTTTTTTATCATTTATATTCTAGTTAATGCTTTTCTTCGCTTCGTGCTAGGTATTATCCAAACTTGTCTGTTATTTATTATTCTCTACTGTTGTTATATAATTTACATGGACAATTTAGAAAAAGAAAAGAGGCCTGACATTTAAACAATGTTACCAACCTTCCGTTGTATCGAACTCAAATGTTCCTAACAACGAATATTTCATATTTCACTTTTTCTGTCACATTCAATGGGTGATTGGTGTTTGTATCGGTCTGTATATCGTATTTATTTGTGAATTTTCTGTTTAAATTTACAACAACAGGGCTCGATTAAGAGTTCATTCGAAATATGTCCGATGAAGGAAGTCCCAATCTGCAAAAACTTCGAGATTTCCGCTATCAAAAAAAACCGCAATTCTCACACGATGGTATGAGTGCATGTAAGTCCACAATATCGCAAATCCAATTAGTCCCGAAGGATTCTTAGCATTTCGCACATAATTTCGTCAACAACAAGTCTAGTTTCGAGCCTAAAAACGCGGAACATTAAAACACGCTTACAGTTTTGCTGATAAATATTTTTACTACAGTAACACAGTGATTTTATCCACTTCGATGTTACCAATTCGTTTATCGCTAGAAGAGTGTATTCTAGCGTGAAAATTTCTCTCTAATTACCTTACAACGAATCAATTCTATCAAATTTTCCAGCGCCGGCACGCCGAAGAATCATCACCATGTCATCGGACTCCGAATCCGATCTCGAAGCCCAAAAGAACGCCCTCTCGCCCGACGCCCCGAAGCCCCATTCGAGCCAGCACGTCTCGCCCCCGCCGCCCGCCTCGTATCGCGCCAAACCGGCCTCGACCGCGCCGCCCTACGGCCACCCGATGAAACCCTACGGCCCGCCGCCCAACCACTCGGGCACCTCCAAGCAGGCGCCGAACCACAACGGCAACGGCGCCTTCATCAACAGGTACAACGGGTACACGCAGCGCAGCCAGAAGCACCCCTCCATATTGGAGAAGGAGAAGCAGATGAAGTTCCTGTTGGAGATATTCCCCAATTTGGACGCCATGGTACGGACTTCGATCGCTCGATTTAGGTATCGATGGGACCTCTGTAATTAATGTTTTGTATGGTTTTTTGTAGAAAATCCACAGCTGCCTTTCGAGACATAGTTTCAATACGGACGCGGCCGCCGCGGAATTGTCTAGGAATTACAACAAACCCGTCGACTACGGGTACAGCCAATGGAGGCAGGACTACGACAAGAAGGCCGAGGACGCGAAGCGGAACGAGATGAACAACGCCGCCTTGTTCGTGAGATCGGTGAAGAGAGAAAGGGAGGATTCGTCGAAAAAGAGACGGGGTATATGTTGATTTTTTTTTTTTTTTTTTTTTTTTTCGATTGACGGTCGAATGAGTTTACGAGGGTGAAGGTGGAAAGTTGTCGGTAGGCGATTTTCGGTTCGAAAAGTTACATAGTTCTTTTTGATTAGGTGGAAATCTTTAGTTTTTGACGGTTCGAATTGATTCTGGAGCGTTCTAAATTGTTCTAGACAGTACTAAATGGTTCTAGATCGTTCTAATTGATTCTGGAGCGTTCTGGATTGATCTAGACAGTTCTAAATGATTCTGGGGCGTTCTAAATGAACATGGAGCGTTGTAAATGGTTCTGAAGTGCTCTAAATTGCTCTAGGCAGTTCCAATTGATTCAGGAGCGTTCTGGATTGATCTAGACAGCTCTAAATGATTCTGGGGCGTTCTAAATGAACATGGAGCGTTGTAAATGGTTCTGAAGTGCTCTAAATTGCTCCAAACAGTTCTAATTGATTCTGGACCGTTCTGGATTGATCTAGACAGTTCTAAATGATTCTGGGGCGTTCTAAATGAACATGGAGCGTTGTAAATTGTTCTGAAGTGCTCTAAATTGCTCCAAACAGTTCTAATTGATTCAGGAGCGTTCTGGATTGATCTAGACAGTTCTAAATGATTCTGGGGCGTTCTAAATTGTTCTAATTCACCATGGAGCGTTCTAAATGGTTCTGAAGTGCTCTAAATTGCTCTAGACAGTTCCAATTGATTCAGGAGCGTTCTAAACGTTTCTGAAGCGCTCTAAATGGTTCTAGACAGTTCTAATTGATTCTGGAGCGTTCTGGATTGATCTAGACAGTTCTAAATGATTCTGGGGCGTTCTAAATTGTTCTAAATGACTATGGAGCGTTCTAAATGTTTCTGAAGCGCTCTAAATGGTTCTAGACAGTTCTAAATGGTTCTAGATCGTTCTAATTGATTCTGAAGCGTTCTGGATTGATCTAGACAGTTCTAAATGATTCTGGGGCGTTCTAAATGAACATGGAGCGTTGTAAATGGTTCTGAAGTGCTCTAAATTGCTCCAAACAGTTCTAATTGATTCAGGAGCGTTCTGGATTGATCTAGACAGTTCTAAATGATTCTGGGGCGTTCTTAATTGTTCTAATTCACCATTGAGCGTTCTAAATGGTTCTGAAGTGCTCTAAATTGCTCTAGACAGTTCCAATTGATTCAGGAGCGTTCTAAACGTTTCTGAAGCGCTCTAAATGGTTCTAGACAGTTCTAATTGATTCTTGAGCGTTCTGGATTGATCTAGACAGTTCTAAATGATTCTGGGGCCTTCTAAATTGTTCTAAATGACCATGGAGCGTTCTAAATGTTTCTGAAGCGCTCTAAATGGTTCTAGACAGTTCTTAATGGTTCTAGATCGTTTTAATTGATTCTGAAGCGTTCTGGATTGATCTAGACAGTTCTAAATGATTCTGGGGCGTTCTAAATGAACATGGAGCGTTCTAAATGGTTCTGAAGTACTCTAAATTGCTCTAGACAGTTACAATTGATTCAGGAGCGTTCTAAACGTTTCTGAAGCGCTGTAAATGGTTTTAGACAGTTCTAATTGATTCTGGAGCGTTCTGGATTGATCTAGACAGCTCTAAATGATTATGGGGCGTTCTAAATTGTTCTAAATGATCACGGAGCGTTCTAAATGGTTCTGAAGTGCTCTAAATTGCTCTAGACAGTTACAATTGATTCAGGAGCGTTCTAAATATTTCTGAAGCGCTCTAAATGGTTCTAGACAGTTCTAAATGGTTCTAGATCGTTCTAATTGATTCTGGAGCGTTCTGGATTGAACTAGACAGTTCTAAATGATACTGGAGCGTTCTAAATGATTCCAGACCGTTCTAATTGATTCTGGAGCGTTCTGGATTGAACTAGACAGTTCTAAATGATACTGGAGCGTTCTAAATGATTCCAGACCGTTCTAATTGATTCTGAAGCGTTCTGGATTGATCTAGACAGTTCTAAATGATTCTGGGGCGTTCTAAATTGTTCTAATTGACCATGGAGCGTTCTAAATGGTTCTGAAGTGCTCTAAATTGCTCTAGACAGTTACAATTGATTCAGGAGCGTTCTAAATATTTCTGAAGCGCTCTAAATGGTTCTAGACAGTTCTAAATGGTTCTAGATCGTTCTAATTGATTCTGGAGCGTTCTGGATTGATCTAGACAGTTCTAAATGATTCTGGGGCGTTCTTAATTGTTCTAAATGACCATGGACCGTTCTAAATGTTTCTGAAGCGCTCTAAATGGTTCTAGACAGTTACAATTGATTCTGGAGCGTTCTAAACGTTTCTGAAGCGCTCTAAATGGTTCTAGACAGTTCTAAATGGTTCTAGATCGTTCTAATTGATTCTGGAGCGTTCTGGATTGATCTAGACAGTTCTAAATGATTCTGGGGCGTTCTTAATTGTTCTAAATGACCATGGACCGTTCTAAATGTTTCTGAAGCGCTCTAAATGGTTCTAGACAGTTACAATTGATTCTGGAGCGTTCTAAACGTTTCTGAAGCGCTCTAAATGGTTCTAGACAGTTCTAAATGGTTCTAGATCGTTCTAATTGATTCTGGAGCGTTCTGGATTGATCTAGACAGTTCTAAATGATTCTGGGGCGTTCTTAATTGTTCTAAATGACCATGGACCGTTCTAAATGTTTCTGAAGCGCTCTAAATGGTTCTAGACAGTTACAATTGATTCAGGAGCGTTCTAAACGTTTCTGAAGCGCTCTAAATGGTTCTAGACAGTTCTAAATGGTTCTAGATCGTTCTAATTGATTCTGGAGCGTTCTGGATTGATCTAGACAGTTCTAAATGATTCTGGGGCGTTCTTAATTGTTCTAAATGACCATGGACCGTTCTAAATGTTTCTGAAGCGCTCTAAATGGTTCTAGACAGTTACAATTGATTCAGGAGCGTTCTAAACGTTTCTGAAGCGCTCTAAATGGTTCTAGACAGTTACAATTGATTCAGGAGCGTTCTAAACGTTTCTGAAGCGCTCTAAATGGTTCTAGACAGTTCTAATTGATTCTGGAGCGTTTTGGATTGAACTAGACAGTTCTAAAAATGATACTGGAGCGTTCTAAATGATTCCAGACAGTTCTAAATGTTTGAGGCCGAGAACTTTTCACCCTACCCTACACCCTCGTAGTAAGATGGAATTTTGTACGATTTCTATTGTTTGTTAAATTAGGAAGACATTGAATGTGTTTGATTGAATTTTAGTTAAAAAAAGGAAATCGTACGATAGCGATGACAGTACGGGTAGCCATAGTTACAAAGACAAAAGGGTCTTCGATAGGTAAGTTATTCCGTTTACTGTGTTTACTTAAGGCAATTGTATTGAAAAAAAACAAAAATGTTGGTATTTCAGCGACGAGGACTCGGACGTCGAGGTCAGCGACGATCTGACGGGCGACAAAAAACGCGTATTGGAATTCTTCAAAACGGCCAACGCCGGCGAGTTGCTGTTGATGAATTCGTGCTCGAAGAAAAAGGCCGAGGCCATTTTGGAGCTTCGACCGTTCACCGGCTGGATCGATTTGGTACGTTTTGTGGCTGTATTAACGACACGTAAACGGACTATGTGTGTGTGTGTCATATCCATAGACCTATTAAAGGCATAGAGAAATATAGAGTGGCAAAAGCATACGGATGCGCGTGAAAATAATGGAACAAATTGAATTTGACAGATTTGACAATTTTGACATTGTCATGTCATTTAAGGTAGAAAAGTCAACGAAAATAATGAGATAGCTAATTGAACTTTTGTTATGTAAGGAATAAAGAGAGCAAATGCCCGGTATTCGCACGAAGCGAAGCGAATAACCGATAAACAAGTTCCTGTTCTTTACTATCTTATAGAATTGATTGAGATTCTAATTCTAATGCTTGCTGCGGAATAATTCGGTCATATGGTATATTTTTATTATGATTTAAAATTTTTGATACTTGTAGTAATAGAAAATTTCATTCATTTTGTTAACATTTATTTTATTTCGTATCGTTTATTTATTTAGTCTTTTATTTTAACCTTAGATCATATATACTATTAGTATATAAGATTTTAACTATATAAGGCCTACACAAGATCGCCTAAAAGTAGTGGATTTCCGTTACTTCTGGCAACGCTGTGTTAAAATTCCGCTACTTCTGGCAACACTGGTATCTACCTTAAATGACAAGTGACAGTATGCGCAAAATTCAATTTGTGCCATCTACGAATACACGCTTTTTCCACTCTATATTCTCTATGATTAAAGGTGTGATTTTATTCAGCTGTTGAACAACCGATGTCATCAAACTGTTCATTTATTCAGTGATTTTTTAAACGTTTGTCATCTGTCAACGATCTTTTTCTCATACATATAAATAATTATATTTATATGTATATGGATTAATCGGATTTTGAAGAGGATAGATCTGGTTGACAGATGAATTATAACCCATATTTTTCATTCCATGATCGGTTTCGGTTATGATCTAATGTTCCATGCTGAAGTTGCGCATTCAATGTGCATTCAATTTTTTAATTTGTTTTGCTGGTTTTGCAATTTGCAATGGATTCCGAAATCTGCTATTGCATGAGTTTTATTGATTTCTTTGTTTATTTAAAATAGTTCCAATAACTCATCACTGCCACTGTTTTTTGAGGACTCTTCACTTTCATGTTCCGATGATGTATCAGATGAATATAACATATTTTTTGGAATCAAATAAAACTCCGTTTTTTATAATTTCCCTCACATTTACAAATTGTCAATGTCAACGTCAAAATTTCCAACTATCCAGCAATTTGTTCCTATATTCACATAAATCAATTCCATCAGGAATCAATCATGACGTCATTTGACATTAATCATAGGTGAAACGGAGATGGAAAAAAGATCATACCTTAACTATGGACGCGGTTTAGACAAAGAGGTTGTGTTGTCGATGAATGAGAGAGATGCAGCTAGTTTGGGCATATGGCCCAATGAGAGATTGGACAATGCATTAGCCAATAGTAAGAAAGCAAAAGACCACGTGAGTTACGATTTCAGATATGCAAGGTAGCTGGGGTAGAGGAGGGTAGCTTATGATAGAATAGGGTTGAGGAGTGCAGCAGAGGGTATAGAAATGGTAGCGGAGGATATGTTTTTTAACCGAACATTTACATTTATTATTGTGATTTATTATTTTTTTGCCGAGCAAAATGCATTTTTCAGCTGAGCCTAAATTCCCACGCATTTGCAAATACAGTTATTTTGAATTGTTAATTGGAACCTCCTACCTATTAGCCAGTACTGATTTCGCAATTTAAGACCTAACTGTTTTCTCTTGTAAAAAATATGTTTCTTCCAGGTCATTCTTCTGTCTAAGTGGATACCAAGATATTTTACATCTTCTTTTTGTGGTATTTGTTTTTTTTGTATTTAACAGATTAATCGCCTTTTTCCACACACCCTGTATATATTTTATATTTTTTTTGGTCCCGCCTACTTTTAGCCCAAACTAGCCCCATCTCTCACGGACCTCTCTCTCTCTCTCTATCATTGAGAACGCTGAATAACCTCAAAATACTGATTGTGCCGCGTCCATACTTAATATGTCTATGGTCATATCCAGTGATGTTAAAATTACTTTATAATATGTAATTAATTACAATTACTTTTGACAAATTGTAATTAATTACAATTACAATCACAATTACTTTGCTTTGCTTTGGTGTCAGTTTTAAATAATTATTTAGGGATTTGCAATCGGAATTAAACTTTCCACGTATTGAAAATATTAAACAAGTACTTTTGTGTCCAATGTAATTGAAATGTAATTGTAAAATGTAATTGTAATTGTAACGAAAGGAGTAATTGAATTACAAATGAATTACAATTGAGGATCTTGTAATTAATTACCGCCTCAATTACAATAAAAGTAATTCAATTACTTTTTCAATTACTTGTAATTAATTACTTAACAACCCTGGTCATATCGTTACCGTATTTTTATTTTTTGTTTTTTTTTTTAATTCCAGGTGACGAAATTGCAAACGAACAAGAACCTGAGCGGCGATTTGCTAAATGCCGCCCAACAGGTGTTGACGACGCGGAATAACATAAAAAATTTGATGAAAAAATGCACGAATTTGGCGCAGCAATTGGAGAGGGCGGTCGCCGCGGGGGCGGGCGTCAAAGAACAACCTCGAATTTTGTCTTCTACGTAAGTCGCTCGGTTACGAAATAACCGTTACATTGTTAACGTACGGTGTACGTTCCGGCATCTCTACACTGTGTTATTTATAAGATGCGACATAGGGATTCCTGTACAAATGTGTCAAAAGCAAGATGTGTCACACAGTAGTACATTTCATGTTTACTAATAACCCAGAGTCACGACCTTCTAAGTTTTACAAAAGCGGCAATATTCATTTTTTTTTTCAAACCTCTACTTTTTTCGAAAATGTCGAATTGCCACTAAACGATTGGTTTTAGGTACAATGTATGGTACATAAAGTCACACTAATATTCACTAAAGAATTCAAAAATGTTATAATATACAGGGGGTTCCATTAAAAAAAGGTAACTTTAGTGAATTTTTAATACTGAGCCACCCTGTATATAGACGAAACTATTTTAATAATATGCAGTATTATTGTACCTACCTTTTGAAAAAAAATCAAGTCGATATCTCAATTAGGTAAAAAGTTATGGGACTTTAACGCGACCCTGGGTCACCCTGTATATTTATATGAATACACTGTGTTATTTATAAGATGCGACATAGGGATTCCTGTACAAATGTGTCAAAAGCAAGCTAACTTTTTTACCAAATAACGTTCGTAAAAAATAATGACAGATTTGAAAAGATCCTCAAATAATAAGTCGTAATGGACTTTATTAAATTCGTTCTGGTTTAATTAGAAAATGTGTAATTAAGTTGAAAAAAGTCAAACGTCATAAATGTGTCATTTTTATGTCACTATCTAATAATTGTAAAATGGGCGGAGTTAGTCGGGATGATTTACGCTCTGAAATTTAAAAATTTTAGCGGGAAGTAATGTGGTTCAATCCCCGCGCAGTAAAGACATTTTTTTTCTTTTTTTTTCGGTTTTTTTCTAATATTTTTGTCTAAAAAATGTTAAATAGAAATATTTAAAATAAGGCGAGCTTATTTGAAATATAATTTTATTTTTATTTAAATAAAAGCTCCGACAATTAAGTGTCAATATTAATAACGCAAAATCTCGTTAGTAGGTAGAGCCTTTAAAATGATGCCATATTTTTATTCTTGACAAAAAAAAAACATTAAAAAACAAAAAATGCCAAAGAAAAAAAATTTCAGCACTGCGTGGGATTGAACCAGATTCCTTATAGCTGGATTTTTCAAACTTCAGAGCGTAAACCATCCCAGATAGCTCCGCCCCTTTTAACAATTTTTAGATAGTGACATATGACGTATGACTTTTTTCAACTTAATTATACATTTTTTTAATAAATCAGAACGAATTTCAAATCTATTATTATTTTCAAATATTTTCAAATCTGCCATTATTTTTTACGAACGTTATTGGGTAAAAAAAGTTAGCTTGCTTTTGACACATTTGTACAGGAATCCCTATGTCGCATCTTATAAATAACACAGTGTATACTCGATAAGTTGTTCTCACCTTTATACTACACTCGATATCTGTCATTGTCAATGTTTGACAGCGTTTGGATGTGGATAGTCAACCGATATTATTCGGGAGTGTCTACTACACTGACGTGAATTTAATGGCTCGTATTCAACGCCCCACTTTGACATTTAATACGACTTTAAAGTCGCGTCTTCGACTTGACAGTTTTACATTGGTTGTTATGAAGTAACTAGGGACTTTGTTTATATTAAAGTGGACATCTAAAGAGCCATGTTTAATGTTAAAGTGGGCGCTGAATACTTTACATTGACATTATATTTAATATACAGGGTGAGTCATGAGGAATGGTACATACTTTAACAGTGCATAGAGTCACTTAAGGTGAATATCATACGACCAAATAAAAGTTCCATCAGCCTTTTCTCTAAGGTGATACAAGGTGATTTATGAATTTTGATGAAATTTTCTATTGTTTATATTTTTATGGTGGTTATTTCGATTTGGTTCATTTTTTTGGTAAAAGTATTCATTTTAAACCAGCAACACACTGGCATATTCAGAATTAAAAAATTTCAGGACCGTCTTAAAAAAAAGAGGTAAATATTTCCAAACTTAATATTTCACCCTGTATACACTTTTTCTATATTTTCATTTGGTTAATGTAAAAGGTATAAGTAACTCATAAAGCCTGAGTATCGGAAATTTTTGCCACACTTTGTTTAAATTGTCAATCATCAATTAACTTTTAAGAAAAATTACACATTTAGGATAAGCGAATTTATACGATAGAAAATATTATTTTAATGTAATTTATTCGGTTATCCTAAATGTGTAATTTTTCTTAAAAGTTAATTGATAATTGACATTTTAAATAAAGTGTGGCAAAAATTTCCGACGCTCAGGCTTTATGAGTTACTTATACCTTCTACATTAACCAAATGAAAATTTAGAAAAAGTGTATACAGGGTGAAATATTAAGTTTGGAAATATTTACCTCTTTTTTTTTTTAAGACGATCCTGAAATTTTTTAATTCTGAATATGCCAGTGTGTTGCTGGTTCAAAATGTATACTTTTACCAAAAAATGAACCAAATCAAAATAACAACCATAATGATATAAACAAAAGAAAATTTCATCAAAATTCATAAATCACCCTGTATCTCCTTAGAGAAGAGCCGGATGGAACTTTTAATAGTCGTATGATATTCACCTTAAGCGCCTCTATACACTGTTAAAGTATGTACGATTCCTCACGACTCACCCTGTATATTAAATATAATGTTAATGTAAAGTATTATATTTGTTTTTTGTTTTTAGTTTAAAACTAACCAGCTACCAAATGGTAGGACTGAATTGGTTGGTCGTGTTGTATTCTCAGGGAGTGAACGGTATATTAGCGGACGAAATGGGATTGGGAAAAACCGTACAAATCATATCATTTCTCGCTCATTTGAAACAAACCGGAGCGGCTACCAATACGCATTTAGTCATTGTGCCTTCATCGACGCTAGGTAAAAGGCCATATTTTTTTTAAATGTTATTAACAACAATTATACACTCCTGGACAAAATTAACGCAACATCATACATTTGCCACATTTTTGATGCTATTTTTTATTTGAATTTATGATCCGATTTGGATGATTTTTTTTTGTATTATAGGTTGGTTCCTTGACAATGTCATCATTTTCGCTGTTTATGATAAAATGATCCTTTTCGATTATACCGGGTGTAATAAAAATGTAATGTTTTTTTCCGAAAATTCGTAATCACCCTGTGGAGTATACTAGCAAACGTGACATATAGCAGTTGACATTAGACGGTAGATCCATCTTTTGTCAACATTTTCTTTTTTGATTTACTTCATTATCTCTGTTATTAAAGAAGATATGCCGTTTTATAGCGTAACATGTTTTAATAGACTTTATTATTCAAAACATTCATTGTTAAATGTTTTCAAGTAGGCTTTGGACCTTTTCTGACATTTCAAGCGACAATAACAAAATAATTCCTGCTCGCTTTGATGAATGAAAACAAAATTAACGAATTACTTTATTTCATAAAGTAAAATTAAGAGTTTATTAAACACATTTTTTTGGAAACGAGTGAAAAAAGAAAAGAACATAAATCATAAACAATAAAATTAATGGATTTATAATGCTATTAACGTGTATGTCCACCTCTAATTCGAATCATTGCTCCATTGCAATATGACTCATTGAATAGCCCTCATTCACCAAAGTTAAGGCTTTTACTGCTTCTTCGGTCGATAAATTTTTTGGAACCATTCGTTAAATTAAAGAGATTAAAATAACAAATAATGTATTCGATTATTGACACATCGCTTGAAATGTCAGAAAAGGTCCAAAGCCTACTTGAAAACATTTAACAGTGAATGTTTTGAATAATAAAGTCTATTAAAACATGTTACACTATAAAACGGCGTATCTCCTTTAATAACAGAGATAATGAAGTAAATCAAAAAAGAAAATGTTGGCAAAAGATGGATCTACCGTCTAATGTCAACTGCTATACAGGGCTTTTCACGGTAACCGTCCATTAGAAGTATCTCAAAAATCTGAAATTTTGGTTATAGTATTTTTTGGATAATTTGAATTGATCTAAAATATTTTCATTTTGATGACACCTCCGGTTATACCGGAAGTTGACACCAACTTCGTTATTTTAAATGGAAGGTGCCATTTTTAACTTCATTTTTGAATTCTATGGCCTTTTTTAACTAGACTTTGATAATAACACCATATGCCAAAAATGCACCATTTTTAAGATATTACAATTTTTTCGATATTTTTTGGCAAAACAGTCGAATGTATTTTCTGTGATATCTCTGTTAATAATGCAGCTGGAAGCTTAAAATTAAGTATCGATGATGTCCAGATATACAGCTAAATGAAACTAAACTGTATTTTCAGAATCCATGTACAGGGCGTTTAAAATTGTCTGATAAACATGGCCAAATTAAAGTGGTCAAAACTTTGTAATTTCAAATGGATCACCTTGTATTTTTTAACGATCAAAAAATCAACGATCAAAGTCTAGTTAAAAAAGGCCATAGAATTCAAAAATGAAGTTAAAAATGGCACTTTTCATATAAAATAACGAAGTTGGTGTCAATTTCCGGTATAACCGGAAGTGTAATCAAAATGAAAATATTTTAGATCAATTCAAATTATCCCAAAAAATACTATAACCAAAATTTCAGATTTTTAAGTCTTTTCATTATTGAGATACTTCTAATAGACGGTTACCGTGAAAAGCCCTGTATGTCACGTTTGCTAGTATACTCCACAGGATGATACAAATTTTCGGAAAAAAAAACATTACATTTTTATTACACCCGGTATAATCGAAAAGGAACATTTTATCATAAACAGCGAAAATGATGATATTGTCAAGGAACCAACCTATAATACAACAAAAAAATCATCCAAATCGGATCATAAATTCAAATAAAAAATAGCATCAAAAATGTGGCAAATTTATGATGTCCCGTTAATTTTGTCCAGTAGTTTATAATAATTTCGATTCGTAGATAATTGGAAAAACGAATTTTCCCGTTGGTGTCCCGAATTACGGGTGTTTATGTACTACGGTAGCATGGAGGAACGTAAACAATTTAGATTCGATTTGGCGCGCGGAATGTTGGCCGATTTCGATGTGATTTTAACCACGTAAGTCTCCATTTCTAACGTTCACAAAGCCAATAAATTATCCCGAATTTATTTTATTTTTTTTTTCGATTATCTTCCAGTTACACAATGGTGGGCAACAGCCCCGAGGAGAGGAAAATGTTTCGAGTAACTAGAATGCACTACGTGATATTCGACGAGGCGCATATGTTGAAAAACATGAACACGCAGCGATACGAAAATTTAATTAGAATAAACGTAAGTTGTAATTAATCCACTACTTTTAACTAGAGGCTCAATTCTCGAATTCACGTGAACGAAGAAAGATTCACCATGTGAAATAATTCCACTACATTTATTCACGTGCTTGTCTGAAACAGTATTCTTGGTTATAGTGGAATATAAACTGCTCCACAAAAGTTAAGGAAGTTCGCAAATGTTGCAATTATTTTAAAAGTTACAGACCTTTTGATCACCAAATTTTCAAATATGCGAAATTAAATGTTTTTTCTCATATCTGAGTGGATTTTTTGCCCATACCTCTACAACTCATACTAAATTTGGCGATCAAAAAACCTGCAACTTTTAATTTAGTCTCAATATTTGTGAACTTCCTTAACTTTTGTGGAGCAGTATATTTTCACATGGAAACAGTCTTGATATGTACGACTAATATTAACTAGATATTTAGCCAATCACATTTCACTATTTTAAAATTTGTTATGTTGACATTTCTGACTATGCGACAGCATTGACAGCAAACTTGTCATATGTCTTATTTTAATTTTGTTTCATCTTCATGTTTTGTTGCTATACGAGAATTATACTATTTGTATACTAATAACACCTACATTCTGTTGATATCTCTAGCTATATGAAGTTCAAAAACAATTATTAATTAATGGTGACTCTTTAAAGAGGCCTTCAAGTTCTCGAAGAAAATTTTATATTACTTCTTTGCCTGAATAACGCTATAAATCTTTTACCACTGTATTTACTTATTTATTTTTACATACACTGTATTTATTATTAATCACTGGATTTAAAGTGGTAAAAGGATCTCCAGAATTCCACTTTTACCAAAACTTTCTGGGTTATTAAACTTATCTTATATTGGTAAATAAGCCGTTTTTATAAAAGAAACATAACCTTTTGCTTTCAGAAAATAAAGGAATTGGTTAAGGGTATGCATAAAAAGAAGTGAAGGAAGAGAGGTTTTTCTTCAAGGATCCTACTGTTGCTTTAAAGCGAAAAATGTTACGATATTAAAACCTTTTTTTTAAGGTTTTAAAACCTTTATCCATTACTTTTCGCTTCCACCTTTTACTTCAAAGTAAATGCTTCATTATTAGAAATATGAACTAATATCTCGGCCTCTTCTAACATTTATAAATTAAGAAGAGCTGCTTCTTCCATATTTAAGTTTATCAAAAAAAAACAATATAACCAAATAGCGACCGAACTTGACACAACCACAATTGCGCAAAGTCATTTCAGTAATTCCATTGGAAATTTCAAATCCACAAAGAATATACCCATGTGAAAATATTCGTACACTATTTGTGCGAAAACATTCACGTGATTTTATCGAGAATGCCAATTTTTAATTCACATGTCAAAATTTTTTATTCCCGTGTGAATAAATGTCGAGAATTGAGCCCCAGTCAGTGATGTTAAAATTACTTTATAATATGTAATTAATTACAATTACTTTTGGCAAATTGTAATCAAAGTTACAATTACAATCACAATTACTTTGCTTTGGTGTCAGATTTAAATAATTCTTTAGGTATTTGCAATCGGAATTAAACTTTCCACGTATTGAAAATATTAAATAAGTACTTTTGTGTCCAATGTAATTGAAATGTAATTGTAATTGTAACGAAAGGAGTAATTGAATTTCAAATGAATTACAATTGAGGATCTTGTAATTAATTACCGCCTCAATTACAATAAAAGTAATTCAATTACTTTTTCAATTACTTGTAATTAATTACTTAACAACACTGCCCGCAGTTGTACAGTTACAGTGATTAATTCCGTCGATTTTTTTTAAGGCTAAACACAGGATACTACTAACAGGAACTCCATTGCAAAATAATCTATTAGAATTGATGTCTCTGTTGATATTCGTGATGCCGAAAATCTTCGCGGAGAAAACCGACGATCTGAAAAGTTTGTTCCAAAAGAATTCCGTAAGTTTCAATCGTTTAAATTAAACAGAAATCCACCACACTAGCCTAATAAGGATTGCTCAATAATCGCTAATTAAAGCAAATAATTTGATTAATCCTCGTTACATACAGGGTGTCCCAATAGTGCGGTAAAGCCCATTTACTCTGTTATTATAATAGATAGGAAAAAATGATAAATAGGAAAAATGTTAAGCACCTTTAGGCGCGCAATTTTGAATTATTTCGAAATATACAGGGTGGCCCATAAATCGAAGCCATACCAAACATACCTTTTTTTAAAGGCAATGATATATTTTTTATTTCATATTCGATTTCAGCTCGTATTCACGAGTTTCTCAATATAAAATTTCATATTACTATACTGAGTATTTAAAAAGTTATGGCCATTTTTATGTTCAAATCGTCATGACTTCAAGTCCTTGTATATCAGAATCTGTATCAGATAATGTGAATTTTTCTGTGTCAGCACTTTTTGAAAATGGTCTATTTTCTCAAAAATTATGTATATTCTGACAAAATTACAATTTGTATACGGGGTGAGTCAAAACCGCAACATAATAATTACTCGCTTAATTTAAATGGAACACCCTATACTAATAATATCCAATGGGAAGTCTATTTCCTATTGAATCATTTTTCATAACATTTCCTTATACCTAACTGTCACCGTTTCTGAGATATTTTCAGTTTTATTAAAAAATGTCCAGTTTTTGATATTATAAATTCATTTTGATCTAATTACCAATGATGTTATCGACCTTTTTTTGCAAAATAATAGTAGAAAATGTAATATCGATTAATTAACGATCATTAACTACCCGAAATATTTGGTAATTTTTAAATTAAACTTTAAATTATTATAATTTTAATTTAATCTAGTTACCTCTATGACGTCATCATCTACGAACTATGCGAATTTTACTTATTGAACTCGTGTAACTGTAAATTATAGAATAACTAAAAATTTAGGGTACCTGCTAATGATATTTGATTAATCATTAATCGATATTTAATTTTTTACTATTAAATAGACATATACTAAATAGACTTCCTATACTTAAATAGACTTCCCATTGGATATTATTAATATAGGGTGTTCCATTTAAATTAAGCGAGTAATTATTATGTTTGCGTTTTGACTCACCGTGTATACAAATTGTAATTTTGTCAAAATATACCTAATTTTTGTGAAAATAGACCATTTTCAAAAAGTGCTGAGACAGAAAAATTCACATTATCTGATACAGATTCTGATATACAGGGCCTTGAAGTCATGATGATTTGAACATAAAAATGGCCATAACTTTTTAAATACTCAGTATATTCATATGAAATTTTATATTGAGAAACTCGTGAATACGAGCTGAAATCGAATATGAAATAAAAAATATATCATTGCCTTTATAAAAAGGTATGTTTGGTATGGCTTCGATTTATGGGCCAACCTGTATATTTCGAAATAATTTAAAATTATGCGCCTAAAGGTGCTTAACATTTTTCCTATTTATCATTTTTTCCTATCTATTATAATAAACTGCTCCACAAAAGTTAAGGAAGTTTGCAAATTTTGCGATTATTTTAAAAGTTACAGACTTTTCGATCACCAAATTTTCAAATATGTGAAATTAAAGATTTCTCTCATATCTGAGTGAATTTTTTGTCCCTACCTCTACAATTCATACTAGACTTGGCGATTAAAAAACCTGCAACTTTTAAATTAATCTCAATATTTGTGAACTTCCTTAACTTTTGTGGAGCACTTTAACTGAGTAAATGGACTTTACCGCACTATTGGGACACCCTGTATAAGTGTGTTCGTAACGACCTCGATTCTCCTGTTGTTCTCATCGAAATCGCGTTTTTTTTTGTGTGTAGAAAAAGGAACAAGACGCCGATACTCTTCCGACGTTCGAAAAGGAACAAATCGAACAGGCGAAAAGGATAATGAAACCGTTCGTATTGAGACGGCTCAAATGCGACGTGCTGCAGGATTTACCAAAGAAAACGGATTACGTGATGAAAGTGCCGCTGACGCCGACGCAGAAGCAGCAGTACGAGCAATTGGTGGCCTCTTACAAGGCCGTTAACGAGGTACCAATTATTATCGATTTATCTCTTAGATCATATGCAGTGTGTTTTTTATAAGATGCGACATAGGGATTCCTGTACAAATGTGTCAAAAGCAAGATGTGTCACACAGTAGTACATTTCATGTTTACTAATAACCCAGAGTCACGGCCTTCTAAGTTTTACAAAAGCGGCAATATTCATTTTTTTTTTCAAACCTCTACTTTTTTCGAAAATGTCGAATTGCCACTAAACGATTGGTTTTAGGTACAATGTATGGTACATAAAGTCACACTAAAATTCACTAAAGAATTCAAAAATGTTATAATATACAGGGGGTTATTAAAATTAAGGTTAAAAAAAAGGTAACTTTAATGAATTTTTAATACTGAGCCACCCTGTATATAGACGAAACTATTTGAATAATATGCAGTATTATTGTACCTACCTTTTGAAAAAAAATCAAGTCGATATCTCAATTAGGTAAAAAGTTATGGGACTTTAACGCGACCCTGGGTCACCCTGTATATTTATATGAATACACTGTGTTATTTATAAGATGCGACATAGGGATTCCTGTACAAATGTGTCAAAAGCAAATAACGTTCGTAAAAAATAATGACAGATTTGAAAAGATCGTCAAAAAACAAGTCGAAATGGACAATAAATTTTCTTAAATTCGTTCTGGTTTAATAAAAAAATGTATAATTAAGTTGAAAAAAGTCATACGTCATATGTCACTATCTAATAATTGTTAAAAGTGGCCGAGATATCTGGATTGGTTTACGCTCTGAAGTTTGAAAAATTCAGCGGTAAGGAATCTGGTTCAATCCCACGCAGTGCTGAAATTTTTTTTCTTTGGCATTTTTTGTTTTTTTAATGTTTTTTTTTGTCAAGAATAAAAATATGGCATCATTTTAAAGGCTCTACCTACTAACGAGATTTTGCGTTATTAAAATTGACACTTAATTGTCGGAGCTTTTATTTAAATAAAAATAAAATTATATCTCAAATAAGCTCGCCTTATTTTAAATATTTCTATTTAACATTTTTTAGACAAAAATATTAGAAAAAAACCGAAAAAAAAAGTCTTTACTGCGCGGGGATTGAACCACATTACTTCCCGCTAAAATTTTTAAATTTCAGAGCGTAAATCATCCCGGTTAACTCCGCCCATTTTACAATTATTAGATAGTGACATAAAAATGACACATTTATGACGTTTGACTTTTTTTAACTTAATTACACATTTTTTTATTAAACCAGAACGACTGTAATAAAATTTAATATCCATTTCAACTTATTTTTTGACGATCTTTTCAAATCTGTCAATATTTTTTACGAACGTTATTTGGTAAAAAAGTTAGCTTGCTTTTGACACATTTGTACAGGAATCCCTATGTCGCATCTTATAAATAACACAGTTTATACTAACGTGGATGCATAAATGCCATAAGAATTACATTTACATTCCTGTTGCCAACATCTACAACATGCCTAAATTATACTCTCTTTTTTTACTCTATGGAATTCAGCATAGATTTATCTTTGTTTTGGTCTGCCAATTGAGCATGCGCTATAAAAATCTAAACGTATTTATTAGTATACAACAGATATATTAGAAAATTCGCCCTTGTTGCCAGATTCACACATTTGTTGTAATTTTTCACTCTTTTAATATGTACTATGTACGATAAAAATATTTTTATTTATTATCTAAAATAATTGTTTTGAAATGCAGTAATACTATTTAAATGCGTATACATTTTAATTAACTAATTATTGTACAAAACAGCTGCTCGATTACTTATTTGTAGTAAAAGAAAAGTAGAAATAAGAAATAGCTATTAGACATTTGGCAATGCTGATGCGTCCTTTTCTGGCACTGGCATTGACACTATGACATTTGACATCTGTTTCATAACTGTCATGGCGTCGTATTATTATTTATATTTGGATTTTTGATTATTGGATTGGTTTGTGTTTAGTGTTTGGGGTTTATACATAACACTAAGGTAAACAACAATCATCTTATAATAGTTTTGAAACATGAATATTTAAATTTGTCGCTAACTATATACGTCAAAATTGTCAAAGGCTCCAAGACAAAGACACACCGTTAGAAACTAGCGAGTGTCAAACAAGGACGGGTCATAAAAGTACGTCGTGAATATGTTAGCAACAGAGTTTACCGCTGTCGATTCATCCACGTTATTATATAGATTGCTTCAATTTAGACCGTAACATGGTCGTTTCTATGAGTTGAACAAAGAAAGATTAATAAAATAACAGTTGTCAGAGTGAAAAGTTGCAATGATACAAATCAGTCACTCTTTCTTTATCCTTTATAATTGTCTAATGGAAGTTGTCTCTATCGTACCTATAGCCTATATAACCTGGATGTGGAATGATCTAAGATTAACCTCAATATTCACCAATTTCGGCTTAACAACCTGATAACTGTCAGTCTGATTTAACAGTCAGTTAACAATGTTATTCACCGCGATATTTGAAGTAACTGATAGTAAACGGATAATTTTCTTTAAAATAATCAAGATTAAGTTGGTATTACGATAGAGTTCCTAATTTCGTTCCTAATTTCGTTTGCTTGATTAATCGATTTTTTTTTTAGAACGGAGAAAGCTTGTACAACGGCATGAGCATCATGACGGATTTGAGGAAATTGAGCAATCACCCGTTATTGATGAGGTTCCATTACGATATCAATAAATTACAAGAAATAGCCAAACTATTAGCCGTCGATCCGGGATATAAAGACACAGTAGTACAATATATCGTCGACGATTTAACGTGGATGTCGGATTTCGAAATTCACACGCTTGCAAAGGAATTTGCCGTGAGTACATTACAGCATATTTATAAAAAAAAATGAAGTGTTTACTTTGAAGTAAAAGGTTTTGCTCTGGTGCATATTAAGGAGGTTTGGGCGCAGTGTTGTTAAGTAATTAATTACAAGTAATTGAAAAAGTAATTGAATTACTTTTATTGTAATTGAGGCTGTAATTAATTACAAGATCCTCAATTGTAATTCATTTGTAATTCAATTATTCCTTTCGTTACAATTACATTTCAATTACATTGGACACAAAAGTACTTATTTAATATTTTTAATACGTGGAAAGTTTAATTCCGATTGCAAATCCCTAAATAATTATTTAAAACTGACACCAAAGCAAAGTAATTGTGATTGTAATTGTAATTGTAACTTTAATTGTAATTGTAATTACATTAGCAAATTTTGTAATTGTAATTGCAATTAATTACAATTTGCCAAAAGTAATTGTAATTGTAATTAATTACATATTATAAAGTAATTTTAACATCACTGTTTGGGCGTTACGTCTCGACAGAATAGGAGAAAATAAATAGTAAAATCGTCTGAAATTACATGAGATCTTATGGGCGGAAACTTTAGGATCGTTTAAAAAAATTAAAACTAGATGAATAAATGTTTAAGAAACATTTTGCATAACCAAGTGCAATATTTTCTGAAGACACAGGTAAAATTTAAACACGATTCACTCGCTGGATTTGTTGCAATAATGCAAAATACAGGGTGTCCCAATAGTGCGGTAAAGCCCATTTACTCAGTTATTATAATAGATAGGAAAAAATGATAAATAGGAAAAATGTTAAGCACCTTTAGGCGCGCAATTTAAAATTATTTCGAAATATACAGGGTGGCCCATAAATCTAAGCCATACCAAACATACCTTTTTTTAAAGGCAATGATATATTTTTTTTTTCATATTCGTGTTCAGCTCGTTTTCACGAGTTTCTCAATATAAGATTTCATATGACTATACTGAGTATTTGAATAGGCCATTTTTATGTTCAAATCGTCATGATTTCAAGGCCCTGTATATCAGAATCTGTATCAGATAATGTGAATTTTTCTGTGGAAGCACTTTTTGAATATGGTCTATTTTCACAAAAATTATGTATATTTTGACAAAATTGCAATTTGTATACGGGGTGAGTCAAAACGCAAACATAATAATTACTCGCTTAATTTAAATGGAACACCCTATATTAATAATATCCAATGGTAAGTCTATTTCTTACTGAATCATTTTTCATAACATTTCCCTATACCTAACTGTCACCGTTTCTGAAATATTTTCAATTTTATTAAAAAATGTCCAGTTTTTGATATTATAATTTCATTTTAATCCAATTACCAATAACATCTTCGAACTTTTTTTGCCAAATAATAGTAGAAAATTAAATATCGATTAATGATTAATCAAATATCATTAGCAGGTACCCTAAATCTTTGATTATTTTATAATTTAAAGTGACACGAGTTCAAAAAGTAAAATTCATAGTTCGTAGATGATGACGTCATAGAGGTAACTAGATTAAATTAAAATTATAATAATTTAAAGTTTAATTTAAAAATTACCAAATATTTCGGGTAGTTAATGATCGTTAATTAATCGATATTACATTTTCTACTATTATTTTGCAAAAAAAGGTCGACAACATCATTGGTAATTAGGTCTAAATGAAATTATAACATCAAAAACTGGACATTTTTTAATAAAACTGAAAATATTTCAGAAACGGGGACAATTAGGTTATAGGGAAATGTTATGAAAAAAGATTCAGTAAGAAATAGACTTCCCATTGGATATTATTAGTATAGGGTGTTCCATTTAAATTAAGCGAGTAATTATTATGTTTGCATTTTGACTCACCCTGTATACAATTTGTAATTTTGTCAAAATGTAACTAATTTTTGTGAAAATAGACCATTTTCAAAAAGTGCTGACACAGAAAAATTCACATTATCTGATACAGATTCTAATATACAGAACCTTGAAATCATGTCGATTTGAACATAAAAATGGCCATAACTTTTTAAATACTCAGTATAATCATATGAAATCTTATATTGAGAAACTCGTGAATACGAGCTGAAATCGAATATGAAATAAAAAAATATATCATTGCCTTTAAAAAAAGGTATGTTTGGTATGGCTTCGATTTATGGGCCACCCTGTATATTTCGAAATAATTTTAAATTGTGCGCCTAAAGGTGCTTAACATTTTTCCTATTTATCATGTTTTCATATCTATTATAATAACTGAGTAAATGGGCTTTACCGCACTATTGGGACACCCTGTATATCGTTGTTGACTAAAAATGGTCAAAATCGGTCTGTCACTTTAATGCGGCAACGCTGCAAACTCTCAGCTGTCCGTTGTTATCTGTTTCTTGTATTTCATTCGCGATTTTACGTGTTTTAAGAAGCATGCACGGTTCTCACATTTTTTGTTTGCGATTCTCGAATTTTTTTAGACTTATATTAATGTCTTTATATCGGCAAACTTTATCTTAGAGAACATTGTTGACAGCTGATAGGTTAGAATCGAACCTAATTTCATTCAAAACCATTGGCGACGTTGCCAAACTTAAACGTGTTATTTTATTCAAATCGAAACTACATTTTACGTGCAACAAACAGTTTCTCATTGCAATTACGGATATGAAATCGTAAAAAATGTTTAAAAATCATACATAAATGAAGAAAACGTTATAATTTATTTGTCTTTTTGCTTTCTAGCAAAAGACGTGTTTCTATTTCTAGAAACGCTTTCTAAACGACTCTAAATGGTTCTAAACAGTTCTAAATGATTATCTGGGGCTCAATTCTCGACATTTATTCACACGGGAATAAAAAATTTTGACATGTGAATTAAAAATTGGTATTCTCGACAAAATCGCGTGAATGTTTTCGCACAAATAGTGTACGAATATTTTCACATGGGTATATTCTTTGTGGATTTGAAATTTCCAATGGAATTACTGAAATGACTTTGCGCAATTGTGGTTGTGTCAAGTTCGGTCGATATTTGTTATATTGTTTTTTTGATAAACTTAAATATGGAAGAAGCAGCTCTTCTTAATTTATAAATGTTAGAAGAGGCCGAGATATTAGTTCATATTTCTAAAAATGAAGCATTTACTTTAAAGTAAAAGGTGGAAGCGAAAAGTAATGGATAAAGGTTTTAAAACCTTAAAAAAAGGTTTTAATATCGTAACACTTTTCGCTTTAAAGCAACAGTAGGATCCTTGAAGAAAAACTTCTCTTCCTTCACTTCTTTTTATGCATACCTTAAACAAATTACTTTATTTTTTGAAAGCAGAAGGTTATGCTTTTTTTTATAAAAACGGCCTATTTACCAATATAAGATAAGTTTAATAACCCAGAGAGTTTTGGTCAAAGTGGAATTCTGGAGATCCTTTTACCACTTTAAATCCAGTGATTAATAATAAATACAGTGTATGTAAAAATAAATAAGTAAATACAGTGGTAAACAATTTATAGCGTTATTCAGGCAAAGAAGTAATATCAAATTTTCTTCGAGAACTTGAAGGCCTCTTTAAAGAGTCACCATTAATTAATAATTGTTTTTGAGCTTTATATAGCTAGAGATATCAACAGAATGTAGGTGTTATTAGTATACAAATAGTATAGTTCTCGTATAGTAACAAAACATGAAGATGAAACAAAATTAAAATAATACATATGACAAGTTTGCTGTCAATGCTGTCGCATAGTCAGGAATGTCAACATAACAAATTTAAAATGATGAAATGTGATTGGCTAAATATCTAGTTAATATTAGACGTACATATCAAGACTGTTTCCATGTGAAAATATATTCCACTATAACCAATTATACTGTTTCAGACAAGCACGTGAATAAATGTAGTGGAATTATTTCACATGGTGAATCATTCTTCGTTCACGCGAAGTCGAGAATTGAGCCTCTAAACTATTTTTCATTGGGACATCCTGTATTTCACGCCGTTATACAGTGTTAGAAAATTATTCGCGCATAATAGGGAAATCAATGTTAAATTCTTAGCCGGCTGAATTACAGTTTACCAGTGTACATTTAAATAGAACGTCGCGATAAATTCTAATAAATTTAATTGTTCTACTGGACTTCACACCGCGCTTTGGTTTGGTTAGATTAAAAATCAAATAATTTCGACGGTTTCAAAACTTCGACAGTATCAAAACGGGTTCGGATGAGCGAACGTCGAGTCGATTAAAAAGAAATGAGAATTTTTAAACGATAATTTATTGAAAAAATATCACTAATATTAAAATAGAATTAAGTAAATATGTATTTTTGCTACAATGGCTTGAAAAAGAAAGTAAATTCTAAGAAAATAATAAAAAGAAAACTCCAAAAATAAACTTAAAGATTATTTTAAAACGGAAAATAAAAGAACTCTAAAAAATAGTCCACCGCTTTCTGCTAAACTATAGCCAAACCTGCCATACAGATGTCATCCCATATTACTGAGCTAAGGTATAATTCTAGCTGAAAATTGAATTATTTTTCCCCTTATTTCAACAAGATTTGTTGCTCTTTCAAAACTGTACCTACCGCTACACATATTTTTTTGAAATATCCCCAAAAAACCTATTAAATGTAGTTTCTAAATAATTTTGTACCTCATACCTAACACAAATAACTTTGTACCTCTACAAATCGCGGCGTGCGATCCAGTAGAACAATTAAATTTATTAGAATTCATCGCGACGTTCTATTGAAATGTATACTGGTAGACTGTATTTCAGCCGGCTAAGAATTTAACATTGATTTCCCTATTATGCGCGAATAATTTTCTAACACTGTATGTTATATCTCTTTACAGTGTTTGAGAAACTTCCTGCTTCCCAACGGTTTAATGTTGAACTCGGGCAAATTCTGGCAATTCGACCAAATGCTGGACGACCTGAAGAAAAACGGCCACAGAGTATTGATATTCAGCCAGTACGTGATAATGTTGAACATAGTCGAGGAATATTTGAAAATTAGAAGCCACAAGTACATGAGATTGGACGGCAGTACGGCGGTGAATATCAGACAGGATTTGATCAACGAATTCACCGACGATTCCAGTTATTTTATATTTCTATTGTCGACGCGGGCCGGCGGTTTGGGCATCAATTTAACATCGGCAGATACGGTTATCATTCACGATATAGATTTCAATCCGTATAATGACAAACAAGCCGAGGACAGGTGTCATAGAATGGGACAGAGCAAACCCGTGACGGTTTATCGGTTCATTTCGCAAGGTACTATCGAAGAGGGTATGTTGGAAATGAACAAAGAAAAACTGAAATTAGAACGGGATATTACCACTGACGGTGAGTTATGCTTATATACAGGGCGTCCCGGAAAGTGTGGGAAATCGCTCGGATTTAGATAGAACGTGAAAAAATCAGATGACAAGTTCCTATAAAGTTTTTACCTAAGTCCTGTTGGACAAGTGTAGTCTAAATTTGACTGGGGATTTGACAAGTTTGTGTTTCATAAAATTACACGAGTAGATTATTAGTGACAAGTGACTAGCCTAATATTAGGTGTCACCTTCTATTCAGCGGTTGAACAACCGATGTCATCAAACTGTTCATTTATTCAGCGATTTTTTAAATGTTTGTCATCTGTCAACGATCTTTTTCTCATACATATAAATAATTATATTTATATGTATATGGATTAATCGGATTTTGAAGAGGATAGATCTGGTTGACAGATGAATATAACCCATATTTTTCATTCCATGATCGGTTTCGGTTATGATCTAATGTTCCATGATGAAGTTGTGCATTCAATGTGCATTCAAATTTTTAATTTGTTTTGCTGGTTTTGCAATTTGCAATGGATTCCGAAATCTGCTATTGCATGAGTTTTATTGATTTCTTTGTTTATTAAAAATAGTTCCAATAACTCATCACTGTCACTGTTTTTTGAGGACTCTTCACTTTCATGTTCCGATGATGAATCGGATGAATATAACATATTTTTTGGAATCAAATAAAACTCCGTTTTTTATAATTTCCCTCACATTTACAAATTCAAATTGTCAATGTCAACGTCAACGTCAAAATTTCCAACCATCCAGCAATTTGTTCCTATATTCACATAAATCAATTCCATCAGGAATCATGACGTCATTTGACATTATTCATAGGTGAAACGGAGATGGAAAAAAGATCATACCTATTACAGGTCTGTTTTACAATTGTAGATAGGTTTGCGTTTCATAAAAAATAAATTAAACAACACTTGTCATTTATTCCTATCATATATTAGTGTAAAGCGACTGGGACTTGATTTCCTGTCACCATCCGATTTTCTTGTAAATTTAAAAGAAAATGTGGTCTAGCGACAGTGAGGAGGAAGCTTAATGGGAGTTTAATAAAAGATTTCGAATGAATTCGATAAAAATGGAGGAAATAATAAAATCTATTGGTTCCCGCCTAATGTATAGAACCAACGTATAGAAATTATGCATTGTCTTTGTTCGTTTCAATGCTCACATTTTATAGCTTTTGTAGAAGTGGGACAAGAATTTCCAAATAGAATGCTCTTTCTTTATTAGAATAATTGAAAATTAAATAAATGTTGCTGCATTTTAGAAATAAGTTTTTTGTCAATAAACGAAATTGTCGTGGTTCACATCTAAAAATAGCTCCAACCAGAAAAAAAAAACAATTTCAAAGTAAAAGTTTCCCAATATCGAAAAACGAAGGTTGTGCTATACTTATGCTCCTCAGTAGAGTAAGTACTATTTTTTTCTTTTTGGCTTAAGTCTGACGTTTAATTAATATTACAGTTGTAGAAAAACGGATGCCAAAAATTTAATTCGACAAGTGTCGAAATTTATTTTATGAAACGAAATTTTTAAATACTTGTCAACCAACACTTGTAACTTGTCAACTTGTCCTCTGAACACCGCTGAAAATAGGTTTTCCTTAAATATCTTTTAAAGTACTTGATATAATTTAACAAAAATCTAATACGATGGACACTAGTAAGAACCTCGCAAAATAGTGTCCTTAAAACATGTTTAGTTTTTTTTTTTAGTTTAGGGCCTTTAGGGTAAAACTTTGTAGAATTTTTTTCATGTTCTATCTGAGAGATTTCCTACACTTTCCGGAACACCCTGTAGATTGATTGTATCGATATTTTACACATGATTGTTTTGTGTTGCACAGAAACCGATAATCCCGATGTGAAGAGCGTTGTAAGATTGTTGTCGTCCGCGTTGGGAATAGATTCATCGAAAGCCACGAATTTGGTATCGCCAAAGAAAATTCCTTGAGAGTTACTCGCCCGTTAAGTAACGCTTTTAAACGTAAATTTAATTTAGTACAATTTCTACGTGTTATATAAATTATTCGTATTGGAATTATTTAATGGACAAGGCACAGTGTTTGAGCACTCTTTCTTTTTGCGTTTTTTTAGTTCGATTATTACAATTAAAATATTTTTTCAACCACACGTGTTTTTTTTCTAATCCTATACAGGGCTTTTCACGGTAACCGTCCATTAGAAGGATCTCAATAATGAAAAGACTTAAAAATCTGAAATTTTGGTTATAATTTTTTTTTGATAATTTAAATTGATCTAAAATATTTTCATTTTGATTAGAAAGCGGTTATACCGAAAGTTGACACACCATTTTTAACATCATTTTTGAATTCTATGGCATTATTTAACTAGACTTTGATAATAACACCATATGCCAAAAATGCACCATTTTTAAGATATTACATTTTTTTTGATATTTTTTGGAAAAACAGTCGAATGTATTTTCTGTGATATCTGTGTTAATAATGCAGCTAAAAGCTTGAAATTGAGTATCGATGATGTCCAGACACACTTCTAAATGAAACTAAACTGTATTTTCAGAATCCATGTACAGGGCGTTTAAAATTGTCCGACAAACATGGCCAAATTAAAGTGGTCAAAACTTTATTTCAAATGGATCACCTTGTATTTTTTAACAGTGACAAATACAGTTTTTTAAGCCCTTTCGATCCATATGGGTATTCCCTATACCCAAATCCAGTAGTTTTTGAAATAATCGAAGTTTTATTAAATAAGGTATGAATTTTCTTTTTTTTTGAGTTTTCTAGTTGGCCATTTGATGACCTTATGTCAATCCGAAATTTATGTATTTTTGAAAAATTCTACGCTTAATTTAAGAGTACTTTTATTCTATTTTTTATAAAAAATACTATAACCAAAATTTCAGATTTTTAAGTCTTTTCATTATTGAGATACTTCTAATGGACGGTTACCGTGAAAAGCCCTGTAGATGCGCGACTTCGCCTTTATTGGTAATTACAACGAAATGACAAGTTTGACAGTTCGAAGTTTCTTCTTCGCCGCTGTCATTTGTGTAGGTTTGATCTTTTTTTCCCTGTTTTTAAACCAAACGAACGGGAAACGTCAATTAAATAAACTGCTCCACAAAAGTTAAGGAAGTTTGCAAATTTTGCGATTATTTTAAAAGTTACAGACTTTTTGATCAGCAAATTTTCAAATATGCGAAATTAAATGTTTTCTCTCATACCTGAGTGAATTTTTTGTCCCTACCTCTACAACTCATACTAAATTTGGCGATCCAAAAACCTGCAACTTTTAAATTAATCTCAATATTTGTAAACTTCCTTAACTTTTGTGGAGCAGTATAATTTGAAATTTAATAATGGAAAATAATGAATTTAGCTGGCGAAAAGACGTCGATGTTTAGAGATCTTTTTAATGTCCAATTTCCCCGTTTTAACAAACTAGTTGAATCGTCATTGAAGCTTAAAAATACAAATCAATGTGATTTAGAGAATGTGTTGAGAGCATCAGCTCTGGCCATGATACCGATATCATTTTCTAAATACCTAAACACCGGCGGGACCTCATCGTTGGCCTCTTTCCCCAAAAGCGGCTGAATCTCATTCCAAGCGAAAGCGTACAGGTTAGTCTTGGCATTCAAAGCCTCGAAATCGATTAAACTAGGCCTGTCGGGGTGCTGGAAAACCACGTCGAACACGTAATTTTTCCTGGGAAATTGGATTTTTACGTGGTCGTCGTAAAACTCGGACAACTCCCGTATAATCCGCGGCCCTTCCTCCTTGAAATGCTCGTAGTACGTAGGCCAGTCTCTGGGCGTGATCCCTCGCAACGTGCTATTTACCACGATACATCGAAACTCCGCCGCCGGATGGATGCTCGTCCATTTCCTCAAGGCCATGCAGAACGGCACGCCCTTGGCGTTCGAGAAATCCTCCTGGATTTTAGCCGAACTCGAGAAATACGTCACGACATCGTCTAACGTGGCCACCTCCAAGGAGTTACCGAAGCTAAACATTCTGGCATCGACCGGGGCGTGCCAGTTGTTCCTGACGAATGCTCGGTTAGATAAAGCGTTTAAGGCGTTTTTGAATTTATCCGCGAATTCGACTGGTATTTCCTCTTGCGTATCGTCGATTTCCTCCGATTGGATTTTCCTCAACAACTGTTCGGGTAATTCGATGATTATTGTACGCATGGTGACGTTTGCGAATTTCTCGTACCAATTTGTTATGGAAAAATCGATAAAATCTTGAATTTCCAACATTTTTCTATAAATTTCAACGTTTACCTTTAACAACAAACAAACAAAGTTTGGTTAGAAAACTCACCGTCTTCTTCTCTGTGACATGGCCTCTTTCGTTATGTCGCATCCGACCAGCTTACTGGTTAGAAAACTCATAAATGTCCATAGACAAAATAAAAGAGACTGTTTAAAGCATAGGAAATATGAGACCATAGACAAAATAAAATATTTCTTTCTCTATGGATCGAACTCTCTCATATTTCATTCTCTATGTAAATGTCCTTCCAAATTTTACTCCTAGAAAAAAAAAAGAAGAATTCAACCATAATATGACATTGACATTATTGACACCAAATGTCATAAAATTACTAATATTTCTAATAATTCCAATTATCTTAGAAAAACTAATAAAATGAACCGTTTATTCGGCAAAGGCAAGCCCAAAGAACCCGGCCCGAGCATTTCTGACGTCATAACGGGGGTAAGCACGCTACGATAATTCCTTTTCCCATTCAAATCGCTCGCCTTTCCAGGTGGACCAAAGGGCGGAAGCGGTGGAAAAGAAAATCAACGCCCTCGAAAATGATTTGCGCAAATTCAGAGATCAAATGTCGAAGATGCGAGAGGGCCCGTCGAAGAACGCCGTCAAGCAAAAGGCCCTTCGGATACTCAAACAGAAGAAACTCTACGAGAACCAATTGGAGAACCTCAGGGGCCAGTCGTTCAACATGGAACAGGCCAATTTCGCGGCGCAAACACTCAAAGACACCCAAATCACGGTGGCCGCGATGAAAGACGGCATGAAAGAGATGAAGAAGGAATTCAAGAAGATCAACGTCGACGATATCGATGTAAGCGTAAGGTAGTAGAATTCGAATCGATTCGCATTTCGGAATGCTTTCAGGACGTTCAAGATGAACTGGCCGACATGCTGGAGCAGGCCGATGAGGTCCAAGACGCGTTAGGTAGAAGCTACAACACGGTGGACGTCGATGAAGACGAATTGGCCGCTGAACTGGACGCTTTGGGCGATGAAATCGCTTTGGACGATGATCAAAGTTATTTAGACGATGTTCTCAAGGCCCCCGAAGCACCGTCTACGAAACCTGAATCGTTACCGGCCGATCCCTCGAAGAAGGTAAGAAAGACACACGAATGAAATACAGGGTGTCCCAATAGTGCGGTAAAGCCCATTTACTCAGTTAAAGTGCTCCACAAAAGTTAAGGAAGTTCACAAGTATTGAGATTAATTTAAAAGTTGCAGGTTTTTTTAATCGCCAAGTTTAGTATAAATTGTAGAGGTAAGGACAAAAAATTCACTCAGATATGAGAGAAAACCTTTAATTTCACATATTTGAAAATTTGGTGATCGAAAAGTCTGTAACTTTTAAATTAATCGCAAAATTTGCAAACTTCCTTAACTTTTGTGGAGCAGTTTATTATAATAGATAAGAAAAAATGATAAATAGGAAAAATGTTAAGCACCTTTAGGCGCACAATTTAAAATTATTTCGAAATATACAGGGTGGCTCATAAATCGAAGCCATACCAAATATACTTTTTTTTTTAAAGGCAATGATATATTTTTTATTTCATATTCGATTTCAGCTCGTTTTCACGAGTTTCTCAATATAATATTTTATATGACTATACTGAGTATTTAAAAAGTTATGGCCATTTTTATGTTCAAATCGTCATGACTTCAAGGCCCTGTATATCAGAATCTGTATCAGATAATGTGAATTTTTCTGTGTCAGCACTTTTTGAAAATGGTCTATTTTCACAAAAAATAGTTACATTTCAAAAAAAATTACGATTTGTATACAGGGTGAGTCAAAACGCAAACATAATAATTACTCGCTTAATTTAAATGGAACACCCTATATTAATAATATCCAATGGGAAGTCTATTTCTTACTGAATCATTTTTCATAACATTTCCCTATACCTAACTGTCACCGTTTCTGAAATATTTTCAGTTTTATTAAAAAAATGTCCAGTTTTTGATGTTATAATTTCATTTTGACCTAATTACCAATGATGTTGTCGAACTTTTTGTGCTAAATAATAGTAGAAAATTAAAGATCGATTAATTAATGATCATTAATTACTCGAAATATTTGGTAATTTTTAAATTAAATTCTAAATTATTATAATTTTAATTTAATCTAGTTACCTCTGTGACGTCATCATCTACGACCTATGAATTTTACTTATTGAACTCGTGTCACTTTAAATTATAAAAAAATCATAGATTTAGGGTACCTCCTTAATGATATTTGATTAATTATTAATCGATATTTAATTTTCTACTATTATTTAGCAAAAAAGGTTCAACGACGTTATTGGAAATTAGATTAAAATGAAATTACAATACGAGTAATAACGAAAACTGGACATTTTTTAATAAAAAATTGAAAATATATCGGAAACGATGATAGTTAGGTGTAGGGAAATGTTATATAAAATGATTCAGTAAGAAATAGACTTCCCATTGGATATTATTAATATAGGGTGTTCCATTTAAATTAGGCGAGTAATTATTATGTTTGCGTTTTGACTCACCCTGTATACAAATTGAAATTTTGTCAAAATATAACTAATTTTTGTGAAAATAGACCATTTTTAAAAAGTGCTGACACAAAAATATTCATATTATCTAATACAGATTCTGATATACAGGGCCTTGAAGTCATGACGATTTGAACATAAAAATGGTTATAACTTATAATATTCAGTATAGTCATATGAAAACTCATATTGAGAAACTCGTGAAAACGAGCTGAAATCGAATATGAAATAAAAAATATATCATTGCCTTTAAAAAAAAAGTATGTTTGGTATGGCTTCGATTTATGAGCCACCCTGTATATTTCGAAATAATTTAAAATTATGCGCCTAAAGATGCTTAACATTTTTCCTATTTATCATTTTTTCGTATCTATTATAATAACTGAGTAAATGGGCTTTACCGCACTATTGGGACACCCTGTATGTTTCGCTCAAATATAATATATGCTCGTTTTTAGGATACCGTGCCTGTTGACGAATTCGGATTACCTCAGCTTAAGTAAAATAATAATTATAGTATATTATATGTTACTGGGGAAAGTTAGATAAAGGGCTCAACGTGGGTTTAACCGGATAAGGTAGAGCCTTAGAAAGCCAAAAAAAAACTCTACTTAAAGTAGTACCTTAGTCAACCTAGGTTTAGTCGTTTATCCAGCTTCATCCGTATCATAAAAAGTTACAAAATATGAACCTCTTGCTGTTTTTTTTAAGGTATCTATATTATTTTTCTACGGAAATTAACAAATCTTTGGTTTACTAGTATTAAGCACATTTTAAAACATTGTTTCTTTTTTTGAGAATTGTTACCGCTTCGACTAACGCTTTATCCTTAGAAATCTAATATTTTTTATTTTGTACAATAAACGTTACCTTTTAAATTCTTTCTAAAATCGCGTTCCGTTCGTCCGGCCCGGCACTTTGAAATTCGCAATCGAACACCAGTTTGAAGCACTCGAGGAACTCCGGAAGGGTTTCATCGATCGTTACGAGCTCGCCGGTGGCCTCGGTGAGGCTCGTCACGCCCTTGCCTTCGATTCCGCACGGTACGATGTGATCGAACCAGTTCAAATCGGTGGAACAGTTAAGGGCCAGCCCGTGCGTCGTGATGAACCGGCTGCCGTGGACGCCGATCGCACAAATCTGTAACGAGTTGTAATGGGATTTGCGATGGGATTTGCGAATGAATTACCTTCTTGTCTCCGATCCAAACGCCGGTGTGCGGAGACTTTGTCGCGTTCAAATCGAATTTCTTGCATAATTCGATGACGGTGTCTTCGATGCTGCTAACGTACCATCGTATGCTCGGTTTGAAGTGTTTCAAGTTCAATATGGGGTACACTACGAGTTGTCCGGGTCCGTGGAATGTGATCAAGCCGCCTCTGTTCGTTCGATGGAATGCCGCGCCTGTCGCAATGGAAAGATTAGTAAATAGGTTTGCTTGTTGATTAAATTAAATTTGTATTACCTTTGGCTTTTAGTTTGTTTACATCATCTTCTGTGTATTGTTTGTTTCGTATTCCTGTTGTGTAGACGGGTGGATGTTCAACACACAGCAGAGTATTGTTTATTCCTATTGTTTTATTGTGAAGACTAGCCAAGTATTTTTGTAGCTTTAAACCTTTGGTATAATCTAATACACCTACATTCAACACTTTTACTAATCTTTCCATTTCTCTCCATAATAGTATAAATAAAAGTGAGGTTAGCCTTGATTTGACGTTTGGCTGGTTTGGTTTCCCAGTAAATGTAATTACGAAAAGAGGAATAGAAGATTTCACGTGTCATTCTTGTCAATGTCAAAATGGCCTTTGACTATACAGGCTTGTAACCAGTAAGAAATTTATTGGCCCTTTTTGATATGTACTGTCACTGTAAATGTCATCGGTTGTCAAGCGACTGTTTTAAATTAGATACAATTAGATAAAATTTATTCTGGTCGAAAGAATTAGAGTTTGCGGAATTAATTAACATATTTCGTTAACGTTGAATGTGACAGTGATCCATTTACACAGTTAAAGTTCATCGTGATTAATCGGTGTTTATGCGAATAAATTAAGTAAATGTTTATCGCTTATACATCGGCGCTGAATTTTTTTTTTGATGTAACATGTAATATTTAAAATAACATTTTTTCGCATTGGAACAAGTCTATTTTTTTTAAATATGAAGAAAATAGGTGTCGTTTTTGCTGTGTTTTGTGTTATGGTAAGCGTTTGCCATTATTTTTTTATAATTAATTGCATATAGTTCGATTCATAACGTATAATTAGTAGTTGTTATAAAATGCTTGTCCTTCATTCCTAATTACCCTATTTAATTATCATATTTTTTAATATGTATAAATAAGATTGTTTTCGTTAAAAAATTAATTATTTTCAGATAATCCCGAGTTCACAGCGACACTTTGACGATAAAAATTCAGGGCGATTATCGAAAACATTAAACAAACCTGCTACATTGTATTTCCCAAGGGTTAAGAGATCACAAACTATCGGTAAGCACGGAAGTAATTACTAACATGCACACATAGTAACAATTTTTTTATGGAAACTTCCACAGAAAACGACTCGAAAAAAATCATCTTTCCCGGTGATATATTCCCTATCCCACCGAAACCGAAATACGAATCGTCAAATTGCACCTACGGCTTCTGCGAAGAGGTAACCAACTACCCCAGCGATAAAATCAAGAGAATAATGGAGCAATCGAAGGAGTTTCGAAACTACTTGGTGAACCAAGTACCCCAGTTCGATATCGTTTCGAGATTCGGCGACAACGAGGAGAACTTGTGCTCGACCATAACGCAATCGGTGTTCCCCAAAAGCGCTAAAAACACCCGCGGAGAGACCAAGTTGCTGGTCAACGTGGAAAACTACCAGCAAGGGGTTTTCATCGATGTTTGCGCAAAGTATGTAATTTGCCGTTTGAGCGATTTGTTTTGATGTTTTTTGAGCTTACCTCGTTGTGCGGGGGGTAATCGAATCGTTTCTTGCAGCGATGGCGGTGCCTGCACTTATTCAGATTTAATACCCGATGGTGCTACGATACGATGTAAACAAAAATACACCGTAACAAGACTGTTGGCTATAGGAAAAACCGATGATAAACCGATTCTGGATCTATTCGAATTGCCTTCTTGTTGCGTTTGTACACATAAGAAAAACTAGATTTACTTTTGCGAAGTTTCCTTTTATACAATCTTAATAAATCGTTATATATTTACGATTCGTGTTTTCCCATTAGATTTTATTCGTAATATTAAGCACTATTCAATGGATATTTTATGTAAACGTAAAATTTAGTAATGGAGTTAATGAAAAATTGTTTACACTTAGGTTTATAGTCCTCATTTAGCCAGCTCGTTGGATAACCAATCGAGTCCCTCGTACAATCCGTTGCCTTGCGTGGCGCACGTAGCTTGGATGTACCACCTTCTATTCTTCAATGTATTCAGTTGCAATTTATCAGTCAATTCGGCCGTCGACATGGAATTCGGCAGGTCCTGTTTGTTGGCGAATATCAACAGAACGGAGTCCTTCAGATCGTCCTCGCCCAGCATGTTGTGCAGCTCTTGTTCGGCCTCGGCGATGCGATCTCTGTCGTTGGAATCCACCACGAATATCAAACCGTCGGTGTTGGCGAAATAATGCCTCCAGAGCTTCCGGATTTTCGTCTGGCCTCCCACGTCCCACACGGTAAACGAAATGTTTTTGTACTCGACGGTTTCCACGTTGAAGCCGATCGTCGGAATCGTCGTTACGATTTCGCCGAGTTTCAATTTGTATAAAATAGTTGTTTTACCGGCCGCATCCAAACCCACCATCAATATTCTCATGGGTTTCTTGCTAAACAATCTATTGAATACTGCCGATATGGTGAGCCCCATGGTCGATTTCGATCACAATGTTTTACAATCACTTCGAAGCCGATTTTATCACTAGCAGGCGACAATTAAAACCATACTATCGAATCTAGTGTTACGAATTAACTATCAATGGTTTTTTGAATTCTTAAAATTTTAAATCCTTCGCACAATAGCAATGATGTGTAATACAAAAAATAAACGTCAAAGAGATAACACTCTTTACACGTCAACAATACACGTTAATTGCCGAAATTATTCGAGCAACGGCAAAGTGACATTCGCAACGTTGCCAAATATCACTTGTAAAAAAGAAGAATACGATTTGTTGGCGTAATAACTTATGGCGTTTTCCATTGGTATTGGTAAAATAGTGCGCACTGAAAGTGTACTTAAAGCTAATTTTTTGTCTCATTTGGTGGACTAAGCGAGTGTTTTGATTTCCATTGGCAATCTGGCCATAAAAAAACACTTTTGGAAATCAAAACACTCGCTTAGTCCACCAAATGAGACAAAAATTTTGCTTTAAGTGCACTTTCAGTGCGTATTATTTTACCAATGGAAAACGCCATTGACATTTCATTCTTCTCATTTGCAGTACACATTTTTCCGCCTACTGTTCACAAATGGCTGATGTCTTTTATAGTACGAGGCAATATTTTGATATTTTTTGACATTTCCCAAAGAAAAATGTTGTAGGTTATAATAGTACTTTATTAGTGAGGTAGGTTGAAATATTGCAATATGTATTCAAAAACCATATCATGTCTATTAAACAAACAAATTTTCAGAGGATTCGTAGGTAGAATGTCGTCTACACCCGCTTTGGAACGTGCAAAACACAACGCACAAATCACCAAGCAAACATTACACGAATTGACCAACGAAGTAAATCCAATCACCCAAATGCATTCGCTCATTCTAATCGTATCGTCTCCTTTATTTCCAGTTCAACGTATTAAAAAGGGAATACAACGTTTTAGTCGCCAAACAATTAAGAGACGAGAACGCCAAGCTTTCGTTAGCAGTCGAAAACGCCAAGAATAAATTAGTACGGTTAGAATGCCAAAACGGCGTAAAGCAAATAAAAATACCCAACAGAAGCGCGACCACTTCCCAGGAGAACTCCGAACCAAATCCGCAGGTTCGAACGGAGACACCCGAATCCAAAAAACACCAAACTAAACCCGCAAAAGCGACGGAAAACAAACCGAAAAAGCCCAAAGAACAAGCCGAAGAACCGCCGATCGACATTAGCCGGTTAGATTTAAGAATCGGGGAGCTTTTGGACGTCCAGAAACATCCGGACGCGGACAGTTTGTACGTTTTAAAAATCAACGTTGGCGAGGAGAATCCACGAACGGTGTGCTCGGGATTGGTCAAGCACATCCCGTTCGAAGAGATGAAATCCAAAAGCACGCTAGTCGTGTTGTGCAACTTGAAACCCGTCAAGGTAAAAGGCCGATATTTTAAAATGCTTGATCGCTTGATTGAATTTTTCACTTAAGATTATTTAAAAACGCCCCGTATATATCAATTTTTCCGGTTTCGGAAATGACAACTTTGACAGTTCGAAGTTTTGTTCTTCGTCGCTGTCATTAGGGCAAATTTTGTGCTCCAGTTTCTTGGCTAGATAACACGGATTTTTTTGCATCGTCGTTCTTTTTCTCATCGTCGCCGATAAATATGTAAATTAACGGTATTTATACAAATACGGAGTTCCGTTTATTCTCACATTCACATAGTTGTTTAAATGACAACTTTGACAGCTCGAAGCTTGTTCATCGCCGCTGTCATTAGTGCAAGCTTTTTTTGAAATTAATTTGATCATTTCTCGGTTATTAGTAAATATAAATGACCCAAAAACATGTAATTGTGGGAATTATGGTAATTTCTTTTATTCTCATCCATTAAAAACGACGAAATATTGCAAATAACGAAAAAATCGGTCCCGTAGGAAATGACAACTTTGACAGTTCGAAGTTTTTTTTCATCGCCGTTGTCATTAGTGTAGGTTTTTTTAAAAATAATTTGATCGTTTTTCCGTTTTCGGTAATTACAAATGACCAAGAAATATATATTATTGCGAATTATTCCAATTTCTTTTATTCTCGTCCATTAAAAGCGACGAAATTGTCAAAATAACGAAAAAAAAATCTGCCATTTCGGCGTTAGTTCCGTTTAAATCGAACGGGCTACATCCATCTTTATTTAGAAATCTGTCAATAATTTTACTTTTTCAATTTCAATTTACGGACTAAAACTAATTTAGCTAGCGAAAAGAGGTCGATATTTTCGTAATTTATGAATTTTTTTTGTACGTCCCCCTATGTACCTCTCTATATGCCCCAGTAATTCAAAAAAGAAATTTAAAAAAATTCCATCTTTTTTATTTTCCAGAATATTACAATCCAGAATTACAATGGCGAAAACAGAAACAATTGAGCATCACGTTTTTGAGTTATTGATCAAAACATTATTTTTTTGGATAGATATTTTAGTGGAACACCCTGTATATTCGTACCTTCGAATTCTACTTAAAATTTTAAGTACTTTTTATATAATATATCCTAGGTCTTTGTGGAACAAGTCTTATAGTACATTCGTAGATCGACAGGAAAAATTTAAATCGGTTTAACGATTTATTATTACTGCCTGCTGTTGTAAAATGACCCATTAATATGGGGCACATTAATATGTGCCGAAATAAGTAGGCAAATAACAGAACCGTACTTGATAATAGAATATTTAGACTGGAGAAGGCGACCATTTAAAAATTATATGCATAGATAAAATTCATCATTACACCAAGGACGCCACATCTTAAACAATCTAGAGAATCGGTAAATCAGGGAGATGCAAAAAATTACGAGTAAACGACGAATATCTGCACTTTATAAACGCCAAATAAATTGCTAAATAGATTGAATAATAGGTACCTACTCTATTTATATGTCTTCATTTAAAAACATTAATCGATCCAAACCCGATTACTCAAGTCCTTAAGTCCTTTACTCTGTAAGTCCTGGCCTGGAAATTTAAATACTGTTTAAAGGACATTCGCGCTCGCTAGGCAATGACGTCACAAGTCAACCTGTTGCAACGTTGCCGGGTTGAAATGAAAATCTTGATGTGACAGATATATTTAATTTAAGGTTATGTTAACTTTCATTGTTTAGAAATTAAAAAGAAGAAATGCATTAGGCTTCAAAATCCTATAAAACAGAAATATACATTTAAAAAACTATTCGTAACTTTAACATAACCTGTAAATTTCAATTTGCTGAACTATCGAACATATTGATCGGGAATTAATCGGGAAAAAAAGGCCTACATCGTCCCGTTCCCTCCCAAAATAGGTCGAAAACCACCGAAAATCGCGGGAGAAACTGTCGATAAATGTACATAAACCGCACGAAAAACTATCTAGAACGAACAAAAAACACATAACCTACTCGTAAACTTGAAAAAATACAGGAAAATCGCGCAAAAACAACAAATTGTAGTCATAACCTGTCAAAGTGTCAACTACAAAGCGCCGCTAAATATTGCAAATGTTGAGACTAAATGCATGACAACATCGCTTTCGATTTTCAACTACGCATCGTTAAATTCCCCTAGTCAAATGGAAGAATTAACATTGACACTAGGGAAATGTTGAACTGCATGGAAATTAATGACGTCGTCTAAAAATGACGTCATTGCCTAACGAGCGCGAATGTCTTTTACTACCTGGTCCAACTACGTGCTTAAAAGTTGCATTGTATTGGAATCTATTAAGTACTTATGCCCGATTTCACCAACCAGTTCCTAAAGTTAGGTAATACCTAAACCGGATTTAGGAATTCCTAAGTACAATTTGCGTTTCACCATGCACTAAGTAATACCTAAAGGTAATAGGAAATGCCTAAAGTTAGGACAGTTCACTGGGCTTGCCTAAAACATTTAGGAAATACTTAACCATACTTTTCATGTGATTTCATGTGACTTAAGTCTTGATTGTCCTTACACTCTTTAGATGAAAATTTAAAATGGGAGGAGAGTTTTTAGAAACTGGACGAAACTGATTTTTTTTAGTCTTTTTCGATACATAAAAATACGGCATTACAAATATCAGAAAGAATTGAAGATGATTTTTAATTTGATACACAGGAAGTTTTTGGAACTATTGACCGTACACATGCATGTAAATATCCATAGTCTTGGAGAAGAAGATGTAGAAATATTTTACAAATCGGAAAGGTTATTTTTCTAATAATGTACAGACTACATCTTCAGCAGATTTAAAAATAACTAACATAATTTAAAGATGGCCCGGATCATCAACATCTCCTCTTTTCTCTCAACATATTCAATTTTGATCTCCGCTTATTCGGTTTATACATCAAAATTAGGCAACGCTACCAATAAAATTCAAAAAATTGTCGAAATCAAATTTTTACCTAGGTATTTCTTAGTAAGGGATTTCTAATGTTGGTGAAATTCGATTTAGGTAAGTATTCGATTTAAGTAATTCCTACCTTAGGAATTACCTAGTTAGGAAATACCTAACAACATGTTGGTGAAATCGGGCATTAAAGTTTTAGTATACACTAATCGAACGTTATTTTAGATGCGAGGAGTACTATCCGAGGCTATGGTGATGTGCGCTAGTACCGAGCAGGCCGTGGAAACTTTGATTCCTCCGGCGGGTTGCAAGGCCGGCGAAAAAGTCCATTGCGAAGGCTACGCCGGGCGTCCCGACGCCGTGATGAATCCCAAGAAGAAGATCTTCGAAACGGTGGCTGTGGATTTGCGTACGGACGAAGATCGGCGGGCTTGTTACAAGATGGCGCCGCTGGAGGTGGCGGGGAAAGGTTTTTGTGTTGCTAGAACCTTGAAGAATGCGCCTGTTAAATAGAGACTGTGTAATGTTGATTAAATGGTTTGAAGTAAGGTCTTTTACAAGGGAGTTTTTTAATATACATTGTTGCCAAAACCTTGAAGAATGTGCCTGTTAAATAGAGGAATAGGGCCTGTGTTATGTTGATTAAATGGTTTGAAGTAAGGTCTTTTAAAAGGGAGTTTTTTAATATACATTGTTGCCAAAACCTTGAAGTATGTGCCTGTTAAATAGAGGAAGAGGGCCTGTGTAATGTTGATTAAATAGTTTGAAGTAAGGTCTTTTACAAGGGAGTTTTTTAATATACATTGTTGCCAAAACCTTGAAGAATGTGCCTGTTAAATAGAGGAATAGAGCCTGTGTTATGTTGATTAAATGGTTTGAGGTAAGGTCTTTTAGAAGGGAGTTTTTTAATATACATTGTTGCCAAAACCTTGAAGAATGTGCCTGTTAAATAGAGGAATAGAGCCTGTGTTATGTTGATTAAATGGTTTGAGGTAAGGTCTTTTAGAAGGGAGTTTTTTAATATACATTGTTGCCAAAACCTTGAAGTATGTGCCTGTTAAATAGAGGAATAGAGCCTGTGTTATGTTGATTAAATGGTTTGAAGTAAGGTCTTTTAAAAGGGAGTTTTTTAATATACATTGTTGCCAAAACCTTGAAGTATGTGACTGTTAAATAGAGGAATACAGCATGTGTTATGTTGATTAAATGGTTTGAAGTAAGGTCTTTTACAAGGGAGTTTTTTAATATACATTGTTGCCAAAACCTTGAAGTATGTGACTGTTAAATAGAGGAATACAGCATGTGTTATGTTGATTAAATGGTTTGAAGTAAGGTCTTTTAAAAGGGAGTTTTTTAATATACATTGTTGCCAAAACCTTGAAGTATGTGACTGTTAAATAGAGGAATACAGCATGTGTTATGTTGATTAAATGGTTTGAAGTAAGGTCTTTTACAAGGGAGTTTTTTAATATACATTGTTGCCAAAACCTTGAAGTATGTGCCTGTTAAATAGAGGAATAGAGCATGTGTTATGTTGATTAAATGGTTTGAAGTAAGGTCTTTTAAAAGGGAGTTTTTTAATATACATTGTTGCCAAAACCTTGAAGAATGTGCCTGTTAAATAGAGGAATAGAGCCTGTGTTATGTTGATTAAATGGTTTGAAGTAAGGTCTTTTACAAGGGAGTTTTTTAATATACATTGTTGCCAAAACCTTGAAGTATGTGCCTGTTAAATAGAGGAATAGAGCCTGTGTTATGTTGATTAAATGGTTTGAAGTAAGGTCTTTTAAAAGGGAGTTTTTTAATATACATTGTTGCCAAAACCTTGAAGTATGTGCCTGTTAAATAGAGGAATACAGCATGTGTTATGTTGATTAAATGGTTTGAAGTAAGGTCTTTTACAAGGGAGTTTTTTAATATACATTGTTGCCAAAACCTTGAAGTATGTGCCTGTTAAATAGAGGAATAGAGCCTGTGTTATGTTGATTAAATGGTTTGAAGTAAGGTCTTTTAAAAGGGAGTTTTTTAATATACATTGTTGCCAAAACCTTGAAGTATGTGCCTGTTAAATAGAGGAATACAGCATGTGTTATGTTGATTAAATGGTTTGAAGTAAGGTCTTTTACAAGGGAGTTTTTTAATATACATTGTTGCCAAAACCTTGAAGTATGTGCCTGTTAAATAGAGGAATACAGCATGTGTTATGTTGATTAAATGGTTTGAAGTAAGGTCTTTTACAAGGGAGTTTTTTAATATACATTGTTGCCAAAACCTTGAAGTATGTGCCTGTTAAATAGAGGAATACAGCATGTGTTATGTTGATTAAATGGTTTGAAGTAAGGTCTTTTACAAGGGAGTTTTTTAATATACATTGTTGCCAAAACCTTGAAGTATGTGCCTGTTAAATAGAGGAATACAGCATGTGTTATGTTGATTAAATGGTTTGAAGTAAGGTCTTTTACAAGGGAGTTTTTTAATATACATTGTTGCCAAAACCTTGAAGTATGTGCCTGTTAAATAGAGGAATACAGCATGTGTTATGTTGATTAAATGGTTTGAAGTAAGGTCTTTTACAAGGGAGTTTTTTAATATACATTGTTGCCAAAACCTTGAAGTATGTGCCTGTTAAATAGAGGAAGAGGGCCTGTGTAATGTTGATTAAATAGTTTGAAGTAAGGTCTTTTACAAGGGAGTTTTTTAATATACATTGTTGCCAAAACCTTGAAGTATGTGCCTGTTAAATAGAGGAAGAGGGCCTGTGTAATGTTGATTAAATAGTTTGAAGTAAGGTCTTTTACAAGGGAGTTTTTTAATATACATTGTTGCCAAAACCTTGAAGTATGTGCCTGTTAAATAGAGGAAGAGGGCCTGTGTAATGTTGATTAAATAGTTTGAAGTAAGGTCTTTTACAAGGGAGTTTTTTAATATACATTGTTGCCAAAACCTTGAAGTATGTGCCTGTTAAATAGAGGAAGAGGGCCTGTGTAATGTTGATTAAATAGTTTGAAGTAAGGTCTTTTACAAGGGAGTTTTTTAATATACATTGTTGCCAAAACCTTGAAGTATGTGCCTGTTAAATAGAGGAAGAGGGCCTGTGTAATGTTGATTAAATAGTTTGAAGTAAGGTCTTTTACAAGGGAGTTTTTTAATATACATTGTTGCCAAAACCTTGAAGTATGTGCCTGTTAAATAGAGGAAGAGGGCCTGTGTAATGTTGATTAAATAGTTTGAAGTAAGGTCTTTTACAAGGGAGTTTTTTAATATACATTGTTGCCAAAACCTTGAAGTATGTGCCTGTTAAATAGAGGAAGAGGGCCTGTGTAATGTTGATTAAATAGTTTGAAGTAAGGTCTTTTACAAGGGAGTTTTTTAATATACATTGTTGCCAAAACCTTGAAGTATGTGCCTGTTAAATAGAGGAAGAGGGCCTGTGTTATGTTGATTAAATGGTTTGAAGTAAGGTCTTTTACAAGGGAGTTTTTTTAATATACATTGTTGCCAAAACCTTGAAGAATGTGCCTGTTAAATAGAGGAATAGAGCCTGTGTTATGTTGATTAAATGGTTTGAGGTAAGGTCTTTTAGAAGGGAGTTTTTGAGTATACATTGTTGCCAAAACCTTGAAGAATGTGCCTGTTAAATAGAGGAATAGGGCCTGTGTAATGTTGATTAAATGGTTTGAAGTAAGGTCTTTTAGAAGGGAGTTTTTTAATATACATTGTTGCCAAAACCTTGAAGAATGTGCCTGTTTAATAGAGGAATAGGGCCTGTGTAATGTTGATTAAATGGTTTGAAGTAAGGTCTTTTAAAAGGGAGTTTTTTAATATACATTGTTGCCAAAACCTTGAAGAATGTTCCTCTTAAATAGAACCTTTGTAATGTTGATTAAATGGTTTGAAGTAAGGTCTTTTAGAAGGGAGTTTTTTAATATACATTGTTGCCAAAAACCTTGAAAAATGTGCCTGTTAAATAGAGGAATAGAGCCTGTGTAATGTTGATTAAATGGTTTGAAGTAAGGTCTTTTAGAAGGGAGTTTTTTAATATACATTGTTGCCAAAACCTTGAAGAATGTTCCTCTTAAATAGAGCCTTTGTAATGTTGATTAAATGGTTTGAAGTAAGGTCTTTTAGAAGGGAGTTTTTTAATATACATTGTTGCCAAAAACCTTGAAAAATGTGCCTGTTAAATAGAGCCTTTGTAATGTTGATTAAATGGTTTGAAGTAAGGTCTTTTAGAAGGGAGTTTTTTAATATACATTGTTGCCAAAAACCTTGAAAAATGTGCCTGTTAAATAGAGGAATAGGGCCTGTGTAATGTTGATTAAATGGTTTGAAGTAAGGTCTTTTAGAAGGGAGTTTTTTAATATACATTGTTGCCAAAACCTTGAAGAATGTGCCTGTTAAATAGAGGAATAGGGCCTGTGTAATGTTGATTAAATGGTTTGAAGTAAGGTCTTTTAGAAGGGAGTTTTTTAATATACATTGTTGCCAAAACCTTGAAGAATGTTCCTCTTAAATAGAGCCTTTGTAATGTTGATTAAATGGTTTGAAGTAAGGTCTTTTAGAAGGGAGTTTTTTAATATACATTGTTGCCAAAAACCTTGAAAAATGTGCCTGTTAAATAGAGCCTGTGTAATGTTGATTAAATGGTTTGAAGTAAGGTCTTTTAGAAGGGAGTTTTTTAATATACATTGTTGCCAAAACCTTGAAGAATGTGCCTGTTAAATAGAGGAATAGGGCCTGTGTAATGTTGATTAAATGGTTTGAAGTAAGGTCTTTTAGAAGGGAGTTTTTTAATATACATTGTTGCCAAAACCTTGAAGAATGTTCCTCTTAAATAGAGCCTTTGTAATGTTGATTAAATGGTTTGAAGTAAGGTCTTTTAGAAGGGAGTTTTTTAATATACATTGTTGCCAAAACCTTGAAGAATGTGCCTGTTAAATAGAGGAATAGGGCCTGTGTAATGTTGATTAAATGGTTTGAAGTAAGGTCTTTTAGAAGGGAGTTTTTTAATATACATTGTTGCCAAAACCTTGAAGAATGTGCCTGTTAAATAGAGGAATAGAGCCTGTGTTATGTTGATTAAATGGTTTGAGGTAAGGTCTTTTAGAAGGGAGTTTTTTAATATACATTGTTGCCAAAACCTTGAAGAATGTGCCTGTTAAATAGAGGAATAGGGCCTGTGTAATGTTGATTAAATGGTTTGAAGTAAGGTCTTTTAGAAGGGAGTTTTTTAATATACATTGTTGCCAAAACCTTGAAGAATGTTCCTCTTAAATAGAGCCTTTGTAATGTTGATTAAATGGTTTGAAGTAAGGTCTTTTAGAAGGGAGTTTTTTAATATACATTGTTGCCAAAAACCTTGAAAAATGTGCCTGTTAAATAGAGCCTGTGTAATGTTGATTAAATGGTTTGAAGTAAGGTCTTTTAGAAGGGAGTTTTTTAATATACATTGTTGCCAAAACCTTGAAGAATGCGCCTGTTAAATAGAGCCTGTGTAATGTTGATTAAATGGTTTGAAGTAAGGTCTTTTAGAAGGGAGTTTTTTAATATACATTGTTGCCAAAACCTTGAAGAATGTGCCTGTTAAATAGAGGAATAGGGCCTGTGTAATGTTGATTAAATAGTTTGAAGTAACGGCTTCTACAAGGGAGTTTTTAATATACATACGTATCTGGTGTAAGACGAGTAAAAGACCATTTTATTTTAATTGGATTGAGGATGAAACGAATTCTTTATGATGATTATATGATATTTTAATTTATATCGATAAAATTTATCTAAATTTGTAATTTTATATACATTTCCTGAAAAATTCTGAATATCTCGAAAAGTGAGCGATTTTTGAAAATTTTTCGTTCTTCCTAAATTGTAGAGAAATGTTTTTTCTATAAGACAAGATGAAAATGATTATCCAATCACGATTATTTTGCGAGATAATTGAGATTTTTGTCGAGTTGTAGTAAAATTTCTTCTTTCATTAAATTAGTCCTTTTATTTCAATTGGACTGAGGATAATAAAATGAAACTCATTCTTTATAATTATATCATATATTTCTACATATAACGCAGTCGCTTTTAAATAGCGACAAAAATACATAATTCCAATTAAAAAGATCAAAAAAACTGATCTACATAAAAATTAGCTGAATCTCTTATCACATATTCATTACCGTTAATCACATTCCAAAAATACACATCTACTTAAATATTACATTAAAATAAATCTTTCGACAAAGATTTTAACAAAAAAACATTTCAACATTATGAATGAGTGTTATCTCGAAAGGTTTTTAACAATTTAAAAAGCTTAAAACACAAATTAATTACAGATAAATTGCTTAATAGCTCAATTACTAAAAAACTGCCATAATTTTTGTTAACATTCATTCATCAATGTATCAGTCAACAGTTTCCTTCTTTCAATAAAACGCGTCAAATAACAAATAAAATGCCATTATAAATGAGTGTTATCTCGAAATGTTTTTAACAATTCAACAAGCTTAAAATACAAATTAATTATTGGATGAATTACTTAATTACAAAAAAAACTGCCATAATTTTTGTTAACATTCATCCACCCTTTCGAGACAATCTAGGCGTACCTGCAATGTATCAGTCAAACAGTTTAACAGTTTCCTTCTTTCAATAATAAAAATAAAATGCAACATTTTACACCCGCAATTAACCGCCATCAACTTCCATCAACAAATCGACCGAAACTCGTCAAATAAAAAAACCAAAAAAAAACAACCTCTGTCAAGCTAGCAGGACCAAATGAGCAGAATCAATTCGGACCTATTGCATTATTTAGTGCTTATTTTGTGCTAATTTGTGCCACTAAAAAAATTGTACTACATGCCGTTTTGACAAAAATCGTGGCGCTGCTAGCTTAATATTAAGCTAGCAGGACCACATACAAAAATAAAAAAAGGGTATAAATACAACGGCCAGAATTTGTGCTAATTTGTGCCATCCAAAACAAGCAGCTAAATAGATTAATTCTCCTTGAAATAAGGGCGAATTATATTTACCTCGATTCGGGCTCAAGAGTAAAGTACCCGTTTCGACGAACAGAATTCAATTTGAACCGGTACATTCGAAGAATACTAATTTTTTCTTCACAAATATACACTTACGGATTTTGTACCTCTTACCCCTTCTCTGAAAAACCACTCCAATAACCGTTTGCACAAGCAGGATCAGTCAGTATTGGAAACTTTGAAACCTACTCGACTTAAGACAGCGTGCAAGTGGGCAAAGGATGTTTGTATTGTGAAACAAGGCAATATTTTTACATACATCTCTCATTATACATATAAACTGCCCCACAAAAGTTAAGGATGTTCGCAAATTTTGCGATTATTTTAAAAGTTACAGACTTTTTGATCACCAAATTTTCAAATATGCGAATGTAAATGTAATATCTTATATCTAAGTGGATTTTTTGCCACTACCTCTACAATTCCTACTAAATTTGGCGATCAAAAAACCTGCAACTTTTAAACTAATCTCAATATTTGTCAACTTCCTTAACTTTTGTGGAGCAGTATATTTTATATTATCGCTCGTAGTTTGCACTTTTCTCGACGACTTTTCTCTATTCGACGCACTCTTACGCACTATTCGAGGTCTTATACTAAGTTTTACTTAGAAAACTTAACTTTTTCACTAATCTCACTTTTACAAATGACAAATTGAATTATGCTCGTGCAAACTGCTATCGGGGGTGGTTTTTCAGAGAAGGGGTGAGAGGTACAAAATCCGTGAGTGTATATTTGTGAAGCACAAATTAGTATTCTTCGAATGTACCGGTTCAAATTGAATTCTGTTCGTCGAAACGGGTACTTTACTCTTGAGCCCGAATCGAGGTAAATATAATTCGCCCTTATTTCAAGGAGAATTAATCTATTTAGCTGCTTGTTTTAGATGGCACAAATTAGCACAAATTCTGGCCGTTGTATTTATACCCTTTTTTTATTTTTTTTATTTTATTTTTGTATGTGGTCCTGCTAGCTTAATATACTGCTCCACAAAAGTTAAGGAAGTTCACAAATATTGACATTAATTTAAAAGTTGCAGGTTTTTTATCGCCAAATTTAGTATGAATTGTAGAGGTAGGGGTAAAAAATCCACTCACAAGATGAGAGAAAATATTTAATTTCGCATATTTGAAAATTTGATGAGCAAAAAGTCTGTAACTTTAAAAATAATCGCAAAATTTGCGAACTTCCTTAACTTTGTGGAGCAGTTTATTAAGCTAGCAGCGCCACGATTTTTGTCAAATCGGCACGTAGTACAAATTTTCTTTTAGTGGCACAAATTAGCCCAAAATAAGCACTAAATAATGCAACATGTCCGAATCGATTCAGCTCATTTGCTCCCACTATCTCGACAGAGGTAAAAAAAAACCCCACAAAAATCTCATCCGCAATTAACCGGCAACAAAACGAAATCGTGCGCGAGCAATTCCCGAGCCGTCGCCCTCTCCTTCGGATCGTGCTTGAAGCACATGTCGAGAAAGTCCAGCCCTTCGTCGATCATGTCCGGGGGCGGATCGGGGCTCTGGCCCATTCCCACCTTGAACATGATCTGGAAATTCGAATCGTATTGGGCCCAAGGCCTTTGTCCCGATGCCATTTCCACCACCACGCAGCCGATCGACCAGACGTCGGCCGCCCTGCCGTGTCCTTCGGACATGTTTTTCGTGAACACCTCGGGCGCCATGTAAGCTGAAACACGCGATGGTTAATTGGCGTGTGATGTTACGATGGAGTGCCGGAGAATGGCCGGATAGCCCTGGCTGGTGAGGCCAGGAATGTACGAAGAAGAAGTAGCAGAGAGAAGTATTTTGAAGTACCAGAGAATGGACGAATAGCCCTGGCAGATGAGGCCAGGAATGTACGAAGAAGAAGATGTACCAGAGAGAGGTATTTTGATGTACCAGAGAATGGACGAATAGCACTGGCAGGTGAGGCCGAGAATATGCGAAGAAGGAGGGGAAGAAGAAGAAGCAGAGAGAAGTGTCAGAAGTACCAGATAATGGCCGAATAACACTGGCAGATGAGGCCGAGAATATGCGAAGAAGAAGAAGTAGCAGAGAGAAATAACAGAAGTTCCAGATAATGGCCGAATAGCCCTGGCAGGTGAGGCCGAGAATATGCGAAGAAGAAGAAGTAGCAGAGAGAAATAACAGAAGTTCCAGATAATGGCCGAATAGCCCTGGCAGGTGAGGTCGAGAATATGCGAAGAAGAAGAAGTAGCAGAGAGAAATAACAGAAGTTCCAGATAATGGCCGAATAGCCCTGGCAGGTGAGGCCTAGAATATGCGAAGAAGAAGAAGAAGTAGCAGAGAGAAATAACAGAAGTTCCAGATAATGGCCGAATAGCCCTGGCAGGTGAGGTCGAGAATATGCGAAGAAGAAGAAGTAGCAGAGAGAAATAACAGAAGTACCAGATAATGGCCGAATAGCCCTGGCAGGTGAGGCCGAGAATATGCGAAGAAGAAGAAGTAGCAGAGAGAAATAACAGAAGTACCAGATAATGGCCGAATAGCCCTGGCAGATGAGGCCGAGAATATGCGAAGAAGAAGAAGAAGTAGCAGAGAGAAATACCAGAAGTACCAGATAATGGCCGAATAGCCCTGGCAGATGAGGCCGAGAATATGCGAAGAAGAAGAAGAAGTAGCAGAGAGAAATAACAGAAGTTCCAGATAATGGCCGAATAGCCCTGGCAGGTGAGGTCGAGAATATGCGAAGAAGAAGAAGTAGCAGAGAGAAATAACAGAAGTTCCAGATAATGGCCGAATAGCCCTGGCAGGTGAGGCCGAGAATATGCGAAGAAGAAGAAGTAGCAGAGAGAAATAACAGAAGTTCCAGATAATGGCCGAATAGCCCTAGCAGGTGAGGCCGAGAATATGCGAAGAAGAAGAAGTAGCAGAGAGAAATAACAGAAGTTCCAGATAATGGCCGAATAGCCCTGGCAGGTGAGGCCGAGAATATGCGAAGAAGAAGAAGTAGCAGAGAGAAATAACAGAAGTTCCAGATAATGGCCGAATAGCCCTGGCAGGTGAGGCCGAGAATATGCGAAGAAGAAGAAGTAGCAGAGAGAAATAACAGAAGTTCCAGATAATGGCCGAATAGCCCTGGCAGGTGAGGCCGAGAATATACGAAGAAGAAGAAGAAGAAGCAGAGAGAAGTGTCAGAATTACCAGATAATTTGCCGAATAGCCCTGGCAGGTGAGGCCGAGAATATGCGAAGAAGAAGAAGTAGCAGAGAGAAGTATTTTGAAGTTTTAATAGTCTTGTGTAAACGTAGGTTTGGCGGAAATTTGACATAAAAATATACGTTTACACGGAACGCTTAAATCGGGGTTTACTGGATAAATAAGATTTTTTTTTGTATATTTCTTCAATACTAATGAAAAATTTGAAAATAATTAGATAGATAGATAGAAGTATTAACTTTAGGTATAGGGAATGGTTTATAAGAATGAAAGTGCTTCAAAAATACTTCCTGTTAAAGATGTAAAATATAGGGTGATCCATTTAAAATAACGGAGAAAATGTTACTTTTGCGTTTGGATCCACCCTGTAAGCAGTATGATTAAAATTCACGAAAAATATACATTTTGTACATTTGCAGGATATTTGCAATGTTGTAAAATTTAAAATTTATTTTCAATTCAATCCATTTAGTTTCTACAGAGTGGTAAACTTAGTACGATTTTCGTGGAAAATTGGTCATAACTTTTAAACCACTCAGTATAACATAATACAATATTATATTTTTGGAAAACTGAAAACGAGCTAATTTCAATTTTTGAATAAGAAAATGGGATGTCCCATTTAAAAAAGTAAAAGTTTGGTCTACCAAGGAAAGACGGGACACTCTGTATAAATGTAACTAATTTTAAAATATGCAGCTTAAAAAGATCTGCGACTTTTGTTATGAAGTTTTTTTGATATCTTCTAAAATAACAGATATATTGAGCTTTTCTATACTAATGTGCCACCCTGTAGATAGATAGAAAATAGATAGATAGATAGATAGATAGATAGATAAGATAGATACAGGGTGGCAAATTAGTATGGAAAAGCTCAATATATCTGTTATTATAGAAGTTATCAAAAAAACTTCATTTCAAAAGTCGCAGACCTTTTTAAGCTACATGTTTTAAAATTAGTAACATTTATACAGAGTGTCCCGTAATAGATCAAACTTATACTTTTTTAAATGGGACACCCTGTTTTTTATTTAAAAATTGAAATTAGCTCGTTTTCAGCTTTCCAAAAATATAATTTTGTATAACGTTATACTGAGTGGTTTAAAAGTTATGACCACTTTTCCACGAAAATCGTACTAAGTTTACCACTCTGTAGAAACTAAATGGATTGAATTGAAAATAAATTTCAGGTTTCACAACATTGCAAATATCCTGAAAATGTACAAAATGAATATTTTTCGTGAATTTTAATCATACTGCTTACAGGGTGGATCCAAATGCAAAAGTAACATTTTCTCTGTTAATTTAAATGGATCACCCTATATTTTATATCATTAACAGGAAGTATTTTTGAAGTACTTTCATTCTTACTAAAAAGTAGTAAAGTTAAAACTTTTCGAGATAATTCAATTAAAAAAAATTAGAACTTAAAATTGAAGAAAAAAAATTAAGGTTTCTTTTTGATCGAAGTACACGTTACAGAAAAAAGTAAGAAACGTCAATTAAATACTGTAGATAGATAGATAATAGATAGGTAGATAGATAAGATAGATAAGATAGATAAGATAGATAAGATAGATAAGATAGATAAGATAGATAAGATAGATAAGATAGATAAGATAGATAAGATAGATAAGATAGATAAGATAGATAAGATAGATAAGATAGATAAGATAGATAAGATAGTTATAGATAAGATAGATAGATAGATTCTTCAATACTAATGAAAAATTTGAAAATTAATAGATAGATAAATAGATAGAAGAATAGATGAAATAATAGAGAGATAGATAGAAGAATAGATGAAATAATAGAGAGATAGATAGAAGAATAGATGAAATAATAGAGAGATGGATAGAAAAATAGATGAAATAATAGATAGATAGAAAGATAGATAGATAAGATAGATAGATAGATTCTTCAATACTAATAAAAAATTTGAAAATTAATAGATAAATAGATAGAAGAATAGATGAAATAATAGAGAGATAGATAGAAAAATAGATGAAATAATAGATAGATAGAAAGATAGATAGATAGATAAGATAGAAAGATAGATAGATAAGAAAGATAGATAGATAAATAAGATAAATAGATAGATTCTTCAATAGTAATGAAAAATTTGAAAATTAATAGATAGATAGAATAGATAAAATAATACAATCAAACCTTGCGTTCCGACGAACCCCTTCAACTCCCCGGGCATCGTCATGCTCGATTTAATCCGAACGGCGCAACCGAAATCGCCGATCTTCAAGCGATTCCCGCCGTCCGTCAAAAATATATTCGCCGTTTTGATATCCCTATGCACCACGCCGTGATCGTGCAAACAAGCGACGCCCGAGACCAATTGAAAGGCGTACTTGCGCACCAACAGCTCGGGCAGGCCCCGTTCGGTGGCGGCCACCAAATGTTCCAAAGTGCCCTCCGAACAGTATTCCATGAAGATGAGCATCTCGTCCTTGTGGACTTCGACGCCATAGGATCGGACGAGGTTGTCGTCGACGATGCCTTCGAGGATTTTCATCTCTTCGGCTATGCGTTTGATGGTGTGAGTGTCGTTGTGTTGTAGGGGGATTTCTTTGACGGCCATCATCTCGCCGGTGTTGTTGTTTACCGCCGTGTAGACCTACGATGATATTATAAACTATACTTCATCCATCGAACCAGCGTCTAAACTTGTTTTAGTTACTCCGTTGGTTGGATGGATGAAGCATAGACTCATTTAGAACGCTTTATTATCACTTAGGAATCTCTAGACTCATTTAGAACGCTTTATCATTACTTAGAACGTTTCATCATCATTTAGAACTCTCTAGACTCATTTAGAACTCTCTAGACTCACTTAAAATTCTCTAGACTCATTTAGAACTCTCTAGACTCATTTAAAACTCTCTAGACTCTTTTAGAAGTCTCTAGACTCATTTAGAACTCTCTAGACTCATTTAAAATTCTCTAGACTCATTTAGAACTCTCTAGACTCTTTTAGAACTCTCTAGACTCATTTAGAACGCTTCATCATCATTTAAAACTCTCTATACTTCATCCATCGAACCAACGGAGTAACCAAAACAAGGTTAGACGTTGGATCATCGAGCACATTCGCATCTATTGGGTAAAATAAAAAAGGTTCCTTACGCTGATCAATCAGTGGTGATCACGCGTTGATCCATCGTCTAAACTTGTTTTAGTTACTCCATTGCTTGGATGGATGAAGTATAGACTCATTTAGAACGCTTCATTATCACTTAGGAATCTCTAGACTCATTTAGAACGCTTCATCATCATTTAAAACTCTCTAGACTCATTTAGAACGATTCGTCAACATTTAAAACTCTCTAGACTCATTTAGAACTCTCTAAACTTATTTAGAACGCTTCATCATCATTTACAACTCTCTAAACTCATTTAGAACGCTCCATCATCATTTAGAACTCTCTAGACTCATTTAGAACGCTTCATCATCATTTAAAACTCTATTAAATGATGTACTAATCTTTTAAAATATTTAAAAACCGTTTTTAAATTGTCTTCAAGTTTGTAACGCGAAAACTCGGAAACTATCATCTTTTAGAAAATTTTGAAAGCGAAAATTTATAGATACAACATTTTTCTATCTATCAAATTTTTTTCCCATTTTCCTAATTATTATTTATCGAATTATAAAGATTTTTTTTTGAAATCGATGCATATTTTAATGGCTGCCGTCGAACCGGAAGTGAAAACTTTCAGATCTACGATGACGTACGATCATTCCCGAATGAGAGATAAAATGGATGACTTTTGCGATTCTATGGATATGTTGACATTTAATTTGATGTACAGGGTGTTTTTTCATTAAAGAAATCGGAAAAATTGATATACGGGGCGTTTTTTTTTCTTCAGTGAAAAATTATTTTTAATTAAATTGAAATATAGCATAGACCTATTAACTATGGACGCGGTTTAGACAAAGAGGTAGTGTTGTCGATGAATGAGAGAGATGCAGCTAGTTTGGGCATAGTGCGTAGTTTGGGCATATGGCCCAAACTATAGCACAAACTTGAAGACAATTTAAAAACGGTTTTTTCGAAAAAACTCAAAAAGTACAGATCGGAAAAACACCCGGTCTCTTTTGTTGAATGGAAAAAAGAATTTTCAATTATTTTGCAAGTATGAAAAATGTTCGTAAATCTAACCGTTTACGAGTTATTTCGATTTTTAGAAAACCCTCGAAAACTATTTTCCACGATATTTTCCCGATACGAATTTTTATTAATTTTTATTATTAATTATAAAACGTTCAAAAAGCAAACTAGCAACCATTTTTCGAATTCAAATTCATTAAAAAAAGGTTCTAAATGTGACACTTTCTGTCAAAACTTTTGACAATTTTGTCACTGTTTGTTGCCAACATAATTTGACTTGACACTTTTGTCACTGTTTGTAGCGTTCGTTGCCAACCTAATTCGACTTCTGCCTTCACCCAGAATTAAATTATCCTCATAGAGAATATAGAGTGGAAAAAGCGTGTATTCGTAGATGGCACAAATTGAATTTTGCGCATACTGTCACTTTTCATTTAAGGTAGATACCAGTGTTGCCAGATGTAGCGGAATTTTAACACAGCGTTGCCAGAAATAATGGAAATCCACTACTTTTAGGCGATCTTGTGTAGGCCTTATATAGTTAAAATCTTATATACTAATAGTATATATGATCTAAGGTTAAAATAAAAGACTAAATAAATAAACGATACGAAATAAAATAAATGTTAACAAAATGAATGAAATTTTCTATTACTACAAGTATCAAAAATTTTAAATCATAATAAAAATATACCATATGACCGAATTATTCCGCAGCAAGCATTAGAATTAGAATCTCAATCAATTCTATAAGATAGTAAGGAACAGGAACTTGTTTATCGGTTATTCGCTTCGCTTCGTGCGAATACCGGGCATTTGCTCTCTTTATTCCTTACATAACAAAAGTTCAATTAGCTATCTCATTATTTTCGTTGACTTTTCTACCTTAAATGACATGACAATGTCAAAATTGTCAAATCTGTCAAATTCAATTTGTTCCATTATTTTCACGCGCATCCGTATGCTTTTGCCACTCTATATTTCTCTATGATTATCCTGCAAAATAGTCAAATAATAGTCAATTTCTACTAACTTTTCCGAAACGGCCTTGACCGATTTTGATGCCGCGCTGCCACGAAAAGTTCACGTTCCTCCTGATCGAGAAATTCTTGTTCGTCCTGTCTTCGAGCACCCGCCCGATGAGATTCCTGCGCTTCAGCTCGTCGTCCAGGTCCGTCTCCAGGGCTTCGACGGCGTCGCGGAATTTTTCGGAGTGTCCTTTTTGGGAGAATTCGATTTTTATGCAGACCTGGCCGTTCTTCGAATCCTCTCTGCGAAAACTGGAATGAATGGAATGAATTTGAGTCTGTGTACGTGGTGAGTAAGAGGCCGGTTATGGGTTATGAGAGAAGATACAGGGTAGGATAGGGTAGGGTACTACAACTCGACAAAAAATCTCAATTATCTCGCAAAATAATCGAGATAGAACCCTCATTTTCATTTTGTGTTATAGGAAAAACATTTCTCTACAATTTTCAAAGAACGAAAATTTTTCAAAAATCGCCAAGTTTTCGAGATATTTAGATTTTTTCAGGACATGTATCTAAATTACCAATTTGACTACAACTTTACAAAAAACTCCTTGTGATTAAAATCCTTTATATGACAGATATATTTTATTTGAGGTTATGTTTACTTTCGTTGTTTACATTTCGTTGTTTACATCACGTCATCGCCTAACAAGATGGTTTATCCAATACTCGCTCGCTGCGCGAGCTCGAGTTTAATTATAGTTTAGCATCTAATTTATAGTCCCGTAATAGTTACAACTAGATAAAAATCTCAATTATCCCGCAAAAATATGGCCGAGAGCCATCCTTATTTGGCCACCCTGTACATTAGTCTCTTACTTCTAATGTCTTCAGTTATATCATAGACCTATTAAGTATGGACGCGGCACAATCGGTATTTTGAGGATATTCAGCGTTCCCAATGATAGAGAGAGAGGTCCGTGAGAGATGGGGCTAGTTTGGGCTAAAAATAGGCGGGACCAAAAAAAAATATATATATATATATATACAGGGTGTGTGGAAAAGGGCGATTAATCTGTAAAATACAACAAAACCAAATACCACAAAAAGAAGATGTAAAATATCTTGGTATCCACTTGGACAGAAGAATGACCTGGAAGAAAAATATTTTTTACAAGAGAAAGCAGGTAGATCTTAAATTGCGAAATCTGTACTGGCTAATAGGTAGAAGGTTCCAAATAACAATACAAAATAAGAACAGTATTTGCAAATGCGTGGGAATTTAGACTCGGCTGAAAAATGCATTTTGCTCCATAAAAAAAAATAAATCCTCAACCCTATTCTACCATAAGCTACCCTCCTCTACCCCAGCTACCTTGCATTTCTGAAATCGTAACTCACGTGGTCTATTGCTTTCTTACTGTTGGCTAATGCATTGTCCAATCTCTCATTGGGCCATATGCCCAAACTAGCTGCATCTCTCTCATTCATCGACAACACAACCTCTTTGTCTAAACCGCGTTCATAGTTAATAGGTCTATGACCGGGATGATTTACGCTTTGAAATTTAAAAATTTTAGCGGGAAGTAATGTGGTTCAATCACCGCGCAGTTAAGACATTTTTTTTCGTTTTTTTCTAATGTTTTTGTCTAAAAAATGTTAAATAGAAAAAGATCGTCAAATAATAAGTCGTAATGGACATTAAATTTTATTAAATTCGTTCTGGTTTAATTAAAAAATGTATAATTAAGTTGAAAAAAGTTAAACGTCATAAATGTGTCATTTTTATGTCACTATCTAATAATTGTCAAATGAGCGGAGTTAGCCGGGATGATTTACGCTCTGAAATTTAAAAATTTTAGCGGGAAGTAATATGATTCAATCCCCGCGCACTAAAGACATTTTTTTCTTTTTTTTTTTTTGGTTTTTTCCTAATGTTTTTGTCAAAAAAATGTTAAATAGAAATATTTAAGACGAGCTTATTTGAGATATAATTTTATTTTTATTTAAATGAAAGCTCCGACAAGTAAGGGTCAATTTAAATAACGCAAAATCTCGTTAGTAGGTAGAGCCTTTAAAATGATGCCATATTTTTATTCTTGACAAAAAAAAAACATTAAAAAAACAAAAAATGCCAAAAAAAAAGAAAAAAAAAATTAAGCAATGCGTGGGATTGAACCAGATTCCTTACCTCTGAATTTTTCAAACTTCAGAGCGTAAACCATTCCAGATAGCTCCGCCCCTTTTAACAATTTTTAGATAGTGACATATGACGTATGACTTTTTTCAACTTAATAGACCTATTCAGTTTACGAAAGAGAGTGATGGAGTTATTAGATCAACATAAGAGAATAAAAGAAGCAAATATGTTTCACGCGCAATCTGTGGAACCATTTAAAATCTGCGCAAACGTAAGTGCAAGAGAGACGAGATATTTGGCCTATTTCATTGCTGATTGACAGACACATTGAATGATTCTTAGATGAAAACTGTTTAAAATATAAAAAAGAAGAGACCATTATCAATCTTAACATTCTTAACCCTATTTTGTTTCCGTTTGATGTTTGTTTATGTTCAGTGTGTATTATTTTTAACAGTATTTCTTTGTATTATTTAGTATATTTATTTATAAAGGTAATAATTTTTTGTATAGGTCAATGGGATTATTTTTTTGAAATATATATTATAGCAAACCGATCAAAAAGCATTTTCGGAAACTTTGTACTAACCCTCTTACTCTTTCTTAGACTTGACTTGTACGTAAATATTAAGCCTATAACCCCTTTCTGGGCAGTAAAAACAAATTTGTATCGAGTCACCGCGTCCATTAAATCCGACGGATTGTTGGATAATGACAAATGACGTCTTAAGTTGTCGTTGTCTGGTTGTCAGAACCGTATTTTACCTGAGGTGCGTTCGTTTGTTCGTTTAGATGTCCAGCTAATTGTCCACAATATGCGCGCGCAGCACAGGTTAAACTGAATAGGTCTATTATACATTTTTTTAATAAATCAGAACGAATTTCAAATCTGTTATTATTTTCAAATCTTTTCAAATCTGTTATTACATTACTTATATCGATCGTTTCGATTTGGGAAAATCGAAGAAATAAATTATAACAAGATTTGAAATTGATTAAATCGGCAAAGATCACTTTATTTAATGTTACCAAGTACAAGGTTAAAATCAGACTGATTGTAGAAAAAGTGTTAAATTATAATAAAAGAATAAAACTGAAACTGCAGTATCCAGTTACATCCGGTCTCACGGGTACCCAGGAATTTCTGGAAATATCAGCAAAGTTGATAAACGAATTATTTGCTGATATAACTCATTTTACGAACGTTATTTGGTAAAAAAGTTACCTTGCTTTTGACATATTTGTACAGGAATCCCTATGTCGCATCTTATAAATAACACAGTGTGTAACCGGAGATATTACAAGTAAGAGACTAATGTACATTTTCTCCAAAGCATCATAAGTTTAATCATATTAAGTAAGTTCACTTGTAAGGTAGTACTCGATAGTTACATATCAGATAGGAGCTCGCTGCGCGAGCTCGAGTTTATTTGTAATTGTAGATATTTTTTTTTCGTTCTTCGAAAATTGTAGAGAAACGTTTTTTCTATAAGACAAGATGAAGAGGATGGTTGTATTGCGATTATTTTGCGAGATATAATTGACATTCTTTGTCGAGTTGTAGTAAAATTGGTAATTTAGATACATTTCCTCAAAAATTCTAAATATCTCGATAACAGCGATTTTTAAAAATTTTTCGTTCTTCGAAAATTGTAGAGAAATGTTTTTTCTACAAAACAAGATGAAACGGATAGTCCTATATCAATTATTTAGTGAGATAATTCAGATTTTTTTATCGAGTTGTAGTAAAATTGGTAATTAGATACATTTTCTGAAAATTCTAAATATTTCGAAAACCATATTTTTATTCTTGACAAAAAAAAAACATTAAAAAAACAAAAAATGCAAAAGAGAAAAAATTTCAGCACTGCGTGGGATTGAACCAGATTCCTTACCGCTGAATTTTTCAAACTTCAGAGCGTAAACCAATCCAGATAGCTCCGCCCCTTTTAACAATTTTTAAATAGTGACATATGACGTATGACTTTTTTCAACTTAATTATACATTTTTTAATTAAATCAGAACGAATTTCAAATCTGTTATTATTTTCAAATCTTTTCAAACCTGTTATTACATTTTACGAACGTTATTTGGTAAAAAAAGTCATCTCGCTTTTGTCACATTTGTACAGGAATCCCTATATCGCATCTTATAATAAATAACACAATATATATATAAAAAAAACCTACCTATTATTCGCTCCGCACCCATCCGAACCATCAACCCCGGGCGACTGTTGCTCCGCCCCGATCCTCCTCCCCTGCCCCGACCTCTGACTCTTATAAGTCGGCCTCGGACTCGGCGACGAGCCCCTCGACCTGCACCTCATCTGCTCCAAACTCGACCGCGGCGACGCCGTCCTCAAACCGACGTCGGGCGTCGTCGCCGTCGCCGCCGCCGTCGTGCCGATCACGTGCGATATGCACCGGTCCATGTTCTTCTTGAGCTCTTCGAATTGGCCTTCGTTCAAGTAGCGGGTGTTGGCCGGTTCGCAGACGGTGAGTAGGAAATCGATGCCCTGGTAGGCCCAGCGGGGGCGCATTCCGCGGCCCCTTTCGCACCGTTCGGTGGCGAATTTCATCCAGAGATCGGCGAAGTCGATCATGCTGGCGACGAGCCGGCAGCGTTGGCGGTCCTCCGAGGCGGCGTCGGAGAGGTCTTTGTAGAACTGTGTTTTTTTTGATGGAGGAAAAAATGTGTCTGTAGTGTACAGTAAAATTCAGCTAAGTTGAATACACCACGTGTTTTTTCGCGCGCAACATCATAAAAGAGGCTGGGCTCAGCCGATGTTTTCGATGCAAATAAGAAAATAATGAATTACAAATAAACTCCGAATCGACCTTCGCTGTTATCGGGTATACTGTGGATGGTTCGCCGGTCATATTTTTGGGGTAAAACCACGCCTATCTCTTTAGTTTCGTCTGTGCGCATTTTTACAGCTGTATTCAACTGAGGTGAATTTTACTATATTTTCGAAATGGTTATGGGCTAAATTCAGGTAGATTTACATTTTTAGGGAGACTAAAGGAAGGGTAAATGACGAGGAAGGCTAAATTTCTTAACTAGAATTTAGTGCCTACTATTTTGGAATTAGAGTATAGGATCTGATCTAGCGAAAAAAATGGGAAAAAATGTGATCAATAGTGTATTTTCAAAAATAGTAGGGACTAAATTGACCTAGAATTAAATTTTTAGGAAGACTAAAAGAAGGCTAAATGGTAAGGAAGACTAAATTTTTTCACTAGAATTTAGTGCCTACTATTTTGGAAATGGAGTATAGGATGTGATCTAGCGAAAAAAATGGAGAAAAAAAATCTATCTATACTCTATTTCTAAAATAGTAGGCACTAAAAGTTTCAAATGAATTGCAAAAAAACCGATTTTCGCGGCAACCTCCTTAAGTTTGGGGCAACCTTTTTTTTACAACACCCTGTATGATAGTAAAATATAATTTACTTCGAATCCGAATCGGTAGATTTGCATCAGAATTTCCCTGATTCGAGAGCTCAAAGCGATTTTATCGGCCTCGTCCAGTGTGGGATCGTTCAGATGATCGAACAGAGTTTGGACTTTTACGATGCTGTCGGGTATGATGCATTTAAACGCCACTATGGAATCCTGCGAAATGAAAATGTAACTCGTTAAAAAACATGTCTACAGGGTGTCCCACCGGCGAGTTAGGACTATCTGTATACAGGGTGTTTCACAACTTATCCGACAAATTTTAACCACATATGCACTGTTACGAGAGAAGTTAATTTTTTTTTATTACATTTTATTTTATATATTTTTATATATATTTATTACAAGAGAGAGAAGTTGATTTCTCAAAAAAATGTAATAAAAGTCCTACAGAAATAAAATTATAAACCCGAGTTTCAATAAAAAATTGAAAAATAAATAATGCATTTTGCGTTCATAATTTTGCCTTAATACTTTACTGTAGCAAATGTTGCACCAAAACAATGGTTTAAAAAAAAAGAGCACCCAAGTTTGCATTGCAGTAAATGGGAACAATTTTGAACATCTTGTATAAGTAATTGAACTGTTAAACTATTATTTTATTATCTCGATTTCTGTAAGACTTTTATTACATTTTTTTGGGAAATTAACTTTTCTCGTAACAGTGCATATGTGGTTAAAATTTGTCGGATAAGTTGTGAAACACCCTGTTTAAGGAAACTACTTGTCGTATGCAGGGTATCTACTATAAAAACCACCAAACTTCAGGAGGTGATTATACAAGTAATTTTGAACAAAAAATGTCCTATAACACTTTTTCGAAAAGTCGATAGTTTCTCTTTTATTTAACATTTCATTATTTTAAGTTTTTTTTTTTTGGTTTGTTTCCAAAAAGACCGAAATATCACATTTATTCGTATAGTCATATTAATTTTGATCATATACCGTAAAAGTGCTTTAAATTTGCTATAAAAAAAAGTATTTATCAGAGTTAAAAAAAATCAATACCGGGTGTTATAAAAGATTTAATTGTTATGAATATGAAATGAACAAAATTATATGTATCTTTTAATGGTCATAAAGCCAAAAATTTTATAAAATTCATAATTTTTTTTTAGTAAAAACTACTGTATTTAATAAACTTTTAAGAGGTATACTCAGATATATAGTAATTTTTTTTTGTAGAAATTTTTAAGATATATGTTATAAAATACAAAGTTGTTCAAACAAGAATAACCCGAAAATAAAAGTTAAATAAAAGAGAAACTATCGACTTTTCGAAAAAGTGGTTTTTTGTTCAAAATTACTTGTATAATCACCTCCTGAAGTTTGGCGGTTTTTATAGCAGACACCCTGTATAGGGAAACTACTTGTATACAGTGTTAGAATATTTTTCGCGCATAATAGGGAAATCAATGTTAAATTCTTAGCCGGCTGAAATCCAATCTACCAGTATACATTTCAATAGAACGTCGCGATCAATTCTAATAAATTTAATTGTTCTACTGGACCGCACGCCGCGATTTGTAGAGGTACAAAGTTATTTGTGTTAGGTATGAGGTACAAAATTATTTAGAAACTACAATTAATAGGTTTTTTGGGGATATTTCAAAAAAATGTGTGTATCGGTAGGTACAGTTTTGAAATAGCAACAAATCTTGTTAAAATAAGAAAAAATAAGGAAAAAATAATTCAATTTTCTTAAAATTACACCTCAGCTCAATAATATGAGATGACATCTGTATGACAGGTTTGCCTATAGTTTAGCAGAAAGCGGTGGACTATTTTTTAGAGTTCTTTTATTTTCTATTTTAAAATAATCTTTAAGTTTATTTTTGGAGTATTCTTTTTATTATTTTCTTAGAATTTACTTTCTTTTTCAAGCCATTGTGGCAAAAAGACATATCTACATAATTCTATTTTATTATTAGTGTTATTTTTTCAATAAATTATCGTTTAAAAATTCTCAATTCTTTGTAATCGACTCGACGTTCACCCATCCGAACCCGTTTTGATACTGTCGAAGTGTTGAAACCGTCGAAATTATTTGATTTTTAATCTAACCAAGCCAAAGCGCGGTGTGAAGTCCAGTAGAACAATTAAATTTATTAGAATTGATCGCGACGTTCTATTGAAATGTACACTGGTAGATTGGATTTCAGCCGGCTAAGAATTTAACATTGATTTCCCTATTATGCGCGAAAAATTTTCCAACACGGTATATACAGGGTGTACATCCCAAAGGGGGTAATTCCTTGGCTTATTTTATGACTAAAAGTTCATATAAACGTAGGTCCGCAAACGCTTCGTTATCGATCTACAGGGTGTTGAAATTTCAAGATTTTTTTTTTCTTTTTTAGAGGTCCTGCTGTTTTTGAGATATTTAGCTCAAATTAGGGATAGGTTATAGGGTATAATTTGAGTAGGAGGAGGTCACTTTCAACATTCATTACAATGTAATTTAATAATTATTATTTAGGGTTATTGTTTTGTAAAATAAATCATTTGTACAAAAAATCGTTTTTAATTTTTTTCTCGATAACGGCCGCAGAAACGAAAAAAGTTTCTAAACAAAACGGGCAATTAATTTTGTATTTTAGAATCTACCAGCGGCGCACAGCAAAAAAGTTCGGGGGAAAAAAGAGTACGTGACCCTTGAAAAAATATCACCCTGTAGAATTTAACAACCATTTGATATACCCAATAATGTGTGCCCTATAAAGCAATCTAGATTCAAAATTTAAGCTAAATATCTCAAAAAGTGCAGGAGCTACAAAGAAAAAAACTAAAAAAAAAATTGAAATTTCAACACCCTGTAGATCGATAACGAAGCGTTTATATTAACTTTTAGTCAAAAAATAAACCAAGGGATAACTCCCTTTGGGATGTACACGATGTTTAGGAACACCCTGTATATGATAAGTAGTTTCCCTATACAGGGCTTTTCACGGTAACCGTCCATTAGAAGTATCTCAATAATGAAAAGACTTAAAAATCTGAAATATTGGTTATAGTATTTTTTGGATAATTTGAATTGATCTAAAATATTTTCATTTTGATTACACTTCCGATTATACCGGAAGCTGACTCCAACTTCCGGTTGTTGAATTCTACAGGGTGGTATTTTTTCAGGGGACACATATCCTTTTTCTCCCCGAATTTTTTCGCTGTGCACCGCAAACGGTTCATTTTATCGACAATTGAGAGACTTATAAACCTTTTTATATAAGTTTATGGTTCAAGCTTTCCAGATTTATGTTTTTTAACTCTTTTTATCATACCGGGTGTTGAAAATTTATGCATTAAGGTGTTAGCCTTAGCCCGGCCCTGGTAAACTAAAAAAGCTAAAATATGTTACACTAATTTTCGAGGCCCTCAGTATTGTCCATCATATAAAATTTTTATTTAATTATATCAAGTACTTTAGAAGATATTTAAGGAAAACCTATTTCCAGTGGCGCCCTTCTGGGACTCATATCTTCGTAGGGAGGGCCTGTAGGGAAAATTTTTATAGGAACTTCTCATCTTATTTTTTCATGTTCTATATGGATCCGAGAGATTTCCCACACTTTCAGAGACACCCTGTATACAGGGTGTTAATTAATTGTATGCCGATAATTCAGGATGTGAATAGACCTATTCAGTTTAACCTGTGCTGCGCGCGCATACTGTGGACAATTAGCTGGACATCTAAACGAACAAACGAACGCACCTCAGGTAAAATACGGTTCTGACAACGACAACTTAAGACATACTTCAGACGTCATTTGTCATTATCCAATAATCTGTCGTATTTAATTTGTAATGGACTCGATGACTCGATACAAATTTGTTTTTACTGCCCAGAAAGGGGTTATAGGCTTAATATTTACGTACAAGTCAAGTCTAAGAAAGAGTAAAAGGGTTAATACAAAGTTTCCGAAAATGCTTTTTGATCGGTTTGCTATAAAATAAATTTCAGTGAAATAATCCCATTGACCTATATAAAAAATTATAACCTTTATAAATAAATATACTAAATAATACAAAGAAATACTGTTAAAAAATAATACACACTGAATATAAACAAACATCAAACGGAAACAAGAAACAAAATAGGGTTAAGATTGATGATGGTCTCTTCTTTTTTATATTTTAAACAGTTTTCATCTAAGAATCATTCAATGTGTCTGTCAATCAGCAATGAAATAGGCCAAATATCTCATCTCTCTTGCACTTACGTTTGCGCAGATTTTAAATGGTTCCACAGATTGCGCGTGAAACATATTTGCTTCTTTTATTCTCTTATGTTGATCTAATAACTCCATCACTCTCTTTCGTAAACTGAATAGGTCTATTGATCTAAAATATCTTCAATTTGATTACACTTCCGGTTATACCGGATATGACCTTTATGACCTTTAACCTTTTTTAACTAGACTTTGATAATAACACCATATGCCAAAAATGCACCATTTTTAAGATATTAGAGTTTTTTGATATTTTTTGGAAAAACAGACGAATGTATTTTCTGTGATATCTTTGTTAATAATGCCGCTAGAAGCTTTAAATTGAATATTGATGTTGTCCAGGCACACTTCTAAATAAAACTAAACTGTATTTTCAGAATCCCTGTACAGGGCGTTTAAAATTGTCTGACAAACTTGGCCAAATTAAAGTGGTCATAACTTTGTTATTTCAAATGGATCAACCTGCATTTTTTAACAGTGACCAATGCAGTTTTTTAAACCCTTTCGAAGCATATGGGTATTCCCTATACCCAAATCCAGTAGTTATTGAAATAATCGAAGTTTTATTAAATAAGGTATGAATTTTCTTTTTTTTTTGAGTTATCTAGTTGGCCATTTGATGGCCTTATGTCTTTATGTCATGTCTTGAGGGTCTTAAGTCTTTTCATTATTGGGATACTTCTAATGGACGATTACCGTGAAAAGCCCTGTATAGGGAAACTACTTATCATATACAGGGTGTTCCTAAACATCGTGTACATCCCAAAGGGGGTGATTCCTTGGCTTATTTTATGACTAAAAATTCGACGCACCATTTTCGCGTAAAAAAATAAAAACCAAAACCATTTTTTCCCAAGTTCATTTTGAGACAGCTTTTGATATTTTGTTGAAATTTGATAGGCGCCCAACATGCATCGAAACACTTTTTTTGGGGAACAAAAAATTAATTTTCTACTATTACCAGTGGCGTCCACGTCCACGAAATTTCATAAAACCAAATGGAGTAATAAGAAAATTATGATAGAAAAGTTATTTTTTTTCCTAAAATTTTAAAACCCTGTAGCTCGAAAACTAAGACGTTTAGGACATACAGGGTGTTCCAATAGTGCGGTAAAGCCCATTTACTCAGTTATTATCATAGATACGAAAAAATGATAAATAGGAAAAATGTTAAGCACCTTTAGGCGCACAATTTAAAATTATTTCGAAATATACAGGGTGGCCCATAAATCGAAGCCATACCAAACATACCTTTTTTTAAAGGCAATGCTATATTTTTTATTTCATATTTGATTTCAGCTCGTATTCACGAGTTTCTCAATATAAGATTTCATATGACTATACTGAGTATTTAAAAAGTTATGGCCATTTTTATGTTCAAATCGTCATGACTTCAAGGCCCTGTATATCAGAAGCACTTTAACGCACTATTGGGACACCCTGTATATTCATATAAACTTTTCTTCTTAAAATCATCCAAATATTCACATCCTGAAATATCGGAATTCAATTAATTAACACCCTGTATGTATACCAAATATTATTAAAATCGGATAAGTAGTTTCCAATATACAGATAGATTTGAGGACACCCTGTATTGTGTTTTTTTTTTAATTTTAAGTACCTTTACGAAGATTTTGCAATCATCCGGAACGAGATCGTTTTCAGATCTAAAGTTGGTTTTGACGAATCCCATCGTTTTTAGGCTCGTTTCGCGTTCTTCGTTGAAGACCGATTGGAGTTTGCGACAAAATGTGAATAAGTTTTGCCTGTTGGAAAAAATTATTTATTAGTTATTACTATAAAATGGACTATAAAATTTGTAGTTTAGTTGTACTTATTTCTTAAAAAAAAAATTATAATTATAATTTATAAATTATAAAATTATAATTTATACATTTCCTCAAAAATTCTAAATATCTCGAAAACTCAGCGATTTTTGAAAATTTTTCGTTCTTTCTAAATTGTAGAGAAATGTTTTTTCTATAAGACATGATAAGAAGGATTTTATTTCCATTATTTTGCGAGATAATTGAGTTTTTTTGTAGAGTTGTAGTAACATTTGTAATTAAGAACATGTCATAAAAAATCGAAATATCTCGAAAAGTGAGCGATTTTTGAAATTTTTTCTTTCTTCAAAAGTTGTAGAAAAATGCTTTTTCTATAAGACAAGATGAAAATGATGGTTCCATCTCGATTATTTTACGAGATAATTGAAATTTTTTTATCGAGTTGTAGAAAAATTTGTAATTTAGAAGATTTCCCGAAAAATTCAAAATATCTTGAAAAGTGAGCGATTTTTAAAAATTGTAGAGAAACGTTTTTTTATAAGACAAGACGAAAAGGATGGTCTCATCTCGATTATTTTTAGAGATAATTAAGATTTTAATGTCGTTGTAGTAAAATTTTTAATTTAGAACATGTCATAAAAAATCAAAATATCTCGAAAAGTGAACGATTTTTGAAAATTTTTCTTTCTTCAAAAGTTGTAGAGAAATGTTTTTTCTATAAGACAAGATGAACAGGATAGTTTTATTTCGATTATTTTGCGAAATAATTGAGTTTTTTGTCGAGTTGTAGTAAAATTTGTAATTTAGATACATGTCCAAAAAATCGAAATATTTCGAAAACTGAGCGATTTTTGAAAATTTTTCTGAAGACCGATTGGAGTTTGCGACAGAATGTGAACAAGTTTTGCCTGTTGGAAAAAAAAAATTATTAGATATTAAAGGGATTTCGAAAAGAGTTGAAAAAACTGTTGGAAATTATATTGATTAGTTTGTAGAGGGATTTCGAAAAGATGGTAGTTTGGGAAAAAAAATTATTAGATATTAAAGGAATTTCGAAAAGAGTTGAAAAAACTGTTGGAAATTATATTGATTAGTTTGTAGAGGGATTTCGAAAAGATGGTAGTTTGGGAAAAAAAAATTATTAATTATTAAAGGGATTTTGAAAAGAGTTGAAAAAACTGTTAGAAAAAATAATTTATTAGTTAGTAGAGGGATTTCGAAAAGAGTTGAAAAAATTGTTGGAAAAAAATGTTTATTAGTTAGTAGAGGGATTTCGGAAAGATGGTGGTGTAATTTAGATGTATTTCCTACAAAAAAAAATCAAAATATCTCAAAAACTAAGCGATTTTCAAAAATTTTTCGTTCTCCAAAAATTGTAGAGAAACATTATTTCTACAAGCCAATACAAAAAGAATTGTCCTATCTCAATCATTTTGCTCAATAATCAACATTTTCAAACGTACTTAACCAATCCATCAGCCTGATTATTAGCCGACAAAGTCTCCAACGAATCGTCAATCCTTTCAATCAATCTCTGTCCGGTATTCCTCAAAATGGTCCCCATAATATGAGCGAATTTCGCCCCCACAATCGTATTGAATCGCGGAAACGATCGGCACACGAACATGCAAAATTCGAACTCCTCTTCGAGCAAATTCTTCTGGAATGTTTTGCTCAAAAGCACCCACTGTTGCAAATAATCCAAGAAATCGACGAATATCTGCCGGATGCACTCGTCGAATTTCTCCACTTTTTCGCGGAATTCCACCGTTGCAATGTTGGTACCGGACGTGGCCGATTCGATGTATCGACAGGCTCTTTCTAGAAAAAAAAATCATCAAATTATAACTTAAAAAAAAATTAAAATATCTCGAAAAGTGAGCGATTTTTGAAAATTTTTCGTTCTTCACAAGTTGTAGAGAAATGTTTTTTCTATAAGACAAGATAAAGATGATGGTTTTATTTCGATTATTTTTAGAGATAATTGAGATTTTTTGTTGAGTTGTAGTAAAATTTGTAATTTAGATACATGTCCTGAAAAAATCAAAATATCTTGAAAATTGAACGATTTTTGAAAAATTTTCGTTCTTCCAAAATTGTGGAGAACTGTTTTTTCTATAAGACAAGATAAAAAGGATAGTTTTATTTCGATTATTTTGGGAGATAATTGAGATTTTTACCGAGTTGTGGTAAAATTTGTAATTTAGATACATGTTCTGAAAAAATCAAAATATTTCGAATACTGAACGATTTTTGAAAATTTTTCGTTCTTCAAAAATTGTAGAGAAACGTTTTTTCTATAAGACAATATAAAAAGGACGGTCCTATCTTGATTATTTTGGGAGAAAATTGAGTTTTTTTGTTGAGTTATGGTATGATTTGTAATTTAGATACGTTTCCTGAAAAAACCAAAATATCTCGAAAAGTGAGCGATTTTTGAAAAATTTTCGTTTATCAAAAATTGTAGAGAAGTGTTTTTTCTATAAGACAAGATAAAAAGGATAGTTTTATTTCGATTATTTTGGGAGACAATTGAGATTTTTACCGAGCTGTGGTAAAATTTGTAATTTAGATACATGTCCTGAAAAAATCAAAATATCTCGAAAATTGAACGATTTTTGAAAATTTTTCGTTCTTCAAAAATTGTAGAGAAATGTTTTTTCTATAAAACAAGAAAAAAAGGATGGTTCTATCTCGATTATTTACGAGATAATTGGGATTTTTTTGTCGAGTTGTAGTAAAATCTGTTATTTAGAACATTTCCTAAAAAATCAAAATATCTCGAAAAGTAAGCTATTTTTCAAAATTTTTCGTTCTTCAAAAATTGTAGAGAAACGTTTTTTTTATAAGAAAAGATAAAAAGGTTGGGTTTATTTCGATTATTTTGCGAGATAAATGAGTTTTTTAGTCGAGTTGTAGTAAAATTTGTAATTTAGATACATTTCCTCAAAAATTCTAAATATCTCAAAAAATTAGCGATTTTTGAAATTTTTTCGTTCTTCCCAAATTGTAGAGAAATATTTTTCTATAAGACGTGATGAAAAGAATTGACCTATCACGATTATTTTGCGAGATAATTAAGATTTTTTATCGAGTTGTAGTAAAATTTGTTGTTTAGAACATTTCCTAAAAAAAATCAAAATATCTCGAAAACAGAGCGATTTTTGAAAATTTTTCGTAGTTCGAAAATTGTAGAGAAATGTTTTTTCTATAAGACAAGATAAAAAGGATTGTCCTATCACGATTATTTTGCGGGATAATTGAGATTTTTATCTAGTTGTAACTATTACCGGACTATAAATTAGGTGCTAAACTACAATTAAACTCGAGCTCGCGCAGCGAGCGAGAACCGGATAAACCATCTCCTTAGGCGAAGAAGTGATGTAAACAACGAAATATAAACAGCGAAAGTAAATATAACCTCAAATAAAATATATGTCATATAAATGATTTTAATCACAACCCGGCAACGTTGCAAAGGGGATGGCTCGTGACGTCATAGCCTAACTAGATTGAATATGGAAATATAGATTTCGTGATTCTAATAGGTATTTAGAAAAATTGGGGAAAATTTCTGAAAATTGGGGAAAAATTGAGGGAAATTATGGTAAATTAGCGGAAATTGCGGCAAATTGGTATAAATTGGGGTAAATTTCTGAAAATTGTGAAAAAATTAGGGGAAATTGTAAAAAATTAGGGTAAATTTGGGGAAATTATTGGAGGAAATTAGGGGAAATTTGAATAAATTGGGGGAAATTAGGGTCAATTTAGGGGAATTATTGCAAGAAATTGGGGGAAATTAGGGTAAATTTGTGGAAATTATTGGAAGAAATTAGGGGAAATTGGAGGAAAAATTAGGTATATCAAACGACATTTCACCTCTTTCCTGGATGGCCTTGTGCTTTGAAGAACTTAGGGCACATCAGGTGGAAATTAGGAGGAAAAAAAAACAACAATTTACCTCTTTCCTGGATAGCCTTGTACAATCCGGTTTTCAGTTCTCTCATCAGCTGCCTGATGCTCAGAGCGGACGGATTGGTCGGTTTCTGTTCCAATCGCATCAGCAAATATTCGTGTACGACTTCCAATGGAACGGTGGCCAAAAATATGAACAACGTCCTGTATGATGGTAGATCTAAGGTTTTGTATTCGGGGCTCCAACAGCCGTATCTGATGTAATAGAAAGAATTGTTAGGAAAAAGAAAAAAAAACATGGGTGGTGAGCTTCTTAAAAAAATCGAAATATCTCGAAAACTGAGCGATTTTTGAAAATTTTCCTTTCTTTATAAATTGTAGAGAAATGTTTTTTCTATAAGACAAGATAAAAAGGATTGTCCTATCACGATTATTTTGTGAGATAATTAGGATTTTTTGTCGAGTTGTAGTAAAATTTGTTGTTTAGAACATTTTCTAAAAAAAATCAAAATATCTCGAAAGCAGAGAGATTTTTGAAAATTTTTCGTTCTTCGAAAATTGTGGAGAAATGTTTTTTCTATAGGAAAAGATAAAAAGAATGGTTTTATTTCGATTAATTTGCGAGATAATTGAGGTTTTTTGTGGAGTTGCAGTAAAATTTGTAATTTAGATACATTTCCTGAAAAAAACAAAATATCTCGAAAACTGAGCGATTTTTGAAAATTTTCCGTTCTTCCAAAATTGTAGACAAAAGTTTTTTCTATAAAACAAGAAAAAAAGGATGGTTCTATCTCGATTATTTTGCGAGATAATTGAGTTTTTTTTATCGAGTTGTAGTAAAATTTGTAATTTAGATACATGTCCTAAAAAATCAAAATATCTCGAAAAATGAGCGATTTTTGAAAATTTTCCGTTCTTCGAAAATTGTAGGGAAATGTTTTTTCTATAAGACAAGATGAAAAGGAAGGTTCCATCTCAATTAATTTACGAGATAATTGGGATTTTTTTGTCGAGTTGTAGTAAAATCTGTTATTTAGAACATTTCCTAAAAAATCAAAATATCTCGAAAAGTAAGCGATTTTTGAAAATTTTCCGTTCTTCCAAAATTGTAGAGAACTGTTTTTTACACAAGACAAGGCGAAAAGAATGGTTTTATTTCGATTATTTTACGAGATAATTGAGATTTTTTTGTGGAGTAAAAATTGTAATTAGATTTCCTAATCAAATCGAAATATCTCGAAAACGAAGGGTTTTTTGAAAATTTTTCGTTCTTTAAAAATTGCAGAGAAATGTTTTTTCTATTAAAATAACCTGCATGGTCCCCACTCCACTTTATAAAGCGGAATACAAACCAATTGCGCCAGCGATTCTCAAAACTTAAACAACAACCAACGGCGCAATTGACATTTCCCCGTCCAAAAAATAAAGCAAACCACACACTATTTACTATTTCATCAAACTTTTATTCATCTTCTGAGCCCATCGTCCGCTTTATAATGCGACTAAGAAACCAATTGCGCCAGCGATTCTCAAAACTTAAACAACAACCAACGGCGCAATTGACATTTCCCCGCCCAAAAAAATAAAGCAAACCACACACTATTTACTATTTCATAAACTTTTATTCATCTTCTGAGCCCATCGTCCGCTTTATAATGCGACTAAGAAACCAATTGCGCCAGCGATTCTCAAAATTAAACAACAACCAACGGCGCAATTTACATTTCCCCGCCCAAAAAATAAAGCAAACCACACACTATTTACTATTTCCTCAAACTTTTATTCATCTTCTGAGCCCATCGTCCGCTTTATAATGCGACTAAGAAACCAATTGCGCCAGCGATTCTCAAAACTTAAACAACAACCAACGGCGCAATTGACATTTCCCCGCCCAAAAAATAAAGCAAACCACACACTATTTACTATTTCCTCAAACTTTTATTCATCTTCTGAGCCCATCGTCCGCTTTATAATGCGACTAAGAAACCAATTGCGCCAGCGATTCTCAAAACTTAAACAACAACCAACGGCGCAATTGACATTTCCCCGCCCAAAAAATAAAGCAAACCACACACTATTTACTATTTCCTCAAACTTTTATTCATCTTCTGAGCCCATCGTCCGCTTTATAATGCGACTAAGAAACCAATTGCGCCAGCGATTCTCAAAACTTAAACAACAACCAACGGCGCAATTGACATTTCCCCGCCCAAAAAATAAAGCAAACCACACACTATTTACTATTTCCTCAAACTTTTATTCATCTTCTGAGCTCATCCTCCGCTTTATAATGCGACTAAGAAACCAATTGCGCCAGCGATTCTTAAAACTTAAACAACAACCAACGGCGCAATTGACATTTCCCCGCCCAAAAAATAAAGCAAACCACACACTATTTACTATTTCATCAAACTTTTATTCATCTTCTGAGCCCATCGTCCGCTTTATAATGCGACTAAGAAACCAATTGCGCCAGCGATTCTCAAAATTAAACAACAACCAACGGCGCAATTTACATTTCCCCGCCCAAAAAATAAAGCAAACCACACACTATTTACTATTTCCTCAAACTTTTATTCATCTTCTGAGCCCATCGTCCGCTTTATAATGCGACTAAGAAACCAATTGCGCCAGCGATTCTCAAAACTTAAACAACAACCAACGGCGCAATTGACATTTCCCCGCCCAAAAAATAAAGCAAACCACACACTATTTACTATTTCCTCAAACTTTTATTCATCTTCTGAGCCCATCGTCCGCTTTATAATGCGACTAAGAAACCAATTGCGCCAGCGATTCTCAAAACTTAAACAACAACCAACGGCGCAATTGACATTTCCCCGCCCAAAAAATAAAGCAAACCACACACTATTTACTATTTCATCAAATTTTTATTCATCTTCTGAGCTCATCCTCCGCTTTATAATGCGACTAAGAAACCAATTGCGCCAGCGATTCTCAAAACTTAAACAACAACCAACGGCGCAATTGACATTTCCCCGCCCAAAAAATAAAGCAAACCACACACTATTTACTATTTCATCAAACTTTTATTCATCTTCTGAGCTCATCCTCCGCTTTATAATGCGACTAAGAAACCAATTGCGCCAGCGATTCTTAAAACTTAAACAACAACCAACGGCGCAATTGACATTTCCCCGCCCAAAAAATAAAGCAAACCACACACTATTTACTATTTCCTCAAACTTTTATTCATCTTCTGAGCCCATCGTCCGCTTTATAATGCGACTAAGAAACCAATTGCGCCAGCGATTCTCAAAACTTAAACAACAACCAACGGCGCAATTGACATTTCCCCGCCCAAAAAATAAAGCAAACCACACACTATTTACTATTTCCTCAAACTTTTATTCATCTTCTGAGCTCCACGTCCGCTTTATAATGCTACTAAGAAACCAATTGCGCCAGCGATTCTTAAAACTTAAACAACAACCAACGGCGCAATTGACATTTCCCCGCCCAAAAAATAAAGCAAACCACACACTATTTACTATTTCATCAAATTTTTATTCATCTTCTGAGCTCCACGTCCGCTTTATAATGCTACTAAGAAACCAATTGCGCCAGCGATTCTCAAAACTTAAACAACAACCAACGGCGCAATTGACATTTCCCCGCCCAAAAAATAAAGCAAACCACACACTATTTAGTATTTCATCAAATTTTTATTCATCTTCTGAGCTCCACGTCCGCTTTATAATGCTACTAAGAAACCAATTGCGCCAGCGATTCTTAAAACTTAAACAACAACCAACGGCGCAATTGACATTTCCCCGCCCAAAAAATAAAGCAAACCACACACTATTTAGTATTTCATCAAATTTTTATTCATCTTCTGAGCTCCACGTCCGCTTTATAATGCTACTAAGAAACCAATTGCGCCAGCGATTCTTAAAACTTAAACAACAACCAACGGCGCAATTGACATTTCCCCGCCCAAAAAATAAAGCAAACCACACACTATTTACTATTTCATCAAATTTTTATTCATCTTCTGAGCTCCACGTCCGCTTTATAATGCTACTAAGAAACCAATTGCGCCAGCGATTCTCAAAACTTAAACAACAACCAACGGCGCAATTGACATTTCCCCGCCCAAAAAATAAAGCAAACCACACACTATTTACTATTTCCTCAAACTTTTATTCATCTTCTGAGCCCATCGTCCGCTTTATAAAGCGACTAAGAAACCAATTGCGCCAGCGATTCTCAAAACTTAAACAACAACCAACGGCGCAATTGACATTTCCCCGCCCAAAAAATAAAGCAAACCACACACTATTTAGTATTTCATCAAATTTTTATTCATCTTCTGAGCTCCACGTCCGCTTTATAATGCTACTAAGAAACCAATTGCGCCAGCGATTCTTAAAACTTAAACAACAACCAACGGCGCAATTGACATTTCCCCGCCCAAAAAATAAAGCAAACCACACACTATTTAGTATTTCATCAAATTTTTATTCATCTTCTGAGCTCCACGTCCGCTTTATAATGCGACTAAGAAACCAATTGCGCCAGCGATTCTCAAAACTTAAACAACAACCAACGGCGCAATTGACATTTCCCCGCCCAAAAAATAAAGCAAACCACACACTATTTACTATTTCATCAAACTTTTATTCATCTTCTGAGCTCCACGTCCGCTTTATAATGCGACTAAGAAACCAATTGCGCCAGCGATTCTCAAAACTTAAACAACAACCAACGGCGCAATTGACATTTCCCCGCCCAAAAAATAAAGCAAACCACACACTATTTACTATTTCATCAAATTTTTATTCATCTTCTGAGCTCCACGTCCGCTTTATAATGCTACTAAGAAACCAATTGCGCCAGCGATTCTCAAAACTTAAACAACAACCAACGGCGCAATTGACATTTCCCCGCCCAAAAAATAAAGCAAACCACACACTATTTAGTATTTCATCAAATTTTTATTCATCTTCTGAGCTCCACGTCCGCTTTATAATGCTACTAAGAAACCAATTGCGCCAGCGATTCTTAAAACTTAAACAACAACCAACGGCGCAATTGACATTTCCCCGCCCAAAAAATAAAGCAAACCACACACTATTTAGTATTTCATCAAATTTTTATTCATCTTCTGAGCTCCACGTCCGCTTTATAATGCTACTAAGAAACCAATTGCGCCAGCGATTCTTAAAACTTAAACAACAACCAACGGCGCAATTGACATTTCCCCGCCCAAAAAATAAAGCAAACCACACACTATTTAGTATTTCATCAAATTTTTATTCATCTTCTGAGCTCCACGTCCGCTTTATAATGCTACTAAGAAACCAATTGCGCCAGCGATTCTTAAAACTTAAACAACAACCAACGGCGCAATTGACATTTCCCCGCCCAAAAAATAAAGCAAACCACACACTATTTAGTATTTCATCAAATTTTTATTCATCTTCTGAGCTCCACGTCCGCTTTATAATGCTACTAAGAAACCAATTGCGCCAGCGATTCTTAAAACTTAAACAACAACCAACGGCGCAATTGACATTTCCCCGCCCAAAAAATAAAGCAAACCACACACTATTTAGTATTTCATCAAATTTTTATTCATCTTCTGAGCTCCACGTCCGCTTTATAATGCTACTAAGAAACCAATTGCGCCAGCGATTCTTAAAACTTAAACAACAACCAACGGCGCAATTGACATTTCCCCGCCCAAAAAATAAAGCAAACCACACACTATTTAGTATTTCATCAAATTTTTATTCATCTTCTGAGCTCCACGTCCGCTTTATAATGCTACTAAGAAACCAATTGCGCCAGCGATTCTCAAAACTTAAACAACAACCAACGGCGCAATTGACATTTCCCCGCCCAAAAAATAAAGCAAACCACACACTATTTACTATTTCATCAAATTTTTATTCATCTTCTGAGCTCCACGTCCGCTTTATAATGCTACTAAGAAACCAATTGCGCCAGCGATTCTCAAAACTTAAACAACAACCAACGGCGCAATTGACATTTCCCCGCCCAAAAAATAAAGCAAACCACACACTATTTAGTATTTCATCAAATTTTTATTCATCTTCTGAGCTCCACGTCCGCTTTATAATGCTACTAAGAAACCAATTGCGCCAGCGATTCTTAAAACTTAAACAACAACCAACGGCGCAATTGACATTTCCCCGCCCAAAAAATAAAGCAAACCACACACTATTTACTATTTCATCAAATTTTTATTCATCTTCTGAGCTCCACGTCCGCTTTATAATGCTACTAAGAAACCAATTGCGCCAGCGATTCTTAAAACTTAAACAACAACCAACGGCGCAATTGACATTTCCCCGCCCAAAAAATAAAGCAAACCACACACTATTTAGTATTTCATCAAATTTTTATTCATCTTCTGAGCTCCACGTCCGCTTTATAATGCTACTAAGAAACCAATTGCGCCAGCGATTCTTAAAACTTAAACAACAACCAACGGCGCAATTGACATTTCCCCGCCCAAAAAATAAAGCAAACCACACACTATTTACTATTTCATCAAATTTTTATTCATCTTCTGAGCTCCACGTCCGCTTTATAATGCTACTAAGAAACCAATTGCGCCAGCGATTCTCAAAACTTAAACAACAACCAACGGCGCAATTGACATTTCCCCGCCCAAAAAATAAAGCAAACCACACACTATTTAGTATTTCATCAAATTTTTATTCATCTTCTGAGCTCCACGTCCGCTTTATAATGCTACTAAGAAACCAATTGCGCCAGCGATTCTTAAAACTTAAACAACAACCAACGGCGCAATTGACATTTCCCCGCCCAAAAAATAAAGCAAACCACACACTATTTAGTATTTCATCAAATTTTTATTCATCTTCTGAGCTCCACGTCCGCTTTATAATGCTACTAAGAAACCAATTGCGCCAGCGATTCTTAAAACTTAAACAACAACCAACGGCGCAATTGACATTTCCCCGCCCAAAAAATAAAGCAAACCACACACTATTTACTATTTCATCAAATTTTTATTCATCTTCTGAGCTCCACGTCCGCTTTATAATGCTACTAAGAAACCAATTGCGCCAGCGATTCTCAAAACTTAAACAACAACCAACGGCGCAATTGACATTTCCCCGCCCAAAAAATAAAGCAAACCACACACTATTTAGTATTTCATCAAATTTTTATTCATCTTCTGAGCTCCACGTCCGCTTTATAATGCTACTAAGAAACCAATTGCGCCAGCGATTCTCAAAACTTAAACAACAACCAACGGCGCAATTGACATTTCCCCGCCCAAAAAATAAAGCAAACCACACACTATTTACTATTTCATCAAATTTTTATTCATCTTCTGAGCTCCACGTCCGCTTTATAATGCTACTAAGAAACCAATTGCGCCAGCGATTCTCAAAACTTAAACAACAACCAACGGCGCAATTGACATTTCCCCCGCCCAAAAAATAAAGCAAACCACACACTATTTAGTATTTCATCAAATTTTTATTCATCTTCTGAGCTCCACGTCCGCTTTATAATGCTACTAAGAAACCAATTGCGCCAGCGATTCTCAAAACTTAAACAACAACCAACGGCGCAATTGACATTTCCCCGCCCAAAAAATAAAGCAAACCACACACTATTTACTATTTCATCAAATTTTTATTCATCTTCTGAGCTCCACGTCCGCTTTATAATGCTACTAAGAAACCAATTGCGCCAGCGATTCTCAAAACTTAAACAACAACCAACGGCGCAATTGACATTTCCCCACCCAAAAAATAAAGCAAACCACACACTATTTACTATTATTACAAATTTTATTCACCTTCTGAGCTCCTCATCGTCTGAGCAACACCCGGTTCTCGAGAAAACCCCCGCATCGTCCGGATACTCCAGCGTGATCTGAGTCTTCCTGAGCACGTGGCTGTGCAAATTGCTCAGAAAATTGAGGCTCTTGTCGAGCGCTCGGGTTTTGAGCACGTTCTCGATGTACCTCCGGTAGGGGGAGACTTTGTTCGAGCCGGATTTGGGAGCTAAAAGATCGCAAATGGGCGAGACGGGTTGGTAGAGATCGTTGGTGTTTGAGCAATCTTGGTTGCTGATGAGGCTGAAGGTTGAATTGGTGCTGTTGTTGCTGTCCGATGGGCTGCCTGGAAGGAGATTGATTGGGTTAATTAAAGGTTAATTGGGATGATGGAGAGTTTTAGGCGATGATGGAGAGATGTTTCTATAAGAGAGATGAAAAGGATGGATCTCTAAAAATTCTAAATATCTCGAAAAGTGAGCGATTTTTGAAAATTTTTCGTTCTTCATAAATTGTAGGGAAAGGTTTTTTCTATAAGACAAGATGAAACGGATGGTTCTATTTCGACTATTTTGCGAGATAATTGAGTTTTTTTTTGTAGAGTTGTAGTAAAATTTGTTATTTAGAACATTTCCTAAAAAAATCAAAATATCTCGAAAAATGAGCGATTTTTGAAAAATTTCCGTTCTTCAAAAATTTTAGAGAAATGTTTTTTTCTATAAGAAAAGAAGAAAAGGATAGTTTTATTTCGACTATTTTGCGAGATTAATTTTGTCGAGTTGTAGTAAAATTGGTAATTTAGATACATTTTCTGAAAATTCTAAATATTTCGAAAACAGCGATTTTTGAAAATTTTCGTTCTCCAAAATTTATAGGGAAACGTTTTTTCTATAAGAAAAGATGGAAAGCAAGGTACTATCTCGATTATTATGCGAGATAATTAAGCTTTTTTGTTTGAGTTTAAGTAAAATTTATAATTTATACATTTCCTCAAAAATTCTAAATATCTCGAAAACTGAGCGATTTTTAAAAATTTTTCGTTCTTCCTAAATTGTAGAGAAATCTTTCTTCTATAAGACAAGATAAAAAGGATGGTTCCAGCTCAATTATTGTGTTTTATTATTAATGAGATAATTGTTTTTATGTGGAATCGTATAGTAAAATTTGTTGTTCGTAGTAAAATTTCCTTAAAAAATTCAAAATATCTCGAAAAATGAGCGTTTTTTGAAAATTTTTCGTTCTTCGGAAATTGTAGAGAAATGTTTTTTCTATAAGACAAGATGAGAAAGATGGTTTTATTTCGATTATTTTGCGAGATAATTGAGTTTTTTTGTAGAGTTGTAGCATAAATTTGTTATTTAGAACATTTCCTAAAACAAATTAAAAAAAACCCCTTAATTTCCACCAATTTCCCCAAATTTACCCTAATTTGTCTAAATTTTTTCCAATGTTCAGAAATTTACCCCAATTTATAGCAATTTGCCGCGATTTCCCCTAATTTACCATAATATACCCCATTTTTTTCAATTTTCAGAAATTTACCCCAATTTATCCCACTTTACACTAATAATATTCTCCAATTTACCCCAATTTTCACAATTAATCAGAATCTATCCCAATGTACCCCAAATTTCCCAAATTTACCCTAATTTCCCCAGATTTACACCAATTTACCCTAATTTCTCCCAATATTTCCCAATATTTACCACAATTTATCCCACTTTACACTAATAACAATCTCCAATTTTCCCCAATTTTCACAATTAATCAGAATCTATCCCAATGTACTCCAATTTTCCCCAAATTTACCCTATTAATATCCCCAAATTTACCCTAATTTCCCCAGATTTACACCAATTTACCCTAATTTCTCCCAATATTTCCCAATATTTACCACAATTTATCCCACTTTACACTAATAACAATCTCCAATTTTCCCCAATTTTCACAATTAATCAGAATCTATCCCAATGTACTCCAATTTCCTCAAATTTACCCTAATAATATCCCCAAATTTACCCTAATTTCCCCAGATTTACACCAATTTACCCTAATTTCTCCCACTTTACACTAATAACAATCTCCAATTTTCCCCAATTTTCACAATTAATCAGAATCTATCCCAATGTACCCCAATTTCCCCAAATTTACCCTATTAATATCCCCAAATTTACCCTAATTTCCCCAGATTTACACCAATTTACCCTAATTTCTCCCAATATTTCCCAATATTTACCCCAATTTATCCCACTTTACACTAATAACAATCTCCAATTTTCCCCAATTTTCACAATTAATCAGAATCTATCTCAATGTACCCCAATTTCCCCAAATTTACCCTAATAATATTCCCAAATTTACCCTAATTTCCCCAGATTTACACCAATTTACCCTAATTTCTCCCACTTTACACTAATAACAATCTCCAATTTTCCCCAATTTTCACAATTAATCAGAATCTATCCCAATGTACCCCAATTTCCCCAAATTTACCCTAATAATATCCCCAAATTTACCCTAATTTCCCCAGATTTACACCAATTTACCCTAATTTCTCCCAATATTTCCCAATATTTACCACAATTTATCCCACTTTACACTAATAACAATCTCCAATTTTCCCCAATTTTCACAATTAATCAGAATCTATCCCAATGTACCCCAATTTCCTCAAATTTACCCTAATTTCCCCAGATTTACACCAATTTACCCTAATTTCTCCCAATATTTCCCAATATTTACCCCAATTTCTCTCACTTTACACTAATAACAATCTCCAATTTTCCCCAATTTTCACAATTAAACAGAATCTATCCCAATGTACCCCAATTTCCTCAAATTTACCCTAATTTCCCCAGATTTACACCATTTTACCCTAATTTCTCCCAATATTCCCAATATTTACCCCAATTTATCCCACTTTACACTAATAACAATCTCCAATTTTCCCCAATTTTCACAATTAATCAGAATCTATCCCAATGTACCCCAAATTCCCCAAATTTACCCTAATAATATCCCCAAATTTACCCTAATTTCCACAGATTTACACCATTTTACCCTAATTTCTCCCAATATTTCCCAATATTTACCCCAATTTATCCCACTTTACACTAATAACAATCTCCAATTTTCCCCAATTTTCACAATTAATCAGAATCTATCCCAATGTACTCCAATTTCCTCAAATTTACCCTAATAATATCCCCAAATTTACCCTAATTTCCCCAGATTTACACCAATTTACCCTAATTTCTCCCAATATTTCCCAATATTTACCACAATTTATCCCACTTTACACTAATAACAATCTCCAATTTTCCCCAATTTTCACAATTAATCAGAATCTATCCCAATGTACCCCAATTTCCTCAAATTTACCCTAATAATATCCCCAAATTTACCCTAATTTCCCCAGATTTACACCAATTTACCCTAATTTCCCTCAATATTTCCCAATATTTACCCCAATTTTCCCCCAAAAACTACCAGAAAAACATATCTCACCGGAACCGTTATCGTCCCCCGCCGAGCTACAAGGCCAATCCGACCGTTTGCTATCCAACAAAACCACCAATCTCCCCAAAATGTTCAACTTCAACCGCTGTATTTTGGTCATATTGTACCATTGGCACATGGCCCTCACCCTGCCGACGATCTCCGGCGATCTGTAGAGCGGATAGAGCTCCGCGAAGGCCTTGCTCGATGGGAACAATCGCTCGGCCTCCTCCAGGCGTTTGAGCAACCGTTCGATCTCGCCGAGCGCCTCGTTTTGAGCCTCTAAGCACGGGTGACAGTAGATCGAAACGCAGCCGGGACAGTCCTCCTCCAGGCCGCTGTCGCTGTTTTGGGTTAGATACCTGAAAGGTAAGAGGCCGGGTCGATTAGAAGAGGTTATAGATAAAAGAGACTAATGCTAATTTGCAGCGAAATTTTTTGTGGAAAATTCGAAATAACTCGATTTATGAGAAATTTTCGTTTTTTCGAAAATTGTAGAGAAAAGTTTTTTCTATAAGACAAGATAAAAAGGACGGCCCTATCTCGATTATTTTGGGATAATTGAGATTTTTTTGTCGAGTTGTACTCAAATTTATAATTTAGATACATTTTCTAAAAAATTCTAAATATCTCGAAAACAGGGCGATTTTTGAAAATTTTTCGTTCTTCAAAAATTGTAGAGAAATGTTTCTTCTATAAGACAAGATGAAACGGATGATCCTATCTCGATTATTTAGTGAGATAATTAAGATTTTTTATCGAGTTGTAGTAAAATTGGTAATTTAGATACATTTTCTGAAAATTCTAAATATTTCGAAAATTGAGCGATTTTTTAAATTTTTTCGTTCTTCCAAAATTGCAGACAAACGTTTTTTCTATAAAACAAGAAAAAAAGGATGGTTCTATCTCGATTATTTTGCCAGATAATTGAGATTTTTTATCGAGTTGTAGTAAAATTTGTAATTTAGATACATGTCCTGAAAAAATTAAAATATCTTGAAAACTGAGCGATTTATGAAAAATTTTCGTTTTTCGAAAATTGTAGAGAAAGGTTTTTTCTATAAGACAAGATAAAAAGGATGGTCCTATCTCGATTATTTTGCGAGATAATTGAGATTTTCTGTCGAGTTGTAGTAAAATTGGTAATTTAGATACATTTCCTAAAAAAATCAAAATATCTCGAAAACTAAGCGATTTTTGGAAATTTTTCGTTTTTCAAAAATTGTAGAGAACTGTTTTTTTCTATAAAACAAGGTGAAAAGGATTGTCCTATCTCGATTATTTCACGAGATAATTGAGATTTTTATCGAATTGTAACTTTTACACAGTAGATCGAAATGCAAACAAGGACAATCCTCCTCCAGGCCGCTGTCGCTGTTTTGGGTTAGATATCTGAAAGGTAAGAGGCCGGGTCGATTAGAAGAGGTTATAGCTAAAAGAGTCTAATGCTAATTTACAGCGGAAATTTATTCTGGAAAATTCGAAATAACTCGAAATGTGAGCGATTTTTGAAAAATTTTCGTTTTACGAAAATTGTAGAGAAAGGTTTTTTCTATAAGACAAGATAAAAAGGACGGCCCTATCTCGATTATTTTGGGATAATTGAGATTTTTTTGTCGAGTTGTAGTCAAATTTATAATTTAGATACATTTTCTGAAAAATTCTAAATATCTCGAAAACTGGGCGATTTTTGAAAATTTTTCGTTCTTCAAAAATTGTAGAGAAATATTTTTTCTATAAGACACGATGAAAAGGATGGTTCTCTCTCGATTATTTTGCGAGATAATTGAGATTTTTTATCGAGTTGTAGTAAAATTTGTAATTTAGATACATGTCAAAAAAAATCAAAATATCTCGAAAAATGAGCGATTTTTGAAATTTTTTACTTAAAATTTTAAAGAATAATTTGGTAAACTTTACTAAGTCGGAGCGGGTTAACGCGCATGCGCCAATAACGTCAAATTCTGTGTTCTGACAGCGTCAAAAACTGTGTATCGTTGCCAGATTGTGTAAATTGTTATTTTATGAAAAATTTAAAGTATATTAACCTACCCTGCAACTACCCTTCTCTACCCTCATCTAACCTCCGCTACCATCCTCTACCTCTACATCCCTTCTTCTACACTACCCTTCTATCCTTCGTACCCCTTTCTACCCTATTCTAACCCTCCCTACCTTCTCCTGTACCCTCTTTTACTCCCGTCTAATAATTATTATTTTCTATCTAAAACAAATATTTCTGTCCATTTACTGAAATTAAATACACATTGCCAACGATGCACAGTTTTTGACGCTGTCAGAACACAGAATTTGACGTTATTGGCGCATGCGCATTATCCCGCTCCGACTTGGTAAACTTTACCAATAATTTTATTAAAAACGTATTGTTTTAGTATTTAATATAAAATCGTAGTTATAGGATACATCAAATTTCATTTTTTTAAAGGAATTTTTTCAAATAATTCTTACAGACAAATAAAACCGACAACGTCGCAACCTTTGATAATACAGGGTGTGCGTTCGAGCGAATGCATAAATATAATAATTTACCACAAAAAAAAATGTAAACAATTTGGTCTCTTAGTTATAATACAGGGTGTCCCAATGAAAAGTAGCCCCTTTAGTGAGCTAATATTAAGTTTTCGCAGATATATTTTATTTTGCTACAACTTTTTGTTGCAGCGAGACAAAAATTTCGTATCGCATGCACAGGATGTTTCATAAAAAACCACTCTTTTAAATTCACAATAACTAAATTTTACGAAATAGGACATCTTCTTTAGAATTAACATCTACAAAATGATATATTTTCGAAAAGTAGAAGAGTATATCTTTTAAAATACCTCTGTATATACGGGATGTTCCATTTAAATTAATTCGGTTACTGTGTAATTTAAAAGAGGAGGTTTCGATAAAACACCCTGTATTGGTAAATGCATAATTTCTGTATTACTGTAAGAAAACTTCTAATAAAATAAAACATATTTGAGAAAACCGCACGTTCTTATAATTAGGCGCTTATGAAAGGGGCTACTTTTTATTGGGACACCCTGTATCTTCGATCACAACTCATAACCGGCCTCTTACTTAGCACGTACACAGACTCGAATTATTTGATTTATTATTAAATTATTTGTGTTTGATTAAAAAACATCTCTAAGTTTTACCTTCTGGATGGTCTCTGGAATTTGTAATTTTTGATATCGTTCAAAAGAGGCTCGACGCATTCGCGGGCCATGCAAAGGTAGGCGTCTTCCTCGACGGGGGTCCTGTCGGCGTGGTAGGCTTGGAGCTCCAGCCATATGAGATCTTTTAATTCGTTCTGCCATAAGCTCTCCTCTCTGCTCATCTAAATGCCAAAGAAAAATAATAATGGCTTAATATCGAGAAAATCGATTTTCTGAAAAATTGTATATATCTCGAAAATTGGGCGATTTTTGAAAATTTTTCGTTCTTCGAAAATTGTAGAGAAATGTTTTTTCTATAAGACAAGATGAAGAGGATGGTTTTATTTCGATTATTTTCGAGATAATTGAGATTTTTTGGTTGAGTTTTAGTAAAATTTATAATTTGGATACATTTCCTCAAAAATTCTAAATATTTAAAAAAAATTAGCGATTTTTGAAAATTTTTGGTTCTTCAAAAATTGTAGAGAAACGTTTTTTCTATAAGACAAGATGAAAAGGATGGTTCTATCTCGATTATTTTGCGAGATAATTGAGATTTTTTGTCGAGTTGTAGTAAAGTTTGTAATTTAGAACATTTCCAAAAAAAAATCAAAATATCTCGAAAACTAAGCGATTTTTGAAAAATTTTCGTTCTTCGAAAATTGTAGAGAAATGTTTTTTCTATAAGACAAGATGAAGAGGATGGTTCTATCTCGATTATTTTGCGAGATAATTGAGATTTTTTTGTCGAGTTTT